ACTAAATTAACCCAAAATCCTGCCCCACCACCCTGGGTTTTTTCTGGTTTTTTTCTTTACCCCAAACAAAACAACCCCCTTTTCCGTGTGCCCCCCCCCCCCCCCCCCCCCCAATTAGATGTACAACAAAGCAAAGCGACAAGCCGCGAATTATGATACCCCCCTCTTCTCCCCATGTATACGCCCCTGTGCAAACGTCAGATTTTGAGGCGTCCAGCAAATATGAGGGACAGACAGACAGACAGAAAGACAGACGGACAGAAGTGCAATAGAATTTGGCCACATGGCGTTCTTTTAAGGTTGAGGCGTAAACTTGTAAAAACACTATTTGTTACGGGTATTAGGCGGGCATAAGGACTAGATGGATGCCCTTCGGCGATAACAGGTTCCTAAGGTTGAGTACGAATATTATGAAAAATTATGGCTTGGCATAGCAGCGCAGATTCTTCTTTCTTCCCTGACTACATGCGTGTACAAAATAGATTTTATACTTAAGGGGGTCATGAATTACGGAGATTTTGAATGCACGATGAATGTGCGATACTACCACTACTAGGTATTATACCCGACTTCCGTAAATTGACACTTAGGCCGGGTGTATGTAAACTGTGATTAAACTAAGCTGCCGTGACTCGAGACCGTCAAACTATAGCTACTTCCTATAAACCTAGGTTGCGAGGTGAGCTATAAAATCAATTTTGCCATGTAGAATAGGTACCTGACCTAAGCCAATGTAAATAGCAGCCAGCAATGCGAGATATTTATGTATCATTTCATTATACAATCCGCAAATACGAAGAGGTATCTACCTAATATATCTTCCAAGCCATCTTTATCGAATACTTCTCTCTATTCTGCCATAACTTTGGCAACCAGTCGGCAAAACTAAGTGCACTTCACCTAACCTAACCTACTCAAACAAGTATGATATTGGATCTTCTCTCCACGAAAAGCGGCAAAAGAATAAACAGGTGAAACAAATCATCAAAGTTTCATCTGGTCTGAACGGACCAGTCAGGACGCCCGGCACAAAAGAGGCCACCCTCTCAAAAAATAAAAAGATTCCAGAACGCCAAAATGTCAAGGCTGGCCCCCGTAACCCTAATATGCATTCGGAGAGAAAAAAGCAACAAGAATTCCACATTCGCAGGTGTTGTAAATGCTAAGGGTTGTCGCAGTGTTTATCTCGCAGTGCCTGGCAAAGGTTGGTCGCCCCATAACGCGTTGCCAACACGTACCTGTGTTGATGTTCTTGTGCCTGGTCCGGGTCTACCCTGCCGCTGTCCCCAGCCCGCCGTGCTTCCGTGTTGGTTGCCGTGTGCTTCGTTCGGATCATATTCGTTCCGCACACTCGAGGCCCCTATATCCCCTCTGACATCGTCGTAGGACACGTAGGGCGCATAACCCGCCGGAGCGGTAGGGTAGTCGTAGAATTGCGCCTGCCCAGTTTCTATGAAAGGGTCAGTTGGATGTCTCGATATGTTACCCGGATTTGGTTGGGCGTGGGTAATTAATCCAGCGCTCTCCTCGGGGACTCGATTGCCGGGTCGGACACCAAATGTGGTTCGGAATTCAGGGGCAGGTGGTATGCTATCTGTATTTATTACGCCCATGTGATCTGCGCCGTACGGTTTCATGGGATAGCTGGTGTCAATATCGCTAGGTTTATTATGGTAGCTGGGGTCTTCACGGCGGCGCTTAACCCCCACAAACAGCCATCTCATACCACGGCCGAAGGCCTTCACTATATCCCATGGGTTAAGGGCGTCTGCAAAAGCTTTCAGGCCCATAAAGCCACCCATCTTACGTCCGTGCTCATTCTCGCGAGGTGATACTCCCGAAGATGGGTCAGAAACTGGGTAGTAGGTCGTTTTGGCGTTTTCAAGATACGGGCCGTAAGGAAATGCCCAGATATGTAGGACTGCGAAAAGTGCCATCTCGACGCAGAGCATTAGACTCGGTATACCAACTTTCAGGTCGGGATAAGCGAGAATAGCATTCGGGTTCACTATATGAAGAGTTGACGTTCCGAGGGAGATGGCGATCGTTTGCCAGAATGACAAGAAGATGACAAGTTTGATAGCCAAGACCTTCAGGAAGGGCCTGTGCTCTGCTAATGGTTCCCGTAATTGCACGTAAAACTGGATTAGACAGTACATAGCAATAGTAACTGCTATACACTCTATTGCAATAACCTGTGATAATGTAATGTCAGCGACTTTTCCACTCTCCTTTCGCAACATCATGGTAATACATACCCAGATGTGAGCAAAAACGGGACTGTTAGAACTCTCGCAGTACCGTTCAAAATACTGTGTCACAACTGCGGTGATGGTCATGGCAACTCTGATGAAGCAGTAATGATAAATTCCAATCCAGACGATATTAAACCAGGTCAAGCCGCTCTTGGGGGTCCTCCACGGACCCTTCTCGCCACCGCTGAGCCTAGCAAACCAGGTGATCGGCCATACCCACGGTACTACGGGGTGCATATTTCGGAAGAAATCCTTCTGGTCGTGTAAGTCGGGTGCGACATAATGACACATAAGGGCAAAAAAGGAGGCGATGGCGAAAGCCTCGTAGCAATCGCTGATGACCTGGAAGTAAACCGCGTGCCAATAATACCATATGCATAAGAAGGCAGAGGTAGCATAGATGGGGACCATAAATAAGATGCGAATGATACTATTCCTCGTTAGCACGGTGGCAGGTGATACGCTATCGTAATGGGGAGGAGATAAAACGTACTGTCGCTGTTCGCGAGGCTTGGTGTAGTTGAGAGCATGTTGCCACATCAAATAAAAACTCGCTATGTAAGCGATTATGGTGGCACCGCCAGCGATGATGAGGGCGAGTTGATGGAAAGTCAGAGGACCCACGATCTTCTCTTCCGACCCGACTATTGAAAAGTATGTCAGCATTACATCTTGGCGCCACGATTCTGGGCATGCAGGAACCCCAGATTTGGCAGATTTGGGGATGATAGGTAGGATATTTTATCTCGGCACGTACTCCTCATTTCCTCCAGCGTCGAGTTACATGTTAAATTCATCGCGCCGACTGTAATTCAATCATTCGTAAGGCCTAGGAGGCAATAGGAAACGAAGCGCGACCGCTATTAAAATCCAAGCTTAAAGATATTATTCTGATCTTATTTTCCACCGATACACGCCAGGCGGATTTGATTACAAGCTACTCAATAAGTAGTCGATAAGTAAAACTGACAATATTTCGGGGAATTTCGTAATGTATCGTAATGGACGCGGCTTATCGATGTTCGTATCGATGTTAGAAAAAGGATTTCGAGGGGTTGTGTCGTGCGTGCGTTGTATGTTGCGACAGAAGCGGAAACAGGGGGGAAAGTCGTGGAAACGAGGGAAACCGTTTAAGAACTTGTCGCGTCCGACCGGCGGGTGAGATGTTCTATCGAGATAAAAAAGAAAGAAAAAAAAGAATTTTTTAAGAGTTAAGATTGAATGAGGGGATTGTTGTACAGGTGATGTTTTCGAAGATGTAACCGAAAAACCGGATGGGTTGGGCAGAGACAGAAGAGATGGTAAAAAGACAAAGAAAAAAAAGCGATGCTCAGCCCCGTTGGTAGTTGCACGAGGATCTACGAATTCATGAAGGTTTTAAAATTACTGGCCAAGTGAGAACACGCGGAAATACGTACCACTTTGGTAGCAAACGGGAATTAGTACAATTTAGTACAGCGCCAAGAAACACGTTCTATATATTATGTACCCAAGTATACTAAGTACCTCAGGTATAACCAAGGTTGACGTGCATGTTGCATAGCGGGGTCCAGGTACCTATATAGTGCTGTCTAACTGGTTAAGACGACGGGAACCGGCACAACGGCAAAAGGGACGGGTCCTTAGCGCTAAATCAGACGGGTTTCTGCAGCTAAGCCACTAGTAGACGTATACTACTACTATGTAATTCCATATTAACTGGTAAACCTAATGTATGAAATGCACGTTGTATCGAGATAGATGTACCTCTTAGTAATTCAATCTCCATTACTAAGATCTGATAGAGATTAAGGTTGAACGAAAGTCAGGGATGGATTAAACTTAACATGGAAGAAACTCTGTTGCCATTTCAGCGTACCTAAACTTATAATAGGGGTACATAATGTAACTACCTCTTAAATCTCAACTCTCATACTCCATCTTCAAATTGACTACCTCCTAGATAACAGGTACCTAGTATGATGCGAATAGTAAATATACAATACTTTGTATATAATAGTAATAGGTGTATGATAATTACAATAGACTACGAGATGAGTTACTATGTAGAAGCTTTTACTACGTCACCTAACCTCACAATCACAACGTTCATTTTACAGAAAGGGGCTGAGTCTACATTCCACCTCATAGCTTAATGTCAAGGCAGAAAATGTACTCAAGTCTACCTAGTTTATGGCCGTTTAAATGCGATACTATCTGCTATATATATCGTATAAGGCTTTAAGAGTGTTCTGAGTTGAGGTCTTTGGAATTTATTTGTAGTAGTTGCTTTAGACCACCATGACCCCTGAACCCCTTTAATCCTAACCCAGAAATATGGTTATTCGCGCTGAACTTAATACTAGTTGCAGATCCACCAGTAATTGAAAATGCATCTGGCGTAGCTTATGTAGTTGTCCCGGCACATTTCTCTCCGAGGATAATGGCCGCCGCAGTCCCTAGAATGGTACGGAATAATCGGTAAGTACAGCAAAAGGATTGATCACGTTGGGTTTGTTTTGCTCCTTCTATTTGAAGAATGGGAAGGTGGCGAAGTGCAAGTGTTCAACGAGTCTTACAGAGGTGCTTGACTCAGGTTTATATTCGCTACACCCCTACGGCAGCAAAGAGAGCCCTCTCTTCTTGGTTCGTGTCTCGTAAAAAAAGAATAGCATGCGGCGTCTAGTTCGATCAGATAACGAATAGGTTGCTTATATACCTATGCTTACCTTAGGTACCTAGGCAAACTCGTGAGATGATTGGTGATAGCTTCCCGTTCAAGCTTTTACTATTCCTCGACTGAGGCAACTTTGGTACTACTAAACAGGCAGGTAATAGGTACCCTACCCCGGACTCCCTCAGATCGGACAGGATAAACAGTAGATTCGGACGGAATCTTGAATTTATCTGCGCTGTGCCACTCCTGCACATCGTAACGGGACGCCGCAACTGATCTACGGCTAAATTATGATCATCCATATCTGGATAAGCCAAGCCTATCTTAAAGAGCTTAAATAGATGTCTAATAGGCCACAAGGTACAATTATCGACAGAGATCTCAAGCTTTAAAAGGCTACTCTTCTTTCATGTGAAGACACTCAACCTAGCAGGAAGGTCTTCCCCCTTCTATACCTACCTTATTCCAAGGTACCATTTAAGGCATCACGGTCGTGAGCATATCAGCTAGAGACTCCAATTAGAAAAACACACACTGGCTTAATACCAAGCATTGTAGAGCAAAAATTAGTAGACAGCTGTTGAAAATACGTGACGGTGTTACCTAGGTACCTTTGTTGCCCATGGGATACCAGAGCAAGTAGCATAGAGTTTTAATTCTTTACATACTAACCTAGACCCGGTTCTTCGGAAGAATAATCTACTTAGGTCTTAACCACTTTCTTCATAGACCTTGTTCGCCCCTCTCCTTCTCCCCCTCCCCCCGCAGTATAAATTTGGGCATATTGCCGATAAGATTTGCAGGCGAGCCGAAATTCAGAGCTTAGTAGTACGATAGGGTCAAAGGCCTAGGTGCAGGTGAGGTGGTAGTAGTGTTAATTCTCAAGGGCTCTTGGCAGTTCCCGAATGAGTTCATAAGATTCAAGTAAATTTACCCCAAGTGCAAGGTCTGGATCAACTACACGCTAATCCACGCGTATACACACACTTGACCAATTTTCGTGTATGTATTTAGTTGATCCGGACCTTGTACAAGTGTGGAACTGTCTGAACGAGAGAACCTGAGATGTCAATATCTACTAGGCGGTTCTCTTATGTTTTCGAATTAAAGAAAGTAATTCGCGAAGGAAGTCGTGTGCCATCATTGGTCTATCTAGCGGAGTCATTGAAAGGGGGGCTGTATTGATATAGTTGAACGATGACAGATTTGGGTTTGAGACTAATGGGGAGCTAAGTGTGAACAGAACGGGTCAATGTAGAAGACAAATCCAAATCAAGGTATGGGACAAACAAGCAAAGTTAGCTAATGCAATATAATAAGATAGTGAGAGATATCATTGTTAATGTATAGACCTTTCTCCCGTATAACACCATGGTGGTTTAACTACCGATAGTACCTGCCCGTACCTAACCTAGGGTATGCAAATGTCAGGAGGTTTGTGCCCTTGATGAATATCATATGTAGAGTGTTAGGGCCGTACATGTAGTATATTGGTTTGAAACAACAACGCCTGACCTTCTATCCGAGGGAGCCGGCTTCCCTTTATATGGCCAGTATATCCATGTTATAACCATACATCCCCGACAGCAAGAATTCCTCGTCGACCAAGCCGATGTAAGTCCACCATAGAAGAAGCAGTTATAGTACTATTTATGTAGTAGTATTTGCGAAATTTGATTAAAAAAAGGCAAATGAACCAAATGATATGCGTATGGTTAAAACGATAACGCCAAGACGCCCTGGGGCCCGTCATCCCTTCATTCTTGTTGTATGCAAGCAAAAGCGCTAACCCTCTTGCAGCGTAAAGAGGTATGTAAGTAGTAAGTGGAGAGAGATTTATATGTGCTAAGTGGTTTGGCTTCGAATCAAGGGGAACAACTATTGAAAATCAGAGATTAGGTTAGGCACTAGAGTTCTTGTGGTCGAGAGGGGCCGTACCTATGATCTTTAGACCGTACTCGATATGTTAGATACATCCATCACGGGGTATTCATTAGTAGGTTCTGGGTAGGATGCTAACCACTGTGACATTGCTTCTTCAAATCCGCGTACATCCAGCTTCGTCCCTTGAGTTGTGAGGCCTTGGAGGAACTGGCTGAATAAATGGCCTGCCATATCCCGAGTGGGGTGTGAATAGGGGCAATCGGGCAAAGCGGTCTTCTCGCCGAAGAGTTTCTTCCAAGACCAATACCACTTATAGTTAAACTTGGCGTTGGGGTCAGGACACCTGGCCTTAGGAATTGGAGGAAGCTGGTCGACGGAGCTACCGTTGGTTGGTTCGCACGACGCGTGCGCATCCAGGGACTCTTGGTCCGCAAATGAATCCCAGCAGCTTTTGCAGTGGTAGACTCCTAACCTATGATCGTTGTCTAGATGCTGCCTCAGAGCGCTAATGTTTTTGAACTTCTTCTTGATGCAACTTGCATGCCGGGCGGGGTCACGCTTATAGAAAAGACACGCAAGAGGCCTATTTTCGTCGATGCTAGTTGTTGACGAGCACGACTCACATGCTCTAAAGGTTTTGTGGGCAGGTCTATCTTCTGGGTCTTCCTGGTAAAACTTTCTCTTATTAATGTTCGATAGACATTCGTCGCTGTTGCGGCGCACGGGGCTTCGAGGACGAGGTAATTCTTCCCTTTGATCTATTAATGAATCCATGTCTGAGAATTGAGGGCCAGCGCTGGAAAATCCTTGTGCGGGTAGATCTAACCATTGATTGTACGGAAATGATGATATATGTTGTTGGGAAGAGTGAATAACAGGACCTGTCCACGGAGCCGCAAAGGGGAAGGCATTATGAAAATGCGCGGGATTAATTGCATTGATGTCAGAGGGGAAGATAGGTGAAGGTATTTGAGGCTCAATAGAAAAGTCCGCAGGGTTGTCATTTGGATCTAAATCCAATCTGTGGGGTAGATCAATTCTATCGGGATTAAAAGTTTCTGGGGCGTCTGTCTTTGACCGTGATCCTTCGTCACTAGGACCACATGTTCCTATGACATTAGTTTCTACTTGGGCCCAGTTGAAAGCCGTCGAGTAGCCTTCACGATCGGGAAATAATGTGTCAAAGTCATGATTTCTGTCCCCGTCAAAAGCTGTTAAATCGAAAGTATCTTCTTCAGCCCCTTTATTGCTGCGGGGTGTGCGCTCGCCCTCATAAACTTGATCCAACCCACCAATCGGGACAGCCTTGTCTTGATTTGAACAAGTCAAGGCCGCTAATCCAGGGTCTGACTCCAGGGCACCTTCGGAAGGAAACAACTGTGTCGAGGTGACCTCAATTGTGTTTCCCGTTGGGAACATTGCGGCTCTGTCGATCTCCGATCCGTGGCGGTCACCGTGCAGAGCCTCATATTCCATACCCTCCTTGATTTTCTTGGGCTTTGGGTATAAAGAATCCTCTTCTCCCACGTAGCAGTTACTGCATCTTCTATGCCCACAATCTACACATCCTAGGTCAATTTCCCAGAACATCACCCCATGCGAACACTCGCACTAAAGAATATTAGTTATGGCAGAGTAGGCCGACGGAAATATTAGTTTCTCCCAAAAGAAAAAAAAACAACAACATGTAAATAATAACTTAGGTACTTACGCAGAGCCACTGGATATTTTCTGAGCTTAGGGTTTCTGTAGATCTCATAACATCCATCTCGTATAATAGTATATAGTCCAAGCTGCACTTAGTAGTTTATTCACAAAGAAGCACCTTCACGTAGGTCTACAAATTCAACGGGTCTTTAAAGGTCTATCAATGTCCTTGATGTCAATTGGGATGGGCAACGATATCACATTTGGGCTAGAATATGTGATTGGCTTATTTCCTGATTCTAAGCTACGAATACCCAATTACTTCGGTCCAGGCACGAGCGACATTAAGGAAGTCATATTTAATCATAACCAAGATCAAAGGCTACGTCCTCCTCCATTTTCTGATCATAGCTATGATTGAAGATACCTAGGAGGAAGTACACTTTGATCAAGTTCATCATCACTTAGGATCGTGCATCGTGGGGGTCTCCATTTAGCAGCGTGTTCTAGTTGTGTCCATCTATTATTGGTTGATTATTCCGGTCTGCATCCTCAAACATAGCATTAATCAAGATCCTGATTGTCTACCCGAGTTTGAACGAGGGGACACTTGTCAGGCCCGAACTGTCTAAGCAACCTGCATCGCGATGAAAGCTCGAGGCCATTATACTTGTGCTGTAGGATTCGGGCCTCCGAAACCGTCGAATGGCAAGCTAGAAATCATTATTTCTCTGTGCATATCAGCACTTTACGACAGCAGCATTTACCAGGCCATTGTCAATTTTGATGTACGATATTTATAGACTTAGATGATTCCATCTTTGATCATTTCAGCCGTGTTTAACCTACAGTACCCGAGGCAAGGATCGACTAATATGCAGTAAATCTGCGTAACCTTTGCCTTATCGTTAAACAAATGTAGAAGTTTGATTATTCGAAGAATGGGAGCTCATAATAGATTGTATTAGGTACCTGTTACTTACTTCTTTACGAACAATGTTAATGTCTCGACCAACCAGGGATTGATGCGGTATATAACCCCTATTCCATGAAATGCCTTTACATGGCAACGGGGTGTTCCTAAGCGATGCTCCTTCAATTGTGGTAGGTAAACGCAAATCAAGGACTTGATCATATCTTCATTAATCAGGTACACTGGGATACTGTAGCAACGATAGTATGAGACGCATTGTCTAAGTGTAATAACCCTAGCCTAGCGAGGATGAAATTGGCTAGGCATCTTCCATGGGGGATAGGGCAATAGGAGCATCCTTGAATGCGTGTCATATTTGCGCGTCATATTAATTCGATTATTCGTTCAATGCGAGGTTGTTAAGCTAAAACTAGCTACAGAATATCAATTTCTGCAGTGCACAAATTACAAGCGCCGATGATTCAAGGCTGACGGCTGCGACAGCGTAAGCAAGAAAACAGTTGAGTCCAAGCACTGGCACACTAGCATTGTTGTACCATCTCTCCCACGAATACATGAGATCGAAACGCAACAACCTTGAAGTAGACCATCTCCTTAAACTTTCACTCGAAAACTGAGGCGCCACCACGTTGAATCTGAATGGCAGAAGGCACCGGGTCCTTGAAACGGACGCCGCGGTGACGAAGCCAGATACTCCATATCTCATGCAGGGTGTCCGCATCTTCTACAACATTGGCCTCGACCCATCGGACCTGGTCCTTGGTAAACCAGACGTCTTTCAGGTGGTTAACATCGTTGTCGTGGTGCTCGACCCACACATCGAAATTGGCGTTAAGATACATTCTGGATTTGAACCCCAACTGGGCCTGGTATGACACCAGGAACTTGTCGTCGAACATTTCCGGAGTTATTTGTTTGAACTGCGATACGATCTCCTCCCAGACCTCGTTGTCGATCGAGTCGTTACAGCCGTTGTCGAAAGGTATCTGCGGAAAGATTCGGCGCAGTTGGTTGCGAACTTCGAACATCGTCATGCGCAGGCATACGATGTGGATGTAGGCTTTCTTTTTCTCGGGGAGATAGGCCGGGACCATCGTCGCCGGGTTTCGCTCCCAAGCCGCCGGAAAGCCCGTCCTGATGACTCGGTGCACACGATGCTTGGTGAATTGTTCCCATCTCGTCACGCACTCGACCCAGCCGAACCGACCTCCGGCGTAGTCTACCGCGTACTTCTCCCCGGTATGTAGAGTGACGCAAAAGACCGTGTGAGGTCGTAGCATGCTGGACTCAAATTCGCCGTCCAAATTTACGCGGACAATGGGGCGATAGGCGTTCTTGACTAGGATAGTGTATTGTTCAATGTTCGTGAGGAGGCCTATCCATAGGTAGATAATTAGTGCCCGCCGTGGTTAAAAAAAAGGGGGGAAATAAGCTTACCTTTCTAAAGCCACTTCTGAGTAGAACTCAATACCAAGAAGGGCAAGTCCGGAAGATACTGATCCTGCAGAGCTGCCCTGGCGTGCTCCTCTTCGATTTCGTCTTCTTTGTAGAATTGGCGGACGACTGGGTCTCCACGCATGGCCTCGTAGTAGCGAGGCTTCTCTTCCAAGAATATCATGTCATCTTCTTCACACGTGCTCTCCAAGGAGAGGATGGTCTGGCGTGTCTCTATAACCATGAGAAGAGACTTCATAAGGTGTGCACCTCGTGCAAAGCGCCGGCGTGCAAGACATTCGGGCTTGTGATCTTCCTTGTCGAGGGTTTCGCAGATTTCACTGCAGTAGCCAGTCCGGATAGTCAAGTGAAAGTCGATAGCCTGTATGCAGTCGCGGCAGAGGAATAGGCGTCCTTCGCGTTGGCAATATCTGCAAATTGTCTCAGTGGTGAGTGACTTGGGTAGATAGCGGTATTCATCATCGCCATCGTCCAGATCTGTAGAAAATCCTTCCCCGCATTCATAGGCATCTTCGTCCTTTCTTCCTTGCAGCACCCATTTGGAATGTGCGAAATAACGCGACTTGGCTGACGTTTCATCGTATGTGGACATATCCAAGAGGATGGGTATAAGGCCTTCGATAAAGGCGGCACGCAAGCCGTGGGGGTTCTTGCCTTTCAAGACCTTGGTAGCGATGGACTTAAGTTTGCGACACTCATAATAATGCTCAGAGGGGCCAGTTTCTTCTTCTAAGAAAATCCCAAGGGCCCTATTGTACTGGCGATCCTGTTCTGGGTCGTGGTATCTATCGTTCGAAGTTGGAGTCGGTAGATTCTTGAATAGGCGCTCGATGGAGATTTGACACGAAGCTAGAACTGGTTCTTCTTCGTCGCTGTCTCCAAGCGCGCCTGGATCAATAAGGTAAAGGCGGGCTCGAGATATTGGTGCAGATTCAGATGCCATCGTCGCCATTGTTGTATTGTCTCCGGCTGAGTTTTGTCCACCTCCGTGACCTCCTTGAGATGTTGATCAAGGATCAAAGTTGTCGAGCTTGGAGATTGATCAACTCAGACAAATAAAGTAGGCAACCATCAATGTGCATGTCAAGTATAAGAGACCCTCCCGAGACGAAAGGGGGTTGTAACTTGAGGCAGTGATGGCTTGTATTCGGTAATAATTACCCACAGGCCAGGAATAAAATACTGTGCAACAACTCCCCCAGGAGTTTAGGTTAAAAATCGAGAGCTTGTTGCCGCGGGATATTACCATTAGTCGTGGATCAATCGTAGTCAGTCGTCGAAAACACTACTAATTCCTCTCTATTGCACCTACAAAACCCCTAATGACAGTTGTTCGTAGTGAAAAGCCAGAATGTGGATGTTCAGAGTGCTTCTAATAAACAATAAAACCACAACATAGCCCTGTGTACAGACAAAAGAGGAGGCTATAGCCTATAGCCGTTCCGTCACAATAATACACGATAGCAGGACAACCATGCTTGAGTAAGAACTTATGTCTAAATCAAGATTATATAGCACTCCCCCGTATCTCCTAGTTAGAACAATTTTAAGTAGATATAACTATTCGAATATTTCCATATGATTAACTTTCAGGGGGCTTGCATAAGCCCAAAGAAGCTATTCATTGAAGCTTAAATGGTGAATTTCAAGGTAAAGATTGGTGCGGCTACACGGTTAAAGCCATGTAGTTATTCCCACGGGGACCATGGGCACGAATTGTATTGATAATACTTCCCTTTTGGTACTTTTCTAGAATTGTACGATATGTCGTGTGATTTCCCTGCGGGATATATGTAGGTTCTACCGTGACGTGTTGCTACTTGACGGGGGGACATGAGCCCTAACACTTGCCTCATGAGGAGCTTTGTCACTTTTCCAACAGCTATATCTATAAGACTACCGACTTCGGCGTTCATGATCATGGCCTTCTTGTAAATGTCTCGACGACTAGCCTTATATGTTTCGACCTTGAGCTGGGCAATTGAAGCCCCGAAATTATGTCTGTTCAAAGCTGGGGATAGGGCAAGCTTTTGGGTAAGCGGTATTGTTACGTATCCTGGGCCCCTCTAGCTTTTCATGGCGAAGGCCTTAGAAGGGGAGGCTACCGAAACTTTCGCAGGCGATGGGAACGTCTGGCTCAAGACCTTTGACGATTAACACTTGGCCGGAGTGGCCTAACGCGGGGCAACAACGAGGCCTGCGTTGAAACCCCCCTTGGTTGGCTGAATGCGATTATCTTCTTCGTGTGGAAACATCGGGAGGTCCAATTAAACGCCAATATGTTGCCACTTTCATGGTTTATTTTACTCCTGAACAGAAGCACCAATGTATATACCATTAAGCAATAACTATTTTCCACACATCCTCTGGTATTCGAGTTGAATATTCGTAGAGGTTAGTAACAGCCGATTCTAGAACACGTTGCTGGACAGCAGATTTATAGGCTTCTAAGTTTATATCGTTAAATATTTGGAAAGGGAAGTTTTTATTGAGTGACCTGTGATATGATACTCTTTCAAAAGGCATAAACGACATTAAAATCCTTTAAGGCCTTCGTTGATACAGTGGCCGAGATTGCTGCTCTCGTATTCTCGAAATAAGGACACGAATACCTAAAGCTCAGACATCTTAAGGGGGTGGCTTATTTAACACCGAATTTTTCTTTATCGCCATGTACACATGTAAGCGGATTTAAGGCGTCGTCACCATCCATTCCAATACATTCAGTTCAATTAGGAGGTTCCTAGGTAGATAATTGATAGTTGCTGGAAGCAGGAATCTTCGGATTCCATCTTGACTTATTATTACCTGCCACTAGGCTGTTTGTTCATTGCTTCGAGAAGTCTTCTCTTCGTTATTACGTGTAACTTTATATTCGGGTTTCCCGGCTTTAACGCTTCGGACAAGGGGTGGTTACTCTTATTAACATGGTTCATGTTTAATGAGGATAGGGCTTCGTCAAACCGCACGGTCAACCCAGCTTCTTGTCAGAACCAGGGTTGCAGGGGCCACTGTTGCATCCATCATCTTATTAAGGTAATCCGTACTAACAATAGAAGCAATAGAAGTTCGGTACGCCGCTCTTACGGCAATAGCCTATGTAATAACAGAATTGGGTTTTGTACAAAGTATGTATACTTCAGGTGGTTGTTACAAGTAATTAGTATACCTTAGGTACTTAACCTGCCTAGGTAATGTTAACTAGGTAATATATGTTAGGTAGTATATGTGTTTGAACCAAACGTGAAGTTGGGCGTTATCATTTTATATTGGCGCGTTGGAGGGGTCCCCGTCACGATGACGTAAGTGACTTGCGACTAGGCCCGAAAATCTTCATTTGCATGAGCCGACGTGTACACAGAATATGCCAAAACTTTTTATCGGTTGATAATCCAAGCTACCTATTTGGGTACCCCTGGATTAGTTAAACAAGATTGAACAATTCATATGTACCTAAGGTACCTATTGGATGCCATGGAACAGGTACCTTACCTAGGTACTTCCTAACTTACCGTAGGTGCCTGGTATTTGCGCAATCATCTTACAACCCGCTGTATTTTACAGGCTACCTTAGGTAAGTACATACAGTATAATACAGTTTTCCATTCTCACGGCATTACCTCCAGCGGTACATGATACTCACGCCAAGGTACTAGCCCTAGACTCAATCCCTTTTCAGAAGATGTGCCTGATGATGATTACATAGTACTATCAATGGAGCGCTTGCTCATTACATACCTAGGTAGGTAGGTAGTACACCAAATAGCCTTGAACAAAATACTATGTACCTTTAACAACAGCACTTCTTTATATTGACTCCCAAATATACCTTACTTCAACTCATCCACGAGTAGCCATATCCCCCCTCACTATTAACCATGAGCAATTGCTTATTGACCTTTTATTATTCCTGTATGTACTGGCGATATGTCCTTACTAAAAATGCCATGCTTCGCTCCTTATTCCCATACCCTCGGCTCCGCATCTCCTCCAACCAAATCCGGAAATCCAAATAAAAAACCCATCTAGGCGCTTCCTTTTTTCGTACATACCGGTCTAACGATCGCAGTTGCTGTGAACTACCCCTCTCCCCTCGCGGTGGATATTCATATACCGAGCCAGAGAACAAAATCAGTATCGAGAATTGAATGTGTCATCGCTCGCTACGATGCCAAGTATATGTGTGCGCAAAACCCCTTGACTTTGTCCTAGAATCTCATTCTCCTCTAAACGCCGGGCCTGGTATCTTGAAAATGCAATGCAATGGTCCAACTATGAGTTCGACCAGAAAGAGATCGTGTACGTCGTTAGCCGTTTTCTAAGACGGCTTACCAATCCATCCGTAGATCAGACCATGCAATTTTAGTCGGCCTCGGGAGGATCGGGATTCGTGGTTCGAAGTACTTTTCGCGAATAATCGTGGTTATCTTGCAGTGTGTTAATGCTCTCTTGGCTCTTGTTCTCGCGGCTGTAGATATTTGCAGCAAATGGGTCCATGCGGGGATCATGCGGCATAAACCGACTATTTCTCCGACCTGATGTATTATCGCCATCCCATACCGATGCCTTTCCGGTCGTCGGTGTGCTCATCATGCCCACTGAGCTTCCGCGCTGACTTGCGGGTGAGTCCCCAAGAGCATCACCCTGGTCTCGTCTTCTCCGGCGGAGCCAGAAGAAAAGGCCTATACCTATAGCGAGGCCTACAGCAGCAAACACACCTATTGCTATTCCAACTGCCGCGCCGGTTGAGAGTCCATGTTGATTTGCTGGTATTCCGCTTGAACTGGCATCCGGTGATGCATCTGGGTTATCTGTAACCGTAGGCATTATGGTAACTGTTTTGACAGTACCTCCCGTGGTAACCGTAGATACACTCGGGGTCGTAGGTGCAGGTGTAGATGTGGTAGTGCTACCTTCTGATTTCGACGTCGTCGTATCCTAATATCCAATAAGTATGATATCCCCAACAAAAGCGGCAATAGACAAGTAGAAACAAGAATATGAGATTAGTAGAGCATACAGGAACGGCCGTGGTCGCGTGAACCGTTGGAGTAACAGTGACTGTATTTTGTAAAGTCTTTGTCGTAGGGTCCTGATGCCGGACTAAGTCTTAACGAAATATCCTCCCAAGCTCGTTGCCGAATAGCTGTACCAAGGATCCGGTGAAGAAATGAGAACCCAGACGATATATTCGAAGAGGCACTGATTTCTTGCGTGAAAAGAACAAGGACAAAACAAAACTGGGTGACTTACAGGACTTGACGTTTTAGTAGAAGAAGCAGAGCTGGCCGACTTGGTGCCGGAAGGCTGGTGATCAAGAGACATGTATCCCCATAGTCCATCACCTCCGCATAAATCGCTTGGGTAGCCAGGACATGAGGTATCGCACTTCCCGGTATCTACCTGAGTTGACTCGTCGGGCACATAATCACTACACCAACATTGATTATATTTAACCACAGCAAAGGCGGAAGTGGCTTCGCAGAAGTCGTGACACAGCCCGTCAGACTGATAATGACTGCTGTCTGGAAAACATTAGTAAGATATAGAGAATATACGGCTCGAGGCATTCAGAAACATACTGGCTGCTGTCGATGCTGTGTTGATGCTTGCACAATAAACTATAGGGATAGACTGAGTATGGCCTAAGTTGGCAAAGAGGGCCATGAGGCCCACCAGGGCTACGGATCGGGTTGCGGAAGACATGGTTCGAAAATATCCAATGTTTGATATCTGATAACTACTGTTAGCAGGTATGCTCAAGGTTGGGAAGTAGTTCAACCACAACTAGATCTCATTCGCTACAAACAGAAGAGGAAGTAAACTCACAAAGCGAACGAACGTAAATTGAATAGATTGAATAGCCAGTCAAGCAATCCGAGAGATCACGACACAAATATCACAGGCAACCGTAAGAGTTGCTCGCGAGTATTGCCATGACAAATCTAGCAGTTCTCAATTGAGGCAAGCAGGTTTGCCAGAGGGTCAAAGGTCACCAGTTGTGAAAGGCGAATCTGGTAACAGATTGCCAGCGTGACCGTGGAGTTATGATGCCTTCAGAAGAGAGGCGGAAGGTAATGCGCGGCTCACGGTGCAGAGTGCTGGCCAAGTCTCAGAAAAGAGAAGGGAAAAATACGAGCAAACGGATGGGAAAGGAAGATGGAAGGGATTAGATAGGTCTTAAAGGTACCGTGGTGGTGGTGCACACACTGTGGTACCTCTATGTACCTAGTTCTTTTGGTGGGTGGTGGTGTTGTGTGGGTGGCAGGCTAACAGGATAACAGGGTACGAAGCAGGGCAGGTAGACAAAAAAGCAGAAACAGGGATTAGGGATGGAAGGAACGGGATTGGGTACGTAGCGGTCGGGAAAAGCTGGGATCGCTGGGATCACTGAACAGCTGCTGGGATGACCTTGAATAAGCACCTTGGATAAGCCGGGATAGCCTGGGATGAGTTTGAGCAGTTGCAGGACGTAGATGCCAAGTCTCGCGGCCGATCGGCGTTGGCGAGCGGATTAAACGTCAAAGGTCGCTATTGGGACCGGGGAAGAGTAGAACAAGCCAGATAAAATTGGGTGTAAAAGGTAGACAGATAGCGTAGAATAGATATCAAGGTGAGTGGTGAGTGAGTTTTTTTTTTCTTCTCTTCGGCCCAACTCTCTCCCACCAGAAACCAAGAGAGACAAAGGACAAAAAGGAACTGGTATGGTATGCGGAGCGGCTGTGTGCTGTAAAAAGGTTCCGAATGCAATCAGTTTGTATGTAAGTTTGTACTAAGTACCTAATGTAACTCTAGGGGGTTCCTTATAGATATGAACAATATGAATATGAATATAAATGTGAATGTGAATGTGATTACGAAGTACATATGGATATAATATGTAAGTCAGGCCTGATCACGGTAAGTACCCAGGTATGCACGAAATATGTATCGATGGTGATAGCAAGTGAAGGTGAGTACAAAAGCAGGGGTACGATGAGCCACGATGAAGAATGAACGGGGGTCCCTGTGAAACGAGCGAAGGGAAGCGATCGGAAGCTGCCGTACTAAACTTAAAGGCTTTAAACCAACGAATAACGAATGATTTCAAGAAAAAAAAGGTATTAGAAACAGAGTAAGATGGAATAGCGTCGAATCTGTCGTTGAAAAGGGAAACAGAAAGAAGAAGAGGGAGAAAGCAGAAAAGTTGGGGGGTAACAGATGAATTTGGAATGAAGAAACTAATACGCAGTAGGCTAAGAAGAATTCTGGAAATGGCGAATTAGATTTTTAACCGGAGCATCAAATTCAAGATCTTGTGAAGATAATGTAGACCGTGTAAAATGTAAGCCTCCTAAAATGCGCACGAAGCATATAAATGACTACCGTTTTGGGATTAGACGATTGTTTCGGCCCAATCTATCAACTAACTTCGAGGCTTGTTGTTCTAGGTAACAGTCTACTTAGGTACCTAGTTTAGGTGCCTGCCTAGGTACCTAACCTGATACCTATCCATTGTGTTACCTAAAGAACTACGTATCTTGTAGGTGCCGCCAGCCAAGCATTGAGCTGCGTTACTTGCAGTTCATTGGATCCGTTGGCAGTTTCAAAGGACAAAGCTACCATCGAATTTACTGGTCGTTAGTTGCTATACCTCTGGCAGAGTGGATCATGGCCTAAATACACTACTACTATTACTACGTACTATAGTACGGTTTATCTCTTGAATATTCAACTAAACATAACCTCATATGAGATTGTCATCCATATCCCCAGGCTTAAAAAACATTTATTTACATAGTGTATTATCGAACCGACCAGTTGTATTTATTACTAGTATCCTACTAGTAACCTCTTGCATTTAAAATACGTACATACCTTATCTAATACCATTACCACGGTGCCGAAAGGATTTCCGCTCATTCCCGGACTAGGGTTTTTTTCTTCTTCTGTAATCTCACTTAACCTCGCGGCCAGGCGGCACATTTCAAATTGCTACATTTTTCATATATTTGTGTCTAGCTCGCAGCTGCGCAGGAACTTCCTTGAGGCTTGAGCTAGGACCCTTTGGGATGGGGATTTTGATACGAGATGCCACTGTTTCAACTTGGTAGCGCACAAACCGCGAGCTAAGCTCAGAGGCTTATTATTTATTTCTACTGCCTCGTGCCATGCGCGTGGGCACTCTGGCTGCTTCTACCCAACCGCAGCGCCGCGCGTTATTAGCTCTCGCTTACTTCGTACTTAGTTCAAATACTTATTCACGTTACCTCCTTGCCTCTTTACTTGCTGTCGAATATGAGAGCATTATTATCAGCTTCTTTATTTTTCTCTATATCTATAGGTAAGCATCAAACAAATTCTTCAAAATTTCACTTCCCTAGTTGATGATGGGTTTAACTCGCTACTCGACAACTCATGCGTTAGCATCCATGCAGACTATTTTCGGAATAATTGAGGATCAAATATTTGTCGTTGCTTCGCAACCTCCGTAACGGCATTCGGCTAGACATCTAAGAGCGAGTGAGGCGGTCCGTATAAGAAAGCCTACGTAGTATACGATGCCAGCATACTAGCTTAGGTTAGTTATGTAGAAACCAATCCAGGTCATGGTTTCTCGCGAAAGTGGGTTGAGCCGCTCACAGGCCAGAGAGGTGTACGTGCTACTCGGTATCGACGGAAAGTCGTAAAAGAACCACTTCTCAGACCCAAGCATCTCGTGAAACTTCCGAGTTACGCAAATCACCCCACACTGTCGGATGCCCGAATCTCAAATCGGATGGTCTCCAAAACCCCTTGTACTTTATTTATGCTAGAGTCCCCTGTGATTGCTCAATTGCTCGTATCACTCGACTTCGTCTATCGCACTATATCTGCAAACCCCCCTCGAGTGAGCAATACGGGATGGCTGTAAATAGCCGATCACGTCTGCATCTCGCATTGGTTTGCCGAACTTTTTTAGCTTTTGGGGGCTACGCGGCATTACGGACGATGCAAGCCTCGAGGCTTGTGTAATGCGCACATAATAGCGTAAAGTACATCCATCAGTCAACAGGGACTTCAGACAATAAACGGGAGTTGGCTTATTTTTATTTCTTTATTTATTCCATCATTCCCTTATCCCCTCTTTGCTCATCCTATATCTCCCTAATCTACCTACCTCGTCGATCTAAACATTGGTCTCTGGTCGACTTGGAATATAACAGGCCGCATTTACCGACCAACTCGTCGTTAAAAGGCAACGGCACCATACCACCATGCATAATCTGTGCTAGGGATATAAAAACAAGAGGCTAGCTGGGGTTGTACTATGGGAGATGGGTTTGCTTTCCTTACCGCCCCTCCCCCACAATACCATAGATAGGAAGAATGAGGTGATCATGAGCACTCCCATACATAGTATCTCACCCTCATGCGGCACGATGCACAACAACCACTAGCTTAGACGTCCTTCACTTACGCATGACCGGCTTTGATGCCAGCCCCTCCTGGTCTCCGGGTATCGCTGCGAAATCTTGGAATTTGAATCCCGTTACGCACCCGCACATGGCATCGAAAAGAACAGAAGTCGGTTGAAGGTGGTGCCAGAGTCGCAGGTCCCTCAACAGGGATGCGTCGTCTAAAAACAAATCTAAGGTGTAGATCTGCATCTCGCGTCATAATACTGCATTGCTAGCTACTTGGAGGTGCTTCTCACTGCGCGGGTATCGACTCAGTCCCAATTTTGACGACGATGGCTTCATTCGAGAAACAATTCTCATAAATCTACTCAGACAATATTAAGTAAGTTTTATTCCCGCATTTTCAGAAACTAACCTACAATATAAACAAAAGAGGGAATTCCTTACTTAGCCAGATCTTATCACCGAAAATCTATGACACTTTGAAGCTACCTATCTCAACTTATGGCCTTCCTGTTCGGGATGGACTTGTCCACCGCCTCCGCATGTGAATCCGAGACGCATCCTTTTGTTCCGATTTTAGACCGGGGGTATTGATAATGCAACGAACACAACGCATGCAGGTTAGAACGATAGTGAGTTCCGATGGAATTCCACAGTTAAGCTGAGAGATCTCTACTTTTACATATCTGTACAAAGGTGATATAGATACCTAACGCTTCGACACCCCTCCAATGTGTTACTCTCAAACCAACCACCTCCAATGGGTCAAGTTACCACCTTCGACCGCACAAGCAGATCTAGAAGCATCTTATCCGAAATTGATATTCCCATCCTTCATGGAGTGAGTATCTCCATGTTGACAACCAGTAATTGACCTTGGCTTCGAAATCGTAGATCAACTGATATATATATATACACTCTGGGGGTCGTAGATCGTCAAGGGGAGTAGGTACATGTACGAAACACCTCTTTGTCTTCTTGGCAGCTTTTTCAGCTGACATACCCCACATAGTAAAACCCTGAACGGGTTAATAGCAGCATATTATTAGTTAATTACCAGTTAGTTTCTAGGTTGACCAAGGATGAATGCTCGGATACAACTTGAGCCGCATCGGTAAGTTCAGTAGCAGTGCCCGGGTCGACGGTTTGTCCTTGTTCTCCGACATCATCACTAGGCCCCCTGAATGTGAGTTGCTAACGTTAAATTTCTGTCAAGACGTGTCTCTTATCTTCAGGTAATTTTAAAACGGACGCGTCCGGGCCAGCCCTAGCGTAAAGCTCGAGCTCGAACAGGTTGCAACTAGGACCAGTAAAAATTAAGTGAAGCGTTTTAGTGTGTAAGACGCCTCAAGAATCGACAGGTACAGACGGAGCGTTATTGGCTTACTAGGTCTATCCAATTCTCCGGAACCTCTTCAGATTTACGCGATTGATGCTTTTTAGCACCCCTGAGATGATGATCGCCCGATTCCATACTTTCATAGATCCCACATCCTCAGCCCCCGACGTGTTAGACTGCTAATCTCTGCGATTATTCATACGTCCTGACTTCTACTTAATACATGGACGCCTACATAGAGCTTCAAGGTTCCTCTGATGAACACGTCGACGCGCATATGGGATCGTCACTATCGCCAATCGTGATTATTGCATGTTATATCAAAAGCATTGGACTGAAAAACTTGGCTGTTCTTCAAACTTATATTAACTTGCCACGCCGAAGCCGTTTTAAATCAAGAGACACCTGAAGATCTCAATGAGCAAAGACCATGAAAAATACCCATCGGCTCACTTCATTTGTCGACTTCCGTTGAAAAGGCGCTCTGGAAAGACGCCTTCCGCCAGGGTGGCTGCATTGATATGTGCAGCGTTCCCTAATAACATAGACCCCCACGCTTCGTTTTTTTTACTCCTATAGAGGTAGTCCTTCTCTAAATCGATATTCGAGGAGTCTTCTATCCACTTCATACCCTTTGACAAGAGACAGAGTGGTCTCCTTGGTGTTATTAAGGCCTCTTCATGCTAGCCTTAATCGCTCTAGATTGGCTATTACATTACATCCGGCCAGACCAGATCGTTCAGATACATACCCGTCGTACACTACTTTGGACCCATTTGATGCAGCCTTAAGTACGCGTCTTGGTTTAAACCGCATTAGCGCTAAACTTCCTAAGATGCAATTTCGCTAAGCGTCAAGATTTTGCGCAAAGTGGTGAGCGCCAGTGGCGGTTGTGGACATAGCAACCGAATAAAGCTTAGGTGATAGGGGCACGCAAGCAACACGCCTCGTAGATTATACACTGTATACCGCGAGTACAGGCTGCGCCACTGGTGAAGCTTTGAGCTAAGTCTTACTTCTTCGAGGTAAGCAGACATGATACTGTCATTTTAGTCTTCATTGGGCCAGCTGAAAACGCACGCTAAATAATACCCTTCTATGTTGGGCTCATGCAGCCAGTATATCGAAAATCTGGGTTGAAGCAGATTTGGTGACAAATAGGTTCCACAGGCCTCCTCGAGATAATATGTATTATACCTAACCTAAGGTATCCTCTCCATGGCTAATAACGACTACGGTAGAGAAAGCCGACAGAAGAACTCGCCTACTGCAGGTCCCAATTCTCCGTCCTCTGAGATAATTGACCTATCGAAAAAAAGTACGACCGATTGCGTTGGCTGCCGGGAGCGTACAGACACAACCCTCTGTTGCGCGCCGTTTCTCGCCTTGCTGCGGTAACGCGGCCGGTGGTCTGTACGACGTAGAACAACTGCGAATCGTGAACCCCGAATTCGCGTATATATTCTAGTCGCGTGTTGTTCGTGTAAACGTGAGAAACCACGACGTCTCATCTAACGTGAAGCGAAACTGCGTTAGATCTTTTTAAGAATGTAAGACATAGAAAAATCTATCCTAAACTATCACATTGTGTACTGGTATTAGGAGTCGAGACACCTGTCTCGAAGCTCAGAGGAAACCCCATAGTTCTGTTCCATGTTTAACGCAAAAATGTGGTTTCTAAATACAGTAGCCTTCAAACACGAGAGGAACTAATATATACTAATTGCCCAATCTAATCATAGGAGAGTAGGTCGGGATAAGTTATAACAGAGCCCCCAACTTGTTGGTTCAAAGCCTGGGTTAGCTAATTAATATATAATACTTAACCTCATCCCTTGGAACCCATATCCACGAGACATACAGTAGTATCGATATCAGTAAATGAAGGAGAGAAACGAGGGCCTTACTTTCTATGGTCACATATAGATGCACTTAGCTAGCCCCTTGAGGAGCAATTAGTTGTATAACTATTTCTCTGTGACACTCAGAACAACTATGGATGAAACATGATCAAACGAAAGCGGGTATTTTTTCTTAATTAAACAAATCCTATTCGCGACAACGCATCGCAGTAATACGTACGTACGTAAACCCCTATCTCTACTTCCACTTCCAGTTCCAGTCCCCGAACCCGAGGGGGAGGGAATATTCGATGCGCCCATTCTCCCAGCTTAGTAGTAACAAATAAAACCAAACACAAACGCGATTTCAACCCAACGCCTTTTGCCAAACGATGGTCCGCTAATGCCTCTCCCTGACGCTTTCGTAACTCCGTTCGTTCCCGACTCCCTAATCCCGCCGACGTTACACATAACGGCGTAAAGTAGTACCTAACTTTAGGTACCTAATGTACGGTTTGATACCAGATGGACCCTGTCATCGCGTCGGGGACACGGCCGGACTGCTCTCGTGGCTCTTCTTATGTAGGCTTTCGAGGCTCTCCACCATCGCCAGGACTTTTGTCCGCGGCCGCTCCAGCCGCACCGCTTGCGCGGAAAACACGTCCCCGTCCGGGTCGACCACCGGCGACCGCGACGGCTTCCTCTTCCGGGACTCGCTTCCCGGCGCCGCGGCGCCCAGCAAGCGCAGGCCTTCTTCTCGCAACGATACCGGCGTGCGATGTGTCGGAGTAGCCGGCGGCTGTCTGCCTCTCTCCGCAGCACTGCGCTTCCATTCGGCGTCTAGCTCCTCGCCTACTTCGCGCAGGATCTGCTGCTCTGCTTCCCTGGCTTCGGCTAGCCTTATATCATCATCCTCGTCTTCGATCGGGCTCAAAAGCAGAGTGCCGAGATCGTGCTCTTCTACCGCCACAACGGGCGCCTGGTGACTTTCTGTTATGTCCTGTTCCCGATCCGCCTCCTGACTGGTAACCGCCACCGCGACGTCCTTGCCGCTCTCCGCGTCGGGCTCGGCGTTGACCACGCGCAAGGGCTCTCTAGGCACCGTGAACATGACCTGCACGAGCCGCTTCTCAACGGCCTTTTCGATATCCCACTCCTCGTCATCATCGTCTTCTGCCACCGCCGTCCCGCGCTCCTGGTAACTCGAACCACCCGTTGCAACCCTACCTTTCCCCCTCCCGTCATACCTCTCCCCCATGCCTTCCCAATCCCCCCTCCCGCTCTTCCTGCGCAGCAAGCCCCCAGCCGCGATCTCGCTCAGACCGCCACCCCGCGGCATATCGTAACCATTCGCGCCCGCCGCGAAGCCCTCGTCGTCCAGCTGCTTCTCCCTGTCCGGCGTCTCGGGCGGACTCGCCCCACCGTTGAGCACCCGCCGCAGACTCCCGAGCCAGCTGCGCCGCGGCTTGTTCTTGCTGGGACTCCCCGGCGCCGCCTCGTACTCGTCCCGGCTGACTCGCCCCATCAGCAGAACCGGCCCTTCGGCTTGCAGCGCCGCGAAGCTGCTCCGCGCCGTGTTGTAGCTGGGCGCCGAGCTCGACGAGCCGCTGCTCCCGCCGCGGTTTTCGTCGTTTGCGGGTGCTGCCGCTGCTGGTGCTGGTGCTGATGATGAAGCGCCCAGAGCGGCGGCCGCGATGCCGAGTCCCGAACGCAGCACCGAGCGGACTGACTCCGAGCGGCTGACGCCGAGGCTGCTGCGGTTGGTCTCGGAGACGCTGCTTTCTGTTCGCGAGTCGTCGGGGCCGCGCCGCGCCGGGGAGTTCTGCTGCCCGGAAGCGCACGCCGACATGCGCGGCGCGGCGCGACTACTTAGCAACGCGTCCATGGCCTCGACATCCGTCATCCAATCCTGGACCTCGGGATCGGTAGTAAGACGGCGCTCCTCGGGGCTCGGCGTGATCGAAGCGCGGTTGGACGGCGGGAACGAGATCGGGTTCTCCTGCGTCGTCGGCGTGAGGAAAGGGTCGGAGTCCCGTCTGCCGTCGGTGGTATTGCTCACGTCGCGGACAGGGCTGACGGGCTCGCTTGTGATGTCGCCGTCGTGGGCGTCCTCATCGGCTTCGATGATGGGGTGGATCACGCCCGACGGCGGGTCGTATGTGTTCCGGCGGGGCAGCGGTTTCCTTGCCGGCGGCGTGCCGCCGTACCATGACGGCTGCGGGCCGTTGTCCGCGCTGGCGCGTAGGCTCTGGTAGCCGAGCGAGCGGTTCCCGCGTAGATACGGGTCGGGGCCACCTGTGTACCAAACCCCGCCGGGGTGATCTTGCTCCATCATTTCGTCGTCGTGAGGTAAGAAGCGCGAGGTGTCCTGGGCGAGGGCGCGAATGGCGGAGTCTCGGATCGCGCGTGTGTGGCGTTTTCGGCGGCGGTATAAGAGGAATAGTAATATGGCTATAATAATGGCTACAAACCCAAGACCAACTCCTAGTCCAATTCCCAGGCGTGTGCCGACATCGCTATCGCCACCACTTGAGCTGTCATCTGTATTTGATCCGGAAAAGTCTGGGTTCGTATAGTCGTTAGACCAGCTCATCGACGTGAGATTGAGGAACATGGGCAAGTTATTGCTGCCAGAGGCTTGTCTTTTAGCTGTGGTTTCGGACGGTGATATGTTATAACCTCCGTAGACCATCATGATGTTTCCAGGTAGTAGCGCCGCGCCATGGCCATATAATCCCGGTCCTGGTGGTTGAACGTCCGGAACAGACCAATGCCACTCCCCATTACCGCCGTAACTCGTCCCGATGTTGAGAATAGCCAGTTGCGGCGAGGCAGCTTGAGTTAAGTCTCCAACCCATCCCCCTAAAACGATCAAAGAAGTTCCATCCTCGCTCAGCACTGCTGTATGACCAGATCGACTGTCTATTTTGTCTATATCGTTGCTTTTGACCGCAAGTTCGGTGTTGGAACCCGAACTGCCTACGCTAATATCTGAGATGAAATTCCAGCTTTCCTCCGGCAAGCTCCAAATTGCGACTGTACTCATGTTTATAAAAGCGGTCTCCGTATGGCCGCCTAGTAGTACATAGTTGATCTGCTGGGTAAGTATTCCTGTTCGGTTGGATACGGAGGGAGACAAGCCGGTAAAAGTGAAGCCAGCCTCGGGCACTGGAGGGCCATCGCTGGAAATTGGGCCGACCGTAAAGTCTCCCGCGTCGGTTGCTGACGGCGCGATCTTAATCATTTGGTTTGAATAGGTGGCTTTTTGCTGTGCTGAGGTTCCAATAGCAGTCGCATTGGGACACATTCCGCCATATACGTAAGTGTTCGCCGGCGATAGTACGGGCGCCAGGGTATTTGAAAAACTAAAACCAGTCCCCAGGAAACTTGGCCCTACTTGAACATTATCTGCCTTCGTCGCTAGCGTGGTACTCGCTTTGATCCAAGATGACGATGCGCCGTCGTTAGGAGACGGGTTGAACGTCCATATTTCGGAACTCGCTGGCGATGAACAGTCGCCGGCGTAGACGATAAGAGATCCATTGTCCGCAAGCGACGGTATGAATGCGGTGTTCTTCGTATCTAGGAAGGGTACGTTTGACGACAAGGTTTGGAGCGGCAACGATGAAGCCCGGAGGTTGCCCGAAAAGTTCAGCGCTAATAGGTTGACCCAATCTCCTTGGGGCGAGAATATGTATGCGACATTGATAGTCGCATTGTCTTGAGCTGGCGGAGGTTTCGGTTCTGGAATGAAAATGCTCGTGGGGAAATATGGCAACGGCAATGTCTGAGCTACACCGAGTGTCGCGAACCGCGTCCAAGCCGTGACGAGTATCAGATACCGGATACCTGCCGTCACCCGCGACGCTTTTAAAATAGCGCTAGCAAACATCGGTGTTGTCCCGAAGGAATAATTCATCGCTCTACCTAGCTCAACCCTGTGGAAAGCATCGTCTACCTTAGGTACCTTAGGTAGCTTGGCCTGTCGATCGCATCCAGAAGCCTGCGAACAATAGATTAGAAAGGTGTAAGTCGACGACTATAACGCGAACCCCACAAGACCTAATCTTCAAGTCATGACCTAAAGGCAAGACTACCTTCTAAAGGTTTCACGATTCAAGACAAGCCGGGGCGGGGAATGAGTGATGAGCTGTCTCAAGCCGCAGGGTTAGGTGAAGAGCACGGAGCAACAACGTAAGGGTCTTGTTATTTGGCCTAGAGGTACAAGACAGATAGATAGATGCTCCAGATTATGGATTATGGCGGGGGATCTCTTTTTTTTTTTGGTATTGTACCACACTTCGTATGCTTGTCATACAAACAAAAGCTTGTGACCTTGTTTTAGGAACCAAACAATGTTTAGCAAGCCGACGGGAGACCAGAGTCGCCGTTTCAAAAGATGAGATTAATATCACAAATAGTTCAAATAGCCACATGAGATCGATATATTGCCCTATAACGCAAATTTTCTTATTATAATTCTTTCATCTTTTCCTGATTTTTCTTGATCACCGGTTGCATCTCAGGGTAGCACCGGAAAGCTCATGTTTGGAGGGGTTGAAAGTTGGTTGTCGGGGCAACGTCTCCCGAAAAAGAATCAATAGAACGGGATTTCCCGAGAAGGACCCAAAATCAGAGCCATCATTTGACGGAGATCGACTCTCGCTAGATCAGCACGACGCGTAATTCGCAATTCCATACTGCACGAGCACGCAGCGTCACTACAGTAAAATCCATTGGTCGAACCAACATCTAAATATCTCCACATTATGTTAGGTACATACCTCCTAGTATATACCTAGTACATACATATTACGGAATAGTGAAGAGAAAGGCAGAATAAAATTCTATTATATCTCCTCTAACTAAACCAAGAAACAAAAGTACCCTCCAATGCCAAATCCATCTGGTGAACTAACAACCGGAAACAATATCGTGGCCAAAATGCTCGCAATGCAAGCCTCCCCCCTTTTCTCCGTAGAGCTGGGTTCGGATTAATTACAGTCGGCAATCTGCTCCATCCAGCCAAAGTCCTCCCGACTTATCTGTCCCCTCTGAGCAAGGCTTTCGAGTACGTTTCTAACCCGCTGGACTCCTTGCTTGGCAGACGCCATTACCGACGTGCGTTCCTCGTACTGCCCAAGTAGAGTCTCGGGCACCAGGTAGCCGTCGTCGGTCAAGGTGACTCCCGCGGGAGCCTTCACCTGTATGGGTTGCCGTGCTCGCTTGTACGCGGCCAGCTCTGCCTTCAGCTGGTTCCGTTCTGCGGCGCCCTCTTCGAACTTGGCGCGGAGGCCGTCTCTTTCCGTCTCGATTGCTAATATTCTTGCCACCGTCTTTGCCGAGTCCTCGCCTTGGCCTTCTTCGTAGATTCTGTTGAGATGCTGTAATCTCTCCAGCTCATCCTCTTGCCTCTTGCTCGCGGTTTCGAGATCAGACTTGTCGAGCCGTAGACGGGAGATCTCAATTTCCAGCTTCTTGTTCTTGTGGTCCATGTCCTTATGCCTCCTATCCCAGGCTGAAGTCCGGTCTGGGTTCGACGGTGCTGGTATTGTAACCACCGTCGGCCGGCTTTCTATCTCCTTGGTGTAGGACGTGTTCGGGCGGTCTGAGAAAGCCGGGAGGACGAATATGGGACCGTGGCCACTGCCTCTTAATCGGTAAAACCGTGTCTGGAGGTCAACGTGGGCGATACCCCGGAGGCGGTCTTGTTCCTCGTCTGCATCCCGTAGCGTTTCTCCAACGACATTCTTCTGGAACCACTGGCGATCTCGTGAAACGCCCTTTGCTTCGCTCTTGTCAAGCATTTGATGGATAAAATTGAAAACGTCCTCTCCGGAGTTGGAAAGTATCCAGCGATCCTGCGGGAATACAACTTCTCTGCCGGACCGCCCATCTGGACCTTGTACGCTCAACTGTTGCGCCGGAACGATGGCCTCGCTCGCGAGAAGATCTAATGCATTGGCATAAGAAATCTCAAGTTCGTGCATGCGGCTCACGAGGTGTTGTGTGTGCAAGAGCCACTGTCCGATCAACGTTGATTTTACGTTATTGAGCTCTGGGTGCTCGACCACTTCCTCCGCATCAGTGGGGATAATTCCAAGTATCCCACCCATGGCTGAGTACTCATGGTCGAGTCTCTCCAGGCACTCGTTGGCGTGCATAAGCAGCGTCATATGGGTCTGAAACGGACGGACTAATTGATAATAGTCGTTCTCGATCAGGTCAGGTGTAAGCTCCGTCAGCGGGCAATGGAATATCACGCCTGCTTTATCACTGTTCTCCTTCACTAGATTAACTAAACTATTCAATGGCATCCTGTGTGCCTTGTCGATATTGTCGTAAGGGACCTGTAAGTTGTTTAGCCAGTCGTAAGCTTGGTGCCTTGGGAACGTGTCCCTGGGTATCGGCTGTCCTTGTTCATCTTGCGCAGGGAGGTTTTCGTTGTCAGCCTCGGCCCCTATTGTGCTCGGTGCAAGAGTCGATATTAAATAAGTTAGAGACTGGGCGTGCTGCTTCAGGGCCTCTAGAGTTGGTGGCCGGCCGGGAGTAGATAAGTAACTGCAATTAACATGACCAAGCATTCCAGAATTCGACGGAGGGTTCTCATGGTAGTGGTTAGAATAGTATGGCTTTGACCAGTGAGTGGCCCCAACGTAGCCCTCTATGCCAATGTACGAATCTTGCACTTTCCCGTCGGCCATCTTGAAAAGTAATCTTACTCGGCGCACGTTTTGGCTAGTGTAAGTAAAGTGACAACACTCCTTCTAGCAGTATAGATATCTCTTAGGGAGGGAAACGACAGTGGGCGGGAAGAAAGAACTAATGAGCATAGGAATCATTCTCGATGAATCATGAAAAGAGTGAAAGAAATAGATCTCGATACCAGAATGATAAGACAATGCATTGAGCTGTACAGCATTCCAGTGCTATCCTACTAGCATAGAATCGGAGAAAACAATGAAAACGGCGTGGCAGATGCCTGCAATGAACATGATTGAAAGCAGCTGCTTCGAAATGCCCAACAAGAAGCATCATTAACTAGATCCCCCTACCTGTTGATTTCGAAGAGACCAAAAGGAGAGCTTTACAATCAGCGAGTTAATCTGCTCGTTCGACTATATGTTCTGTATTTTTGAGAAAAGTACCTACCTACCTGATAATGAGTTATTTGCAGTGTCGTAAAAATTGTAAGCACCTAATGGACCTGATAGACAGGACACGAAGATGGTCTCCGTTCCGGTTTCTTTATCCGGATTCGGTTGCCTCTGGGTAATATATACCATACCCGATGTGTGCGGTGTGTACGATGTGTGTGGAATGAACAAGTCTTAAACCTGGTGTACATACATCTCAGCCACAATGGGCGTTTTCGAAGCACATTGTGTTTCTAGACGTCGAAATCAGTGTTGCGCTGGAATGAGATAGTCTCGTCGCAGATATCTAAAGATATTTTCATGTCTCTCCACATCTAGATCAGCGTCAATGCCACACCTTAATTCGATAAAATTGTTAACGCAAAGGAATGAATCATTGCAATCAGAAGCGACCGGCTACCTATGTATACTCGAAGTCTTCGTGCTGTTTCAATCTCATTACAATTTCGTACAACAGTGCGAAAACGGGATGCGTTCCGTTTGACAGAAAGCTTAACCGCGTGCCCTACATTAGGTAGTATCTCTTCCGTAGCGGAAGTATACCCGATTATGGTTATATAGAGGAAAGTTGCAGAAATAGATTGCGCAAGTCTTACAATCTGAGACAAGTGGTATTAATGTACGAATTCATTTACACCCAATGGGGTGGGTTAGAACGAGTGGTGGCGTTGTGACATATTCCGGGGTGAGACACTACGAGAACGACGTCGTTCGTCGGAGGCCTGGTGTCGAAATTTCAGCGAGATAATATTCAGCTCATACACTACTCTATGGCTAGGTATGAATAGTGTACGCAAGCGGATTTTGTGCGGCCTCATGCATCGTCAGATATCGTGGCTAAGAATGGAATGGCACGCGAGCGCTAGCTTAGCTGCTTTACTGCTGTGTTCGTTTTAGTTGATGAATTTGGTAGGGATTGCCAAGCTATCTCAAACCATCCATTAGTTCCCATCGAAGTGCCTGTAATAAATAATAAGTCTTGATTTTTGATCTACCAATAGTCTGATGTCATTGACGATTGGATCGAACTAGGACCTAGGGACTAATAAAATGATTTAGCATAACTATAGTTTAATATAAACAGCTAGTATAAACAGCTAGGACGATAAAGTTTGCTGTGCAAAACCTACAACATCTCTGCTGTAATACCAGTACCTAGGTTATTGTGATCTAGCGCATGTGAAGTTGGAGCTTCGTGTTCAGCTGTTTTCTTCTTGCTTCAAACCTGTTTTTCTGCATTCTGCCCTTGCACCTTGCATTTATACGAAGGTGTCAATCCTGAAAACCGCCGACAACAGGGACAAATATATCTTGTTCTTAAAAGATAAAAAATTATACCCCGAACCAAGTTTTATTGGAACCTCCTGAAGGTATCGTGCATTTATTATTCGTTTGATATACTCCTTTCACCACCTATGTATAGAAACTTTTTCCTATTTACATTAACCAACTGCCCAAAGTTTATCGGGAGGATTCCAGGATCCCTACGGTTGTACGGTTACCTAACCACTAGGGTACCTCCCTAGGTAACATTACCTAAAGGTAAGCACATCCAAAAAGGAAATTGGAAAGTTCCAAGGTCAGGCATGAGCCATACATGAGCCATAGAGTACCTACCTACCTAGCTCAAACAAGGGTTCCTGGCAAATTATCGTCATAGCTTTTCCTTTCCCCCCCATCCCAGAACCACCAGAAAGCCAGGAAGCTTGCAAAAGATCTGACGACAAGGATCGTCTCTAAATCCTGGAAAAATTCTGGTAATCTCACACAAGGTTAGACTTTACCTATATGTCGATGAGGCTCACATTCGTATATCAAATACCGGTCATACAGAACTTGAACATGTGTTCAGCATTCACCCTCACCTTTTCTTTTTCTTTTGTGCACCAACTCGCTTTCCTTTGATAGGGAGTGGTGTATACGATATATATCCCAGATCTACGAAACAGCGATCGCTGACCATTTCCCGGGGTCGATAGTTCCCAATTCCTCTTTAGCTCGAGTTACACGTACGTAGCCGCCTACGTCTTAAAAATAAACAACTAGTAATTTTGCCTCTTTTTTTGTTCTCTCTCTTTTTTTTCTTTTTTTTTTTTTTTCTTTCTATACACCAACCGCAGCTATTGAAAAAAACCACACTCGGCACGCGGTCAATTGGTGTTCTACGATTTTGAGCTTTCTTCCCATATTGGTCAGAGCTCAATGAGAGCTCATCTCGAAGTCCATTACCTATCGGAACCGTTACGGCTTCCCGTTGAGTAAACATCATCATCGTCATCATCATCAACAGTAAAGATGAGCGAACCCAGTCAGACCCAATCAGCTTCGGCTGCTTGTAAGATACCATCACAAATCCTTGACCTCATATCATATATACCTAACGCGTTCGCATAGCTCTATACCTCACTCTTGCGCCTGTCGCATTAACTGCCGGCGTCTATTTCACCATCTTCCTTGTCCTGCGAAAAAGTCAGAGGCGATTCTATGCTCCTCGAACCTATCTAGGGAGTCTTCGTCCGAGGTAAGTGATAAGCAACCTGTTTTTTTTTCTTTTTTTTTTCCTCTCCATATCCGAGTTTACACAAGTGCTCACTCTATACAACTTAGCGAACGATCACCAGCTCTTCCCAATGGCTGGTTTAATTGGATTGGCTCATTTTGGAAGATTCCTGATGTCCACGCATTGCAGCATCAATCCCTGGATGCTTATCTCTTTCTCCGATTTTTGCGCATTCTGGTTGCTATATGCTTCGCAGGATGCTGTATCCTATGGCCAGTACTCTTTCCCGTGAATGCCACGGGGGGTAACCAGGAGGCTGTGCAGGTAGATATGCTCTCCTACGCTCGCGTTAATAAGGATACACAATCGAATCGCTATTATGCTCACACCTTTATGGCCTGGATCTTCTACGGATTTGTCATGTACATGATCCTCCGCGAGTCCATATTCTACGTCAACTTGCGACAGGCATTTCTGCTCTCGCCCTTCTACGCCAACCGTATCTCATCACGAACTGTGCTCTTCGTTTCTGTCCCCGACCAGTATCTAGATGAGGCCAGGTTACGCAAGATCTTCGGCGACTCCGTCAAGCACGTCTGGATTACGCGCGACACGGAGAAGCTGGATGATCTTGTTAAGGAGCGCGATGAGGTCGCTATGAAGCTAGAGAAGGCTGAAGTCAAGCTCCTGAAGCTTGCCAACGCCCAACGCATCAAGTCGGCTAAGAAGGGTAGCTCTAACAATGACAGGGCCGAAGCGCCTTTGGACGCGGAGTCAGGTAGTTTAGCTGCTCGCTGGGTTCCTGAGAAGAAACGACCTACTCATAGACTCGGACTTCTTGGCCTCGTAGGTAAGAAGGTCGACACTATTAATTGGTGCCGCAGTGAACTAGCACGCCTCATCCCGGCTGTTGAGGCTGCGCAGGCAGAATACCGCGCAGGAAATAGCAAAAAGATTCCCAGTGTTTTCATCGAGTTCTACCGCCAAGCAGACGCCGAGACTGCTTTCCAGGTCTTATCCCATCACCAAGCTTTGCAGATGACGCCAAAATATATTGGTATCACGCCCGGCGAAATTGTGTGGAGCGCACTCAAGGTGTCGTGGTGGCAGAGAATCGTCCGCAGATTCTCAGTACTTGCTTTTATCACCGCACTTATTATTTTCTGGGCAATTCCTGTTGCTGTTGTCGGTATTATTTCGAATGTCACTTATCTTTCTTCGATCTCCTTTCTCCGTTGGATTCAGTCAATTCCCGACGTCGTTCTGGGATTCATCCAGGGCTTGCTACCCAGTGTTGCCTTATCTATTCTCATGTCGCTTGTACCTGTAATCATGAGATGTGAGTTTGACCTCCTTTCAGTATATTGTGTCAGGTATCTAATCCTTAAATATAGTGTGTGCCAAGCTTTCGGGCGAGCCGTCCCTATCGCGAGTCGAATTATTCACTCAGAATGCTTATTTCTTTTTCCAGCTGATTCAAGGCTTCTTGGTAATAACGCTCGCCTCATCAGCAACAGCTGTCGGAAAGCAAATAGCCGACAACCCTGGATCAGTCACAAGCATTCTGGCGGAAAACCTTCCCAAAGCTTCTAATTTTTATATCTCATACTTTATTGTACAGGGTCTAGGTGTCGCTTCAAGCGTGCTCTCTCAGGTCGCTGGTTTCGTTATATTTACTATCATGTACAAATTCCTAGCAGGGACGCCACGCGCTCTCTATACTAAATGGGCAAATCTTAGCGCTATTTCTTGGGGCAGCGTACTACCGGTATATACTAATATCGCTGTGATTAGTAAGTCTACTATCGACTCCCGCCTCCGAAACTCATATAACTAACGGTGTTAGGTATCACATATGCTGCTATCGCTCCATTGGTGCTTGGATTTGCTACTATTGGTCTTTCACTTTTCTACCTTGCATGGCGTTACAATGTTTTCTTCGTCACGGATACGCAAGTCGATACTAGGGGTTTGATATATCCTCGAGCATTAAAGCAGCTTTTCTCCGGCATATATATTGCTGAGCTGTGTATGATTGGGATATTCGCTACCTCAGTGGCTATCGGCCCCTTGGTTCTTATGGTGGCATTCCTCGTTTTCACTATCCTGTTCCACATTACTCTCAACAACGCCATCAACCCTCTACTTTATAACCTTCCTCGGACTCTCAGTGTTGAGGAGGAATCTAAATCCCAAATTGAGAGTTCTACTCGACACACCAGCTACTCGACTGTTCAGAATGGGGATCAGGATGGTCTTTCGGACACGAAGAAGACAACCTCTGGAAATACTGCTATTGCAGGAAAGAAGCCAGGGTTCTTGGCTAAATTTTTGAAGCCGTGGCAGTATTGCGACTATGAGTCGTTGCGAAAACTTGTGCCTCACGACCAGGTTGACACAAACAATTTATACACTGACGAGATCGAACGCAATGCCTACTTCCCACCTTCAGTCAACAGCGGAACTCCGTTGCTCTGGATCCCCGAGGACCCTATGGGTATCTCCAAGCAAGAGGTTCGGGAAACCGGCAAGGTTATCCCCATCACAGATGAGGGATGCATCCTGAGCGACAAGAACAAGCTAGAATGGGATACGGAGACTGTGCGACCACCTGTTTGGGAAGAGAAAATCTACTACTAGATCAAGAAATGCTCGGCGGGTTGGCCTCATAGTGTAAATTGCCGGGCCTTCTAACGAATCATTAGAATGAAGGATTTGAGTCTCCTCTATGTTTCTACGGCTTTCCGAATCTGTCTTTTTGTTTTAGTCTACGATACTGAGTTCGGACCAATGTGGTCAGAATGGGTGTTTTATTTCAGGTTATTATTGATTGGTGTTATTGAAGTCGACGAATGATTAAGGACACGGCTTGTAGGAGCGCTGAAATGTCTATTATACCCTTTCGATGAGTGGAAGTGTCAGATTAACCTTTCATTTTAATATAATAATTGATGACATTCAATTATTGCGATTCCTTATGGCTAAGAGGCATTTAATTGTTTACGGCTCCAAGTAAAAAAGAAAAGAAAAGAAGGTACCTAGATGATGATACCTTAGGTAAACATGATATATGGCATAAAATAAATACACTAGCATGATGATAGTAAGCATAAGTGAGACCTACCTACCTAATGCAGCACTGAGAGGTGGCTGGCAGCTGGCTCAGCGACAAAACAATACACAACAGGTACTTCCCCAGACTAATAACGTCTCAACACGGGCAGTCTGACAGTCTATCAAAGCGGCAGGTATGCGTGTTACGTAAGTCGATCTTTCCGGTGGCTGCTGAAAAGAGCCAAGGCTAGGGTAATTCAACCAATCAACGTGGCACGTCATTGTCTCATGACGTGCCCACCCCCAACCTTGCGTAGCAGATAGCAGGTAGTAGGTAGACAGACCTCCTTAGCCTTTTTTTTTTAGCTTTATCGCAATCCACTGTTCATCTCTCCCCATACCTTCACCCGCTTTCCTTTCCGTTGAGAGCAGTCAGTCATCTACATCTACATTTACAAAGCTTAACCCGAAACAATAAAACTCTTCTTACTCTTCAAAAAGTTCTGTCATTGGTTAAAGATTCTAGTTATATCATCTCAATTCGCAATGAAGTTCTCTACTGCCTGCGTGGCTGCGATGTCCGTTAGCCTTGCCTCGGCCGGAGGCTGGTTTGGCGAATCTAACCAAGTCGTCATCAAGGACGCACAGAAGGTGCCCGGCAATTCTCCTCTCGAGTTCTGTGATTCGGACCACAGCCAGGATATCATCAAGATTGAGAATGTTGATTTGTTGCCGAATCCTCCTGAGTCGTACGTGTTGCACCTATTCTGATGATGGATTGATAAGAGGGATTGTTATGTTTGATGAAGACTTATATTCTAACGGATAAATCAATGCATATAGCGGCGCCGAGCTGGTTATCCGAGCCACGGGAACCGTATTCGAACGCATCGAAGAGGGCGCATACGTCGACATCATCGTCAAATACGGTTTAATTCGTCTCCTCGCCACCCGGGCCGACCTGTGCGAACAAATTGGGAACGTCGATCTCAAGTGCCCTATTGAAAAGGGTGTGCTATCTATCACCAAGTCTGTTGATATTCCCAAGGAGGTTCCTCCGGTATGTTTCATCGGTAGCAAACAGGAAATTGGAAGCTGGTATTAACAAATGGATTAGGGAACGTACAACGTCTTCGCTGATGTCGCCACTGCTGAGGGCAAGCCCATCACTTGTCTTCAGGCTACGGTGAAGTTCGGTGGCAGCAAGCAGGGCACCCTGGGTGACCTATAAAGAACTCCCCAACTACCGAATCGGAGCCAGCATAATCATGTCATCTCTTGACAGCAGGACCGGATTGCAATAGGATTGACGACCACGAATTATATGGCACACTCTTGGCGGACGTAAGGGTACACTTTTTTCCCACGTCTGGATTTGTACGGACTCGAGGACACGACAGTTTGATTTTGTTTGGACCAATTTGTTTCCAAGTTTCTTTGATACCGCATGGTAACGCCAACTTAATGAGATGATTTTAGCATTAGTCGCGCATATGCAATGATACCCCCTGTGAGGGAATATTTGAGTTCTTGAATCATGCATGGTCTGAGACCTTTGTTATTTGGATATCGTGAAACCTATCATGCTTGAGAATGACGGCTATAATACAAATCCCGCCCTTATCCTATGTGTGGAAAATAATGGATGCTGTAAAACCCCTTTCAAATAAATATCTACTCCCCATAGAGTCGTCGTACCCTTCTTAGCACACTGTCCTTCTCAGGGTCGTAAGGATGTTCTTTACTAGGGATCTCGAGTAGGGCAGGGAAGGCAGACGTGTAGGTATCGATTCGATGTCTGATCTTGTCAGCGATGTGCTGATTGATCAATACGATGCCGATATCTTTTCGTTGTGTGGTAAAGGCATCAAAGGCGGCTTCGATGGCTGACGTCTCTGTCTTGCTGTCGACAACTAGGAAGTTCTTCTGAGAGTCCGGGGGGTTCGTGACATGCTAAGATATAGTAGTGGTTGTCAGTCAACAAGCGCTCGGTTTAGGGAGAAACAACCGCATATTATTATTGACTAGATAGGTAGGTAGAGATAAGAAGCTTACACCTATTCCTGCTAGCAGTAAACCTGTGACTGAGTCCTATATCATTTCCCACAATTAGCATGTTGAAGTCCGCCTGAAACTAGGTAGGTAGGTATGCGAGGACTTGTGCACACCTCGTCGCCAATGACAGCTAAGAACTGCCTGTCCTTGTAATCGGCCTGAGACGTCATTGTTAATGTTGTGAATGGATCAGAGTTAGGCAACGAGGGCGTGATTCAGTCAAAGTCGTGGGCGGCTTTGATTGATAGAAGCCGGGTTGGTGAGGGCAAATTCGAGAATAAGGTAATGTACAGGTAAAGCAATAGGTAGCGTTAAGGCACAATGAGCTGTTCGTAACTCTTGGAGAGTACCTAACCTTAGGTACCTGTAAGCACAGTGATGACTGCTGAAAGAGAGCTCTTTACCGCCTAGGCTACGGGGCTTGCGACGTTTGTCCCGGCTGGTCACTACCCCGCTGTTTAAGCTACCTATGTACTTCCATTACGGTAGTATTACTTGTAAGATATAGGTTAGGTACCCGCCGAAACTAGCCAGTTGGAGGTAGCCACTAAAGTACCTACCTAAGGTAAGCTTGCAGCTGCAGCGCCCCTAGCAGATTTTCAATTAATGGACCCGCGCGTCTTCGCAAAATTTCCAATTCTTTGTTCGCGACTTTTCTCCATCGTTGTGTTTTCTTTCCAATCAAACAAAATAATCACCTGGTCCAACGACAAGACCACCTAGCAACCAAAGCTCAAATACACAAGCCATTACCAGTTCGCAGCTCACTGTTGTAAATTCAGCTGCAACGCACATGTGAGCTTCCGGTATTCTGCTACCGTTTTCGTCCCCCTTTTCCGATTCGAACTGCAGAAACACGATGCCGCCGCGACTGGTGCGTCGGAGACCGCTCGTCGAGCGTGTTAAGGCGATGCTGAATCCTATGGATTTTCTACTATGGCTATCCGAGGAGATCGAGACGCGCGACTGGGACTCCAAGCTTGTTGGTACTCAGATAGGCGTAGCTATGAATTTTGCTTTCCTGCTTGCTAGGGCCAATAGTGGTGGTTCTCGCGCTGTGGACCCCGTCTTCGAAGATGGCTCGGTATCTGGGTGGTTTACCTTCCTTGTAAGTTCTTGGATCTAATCTAGTAGACGGCTTCGAGGATGATTTCGATTTCGATTTCGATTTCAATTGCTAACCACGTATGACCGCATTCTAGGTCGGCACGATGGTCTGGTCATTGGCTAGCTTTTCGGTCGTTAATGCCACCTACACGATGTACCGATCTCGTCACTATCGACTATTCGAAGCAGATGTAGAGAAGCAACCCGAAACCCCTTCGGCCCATCGCGTCCGCGTTCAGTCTTCCCCCGTATCATCCTCTCCTTTACGATTCTTGACGAACGTGATGAGCTCGGAGAGTGCAGAGTCGAGAGCGCATCCTGATAGAAGCCGAGACGTGTGGGAGGTCTCGGTATGGGATCCATTGCCGATCTGTTTGCAAATATTTTGCTTGTTTAGTCCTGGTCACGTTTTAGTCTACACCATGTTTCTACCGCTGGCCCCTCTGGATGCAAGACCAAGCATTACTGTTCTGAATTGCATAGTACTTCAGTTCATCCTGTCGGCACAGCTACTCCTGTTTCAGAACCGATTTACGCAGCAGAGCAAGGATACGGCCATCATCCAGAAGCAGGTTATGCACGAGTACGACACCAAGTTTGTCCATCCCAACCTCTATCCTACGGTCAGGGACGCAGCAACGCAAATTTCGCAGAATGAGGATGGTGACGATCTGGACGAGGATATACAAGTTGGCACGCCTACTGTTCAGCTTCGGCGAGGCTTCCGAACGCGGCCGAACCCCAACTACGTTAAACATATTGACCCGGATCGTAGCAGTGCCTTGTCCAGTACTAGCAGCTCCGGATTGTTCACTCCCACTGCTTCTAAGAGATATACTGATAGTTTAGGAAGTGATATTAGAGGTCGCACTCCTGTGGCTGCTGCGAAGCCTCCTCATCGGAGAGGCGCATCAGGCCTCTCTTCGTTTAATCCGAATGCATCCCGACTGAGCACTTCGACTAATACTGTCACTGCATTTTCCTCTTCTACCAACACCGGTAACCTGGGAGGCGATGGAGGATATATGGGCGTGTATACCCACCCACAATCACCACTGAAAAAAGCCCCCAGTTTGGGCGAGCTTCAGTTTAGATCGCCGCGTAATAATAGCGAGATGGCTCAATTCGAGCAGTACCAATCGGCGAGGGATCGCAGCACTAGTCCTATAAAGAGCATTAGGAAAAGCATTGGGACCTCGGGCTCTCAGCCGGGTAGTTGGGGACGAACCCAACCAACATCATACGAGAGATATCCCTCCATGTGGCGATAGAAAGTCTGTGATACTTGAGGGTCATGCATTAACGTTGGGGGCATATCGGGGAGTATGGAATGGGCGTCTATTGCATTACGCTACCTAGGCTAGGCTAGGAGCTTTTTTTCCCTTTTTTTTTCTCTTTTCTTTTCTACATTAACCAGCATCTGTACGAATAGGAAAGGGGCTGCATCTACTGAGAACCAAATACATCAAGTACGTGCGGCAGCATTATTATAATAGCCGTTGACGTACCCTCCATTTTCTGCTCGGCACGTAACTATTCCTGTTCCTTGCCAAGTGTATTGCTAATGATAGACTTTCTTCAGTTGGTTGTGAGCCCCCTTAAGTTGAGATTAGAACCTAAATTCCTGTGCTCCTATACTACTGACTTCGGACGAGTGTCGATATACCCCTTTCTATTAAACCTAAGCCGCACATTCCCCAACATTTCAGTCCGATCCTTCCTAACTTTGACTCATCTACCCAACCCAACTCGTTGCTGGTAGTTGCGTGCCGGCACTGTCTGATCTCATAGGCGCAAGGAAGCATGGTGTCTCGAGCTCAGTTTCACGTTAGTCCTTTCTTCTCCCAGCTGGGGTAGTCACGATTCTCTCCGTCACCCAGGCTCATAAGTCCTAGTATAATGGTAAATACACGACGTGGCCGGTCTTCATCATTATTTTCGTCGTCCTCACAACGTAGTCGGAGCTCAGACTGGCTTTTCGTTTCTTCTCCCACGAGCCAGAGCCAGAGCCAAAGCCAGCCACCACCAATCCAGCAGCCCGCACCGAGGATGAGCTCCACAAAGTCCGCGGCTGGCAACGCCGAGCAGCTGTCATCCCAAAAGAAGGCTTCTTCGCTCGCTGGGTTCTTCAGCAAGATGCTGCCGAGCAACCGTCCGGAGCAGGGAGGTACCCATCGCACGGACTGGACGGTTGACAACGACAACACGGTAGGGCCGAGCCGCAACGAGTTGACCACTTGGAACCTCGCCAAAGAAAAGTCCCCGGCACGCGATGCCTCGACAGATGGCCCGGGGGAACCTAGTCACCGCCGGGTCTGGAACTGGAGCCCGCAGAAAGGGGACTCCAGGTTCGTCGAGAACTTACCGAGAGAGCGGTCGCGTAGCCGTGACGAACAGCCGGAGGATCTAGACCATGAACCTCAGCCGCCTCGGAAGTCTGAGGCGCTGAGGAGGACCGAAGTTCACGAGCTGCTTCAGTCCAAGGAAGAAAGCAGGAAAAGTCGACGAAGCCTGAAGGAGAGCGGAGACTGGCTAGGTGTACAAGGTGCTGATCCATACTCCGGGATGTTTTCGGTCCTTACACCCACGGATACTCTTAGCTCTGAGACGACCAGCACTTCGACTCGTAGCAAACTATCGGGATTGGCATTGAAGAGAAAAGCCGCGAAATTAGAGTACGAGCAGCTCAGGTTATTGGAAGAGCAAGCGAAGGACAAGGCTCGGCTAGACAGGGAGCAGGCGAAACTCGACAAGATTGAACGTGTCAAAGAAGAGCTAAGGCGTCAGCACCAATTTGCCAGATGGAGCCAACATAAGCGCAACTGGTCGTCCGCCGCCGAGCCCAACCTCAGTCCCATTGCGCAGTCCCTAGACAGTGTGGCACTTGGAAGCAGTGAGGCCTCCAGTTTACTGTTTTCAGAGCTGCCCACTGACTCTTGCCCATCAGATTCCGAGGGTATTTCAGCCGTGATCCCTAATTTCTCCCGCCCTACTCGTTCGCCAGTATCAAAGGCTGCTTTGCCAGGTCAAGTCGAACGGCTTAGTTACGACGACACACAGCCTCGAGGGCGAAGGAATCTTGATCAATCCACCGAGACTATTATCCATAACTCACCAGGTGTTAATTTCGGACCGACATATCTTACGAGGCCAGTTACCCAGCCGTCAGAGACATCCCCGAAGACGGAGCAGCCGAATGTGGTGCGGACAAAGAGTGAGAGGCGTTTTTTATGGAGACGCCGCCGGGAGACAGACCCGGGAAAACTAGGGAAATCACACCAAGGGGGAATCGGGATGCCTATGGTGGCCCAGTATCTAACCCCCAATCCGATCGAGGACATCCACAAGGATCACTTCGCCGACCTAGCGATCCCGGATTATCATCTCCATCTCCTATCACCGGAACCAGTAGAACCAGTAGACACAGCCGACAGCCAGTCGACATTTTCGGAGGATTCATCGGTAATAAGACCCAATGCAAGTTCTCTAGGAATGAACAAGATGGCACTGTCCTCAACTACGAATCTAGTATACCTCCAGGGAAACGGGAGAAGCAGCCAAAGCACCAAATCAGCTCCTCCAGTGACCTCATCCTCTTCGAAGCTGAAAGACATGATGTGGCGACCCTCAATCCGTCGCAAATTAATAGTCCCAAGCCTATTAACCACGGTTCACACCAAGGACACGGAGAAGCACCGCATGTCACCTCCAACGTTCGACGAACTCCAGGATCGGACGGTCAACAATTTACCAACAGAGAGTCCATTATCCCAGAACCCACCTATACATCCGGGTCAGCAAGGGAGGATCAGCTTAGAGGAGGCCAGCAAAATGCTAAACCACACGGAGAACCATCACAAGCGAGCCCGGAGAGAATCTGTGTCCACACCCACCACCACCATTATTGGCTACGTTCCCGCTCAGCAGAGCCAACCCGAATCCCCGCAACCAGAAAGGTCTATCGAACCCAGTCAAATAGACGGTGCAGCAGACATTCTAGGCATGCCGGCGAGTCCGACGCCCTTGCGTCTGAACAACCCTTGCATAATACTAGACCCAATCCCAGAGAGGCGTAGAACACCTTCCCTTCCCAGGGTGCCACAGAAGAACTTGCCGAATCTCGAGCCCGCCCGAGAGATACCTGGGATCGGTACTTCATCAACTCACCGTGCGACACTGGAAAAGAAACCGCCGACCAGAATTTCCACGCCGACAAGTCTAAAGCTTTGCCTCCCCGTCCCAAAGAATGGCGGGACGGACCAAGTGGACATAGCAAAGGGCGGGGATACGATCGAGAAGGTGGAAACAAACGAGACGGAAAAGACGGAGCATCTAGATACCAAGAAGATAAGCCCACAAGAACGACGCGGGAGAATCTATCGAGAGAGCCACAGCGTAAGCGTGACCCGAGCTCCAACTCGAACCCCAACAACAATAACTTCGCGGGAAGCACGTCATCGGCGGTCATGGGACGGACAAAGGGAGAGCATAGTAGAAGAGGCGGTGCGAGTCGCCATGTTGCGTTCCAAGGCCAAGGAGATCGTGAGAGGCAGATCGGCCGACCACAAAGTCGGCCTCGGCCTCAACCGGAGCCGGACGCTCAGCCCGGTCAGGAAGCAAGCGGGCAACGGCAAGGCGCCGGAGCCGAAGCACCCGCTTCCGACGCCAAGGCGGCCGAGGAAGGAACGCCACGGCGAAGGAGTCGCAGGCATCGCGCGTCCTTCCAGGCCCAAGCAGATTGAGATACATGTAAGCAAGAACATTGATAAATCACAGCTAAAACAGCTACAGCAACAGCAACCACAGATACAGATACAGCCCAGCAAAGGGGATACTACAGAAGAATTTGCTGGCAGACGAGATCCGCCGGTAACGGTGATGCAGTTCTGCAAGACGGTCTACATAGTGATCCTAGGCCTAACGTGCACCTGGTGGACCGCGGCGCGGCCGGCTTTCGACCCGCAGAGCGACCTGTGGAGGAGGAGGTGTAAGAACGAGAGCACATGGAGCGACGTTGGCGTCTTCACGTCGGCGGGGCTGTTCTGCCTGGCCGGCGCCTTGTGCGGTTGGTACGCGTCAAGGCTGTGCTGGTGGCTTTTGGTACTACAATGACGCCTTTAATATACCTAGGTATATAATACCTACCTACCTAAGGTTAGGTAGGCTCTGGTGGGTTTTTTTTACGTTGTTTGGATTCGGAATATGGAGCTTTTGTTTCGGGCTAATGGTTGACAATACAATACCTATGGGAGTCGCTGTCGGAGAAGCGAGGCGCTTTGGAGACCGGGCTAAGCAGTTCAACTGCGGTATTCGGACATGGGTATGGGGGGGAGGGGGGAGGGGGGGCAGACAAGGGGGTTACGGTAGAAGTTGTTCTAGACGATTGAGGCTCCGACAAGGAGAGGAGCCGATGGGGATCTGACGGAAGCGAAAAAAGAAAAAAGAAAAAAGAAAAATTGGAGCATCTGGGAAAAAGCTTGAACGGCAAACATCGGAGGGTCACCGGTCCGCCAAATCGGAGGAGGGAACTACACAACAAAGAAGACGCGTTAATACGTAGTATTAGGTATAGGTACTTAATATACATAGCCAAAGGTGCGGTGTATATAAAACCGCATTTGTTAGAGGTGGTTTTTATGGGAAAAATTAGTAGTTAAAGTTTCGTGTACCCGATCTCGCTATTTTTTTTTAAAAAAAAAGGGGGGGAGGGGAGAGGGGGGGCTTCTTAAGGCTCGCACAAGAGTTATCCGAAGATGGTTTCTACGGTGTAAGATGGGAACTCTACATGATTGGTAACCTTTACCTAAGGTAGGTACATATATGTACCAATATATTATTAGTCTAGGTAGGTACCTTTACCATCGCACAGAAAGAGCGGAGCCAGGGATCTTGTACCACCTACCTGCGGTCCTGCGCTGTTATAAATAATACATAGTACCATAGATTTTGTTAGATTTTGTTAGGGCTTTTTCATTGGACTAAGCTAGGACCTGCGGTTACCGAAGTGACATCATAAGTATCTCAACTTTCACCTCCCGGTTGGAGGTGCTAATTAAGGAAATATGTTACAAGTATCCGAGTCGTGTTACCCATCCTTAACTTTTGATTGCGTTTTTTGTTTTGTTTTTTGCCGCCCTTGCCTTGAGAGTAATTTCTTGTTGTTGTCTGCTATGTCTAGTAGTAATTAATTGCGAGAGGGGTGTTTAGTGTAGGTACTTAATAAGATAGTGAATGGAGAATTATATGCCACCGGTTCCGATATGGGCATCTCTCTGCATGCAATAATTCAGCGTATACTTTTTGCAAGTTTACTCGCACCGAAAGCCCCTCACGTGGGGTAGCGGGGTGCTTCTAGGCATGCCATTTTGCTGGCACCTCGAAAACTACCCTTACGCCAACCAATCACAGTTCCACAAATTCAAATCCCATCCCTACCGGTACATACATATGTACCCCGCTACCGGAGAGGAGGGTCCTCCTTCCGATGTTCGGCGGTCCGTATAAGGCAAAAGAGACAAAAAAAAATATACTATGTAGGCCAAACAATGGAAATAAGACAGTACCTACCTAGGTAGAGCTTTCCTATGCCGGCAACGTCGCCATCCCTTTAACTTCAAGATGTACATTATTATTTCTACTCTTTCCCTTAGATTTATTTAAAACCTCTCCCCGCATTAATACTTTTTTTTTATCTTTTCAATCGGTCGCCGGTTGTTCCCTGTGATTCTATTCCCCTTTTCCCTTACTTTCTCACGACGTAGTTTTTCTTTATAACTTCTTACCACCCCGTTCGGTCTCAAGCGTGCGTTCGCCAAAAACAAAGCTTTACTTCAGGGGTTCACAAAAAAAGGGATATTCGTATTTTCTCAAGGTTCTCCTTTTTTTCAAGATGCCTGCTGCCGAAGGTGCTCCGCAGACCTTGTACGACAAGATTCTAGCAGCTCATGTCGTGGATGAGAAGCTCGACGGCACAGTCCTTCTATATATCGGTATGTTCGGTCGAACCCAACTAGGAATTGCTGGAGTTTTAATATTAATTTGGCTTTGTGAAATAGACAGACACCTTGTCCACGAGGTCACTTCACCTGTACGTGATACTTACAGACATGTGGAAAACTTGTGTTTAGTGTATCAAAATCTAACTCAAGCTCACAGCAAGCCTTTGAAGGCCTAAAAAACGCGGGACGTCACGTACGACGACCAGACTGCACTCTTGCTACAACAGACCACGTATGTTATTACACTACAACCTCTTATATAAATCATTGATTGACTAGAAATGTGCTGACCTTTGTTTCAAGAATGTTCCCACAAAGTCCCGAAAAGGCATCAAGGACATTGCCACCTTCATCGAACAAGACGACTCTCGAGTGCAGTGCTTAACTCTGGAAGAGAATGTCAAAGAGTTCGGTATCACCTACTTCGGTTTGGGCGACAAGCGTCAGGGTATCGTCCACGTTATCGGCCCCGAGCAAGGTTTCACCCTCCCCGGTACTACTTTAGTCTGTGGTGACAGCCATACCTCTACCCATGGCGCTTTCGGCTGCTTCGCTATCGGTATCGGTACCAGTGAAGTCGAGCACGTCCTGGCCACCCAGTGCCTCATTACCAAGAGAAGCAAGAACATGAGAATACAAGTTGATGGTGAACTAGCACCCGGTGTCAGCTCAAAGGACGTCGTGCTCCACGCTATTGGCTTGGTCGGAACTGCTGGCGGAACTGGCTGTGTTATTGAGTTCTGCGGCTCTGTTATCCGTAATTTGAGTATGGAAGCTCGTATGTCCATCTGCAACATGTCCATCGAGGCTGGTGCTCGAGCTGGAATGGTTGCTCCTGATGATATCACCTTCGAGTATCTCAAGGGCAAGCCTCTGGCTCCTCCTTACGGTACCCCGGAATGGGATCGTGCCGTCAAGTACTGGAGAACTCTTCAGTCAGACCCTGGCGCCAAGTACGACGTCGATGTACAAATCGATGCCAAGGATATCATCCCAACTGTAACTTGGGGTACCAGCCCCGAGGACGTTGTGCCTATCACAGGTGTTGTGCCCGACCCTGAAACGTTCAAGACTGAGGCAAAAAAGCAGGCTGGTCGAAGAATGCTCGAGTACATGGGCCTCACCCCTGGCACTCCCATGCAGGAAATTGTTGTTGACAAAGTCTTCATTGGTTCCTGCACAAACTCGCGAATTGAGGATCTTCGAGCTGCTGCCCAAGTTGTTAAGGGCAAGAAGAAGGCTGACAACATCAAGCGGGCCATGATTGTACCTGGCTCTGGAGTCATCAAAGAACAAGCCGAGGCCGAGGGTCTCGACAAGATTTTCCTCGATGCCGGATTTGAATGGAGAGAAGCGGGATGCAGCATGTGCCTCGGCATGAACCCCGATATTCTGTCACCCAAGGAACGATGTGCTAGCACAAGCAACCGAAACTTCGAGGGCAGACAAGGTGCCCAGGGTAGGACACATCTGATGTCCCCGGTTATGGCCGCGGCTGCTGCCATTGTTGGCAAGCTTGCTGACGTCCGAAAACTGACCGAGTATACGGCTAGCCCCCATATCGAAGCTTTCAAAGCCAACACTACAACCTCGTCTGGCAAGGCACATGCCGATGAGAGTATCGAGGATGACGACACCGCTAAGGAGAGACTTACTGATCAGCCCGAAGACATCTCGCCTCATGTCAACACCACTGTTACGGAAGCTGCTGGCTCCCAGGGTCTACCCAAATTCACCGTTCACAGGGGAGTTGCCGCTCCCTTAGACCGATCCAATGTCGATACCGACGCCATCATCCCTAAGCAGTTCCTTAAGACTATTAAGCGAACCGGACTTGGAACCGCTCTATTCTACGATTCAAGATTTAAGGAGGATGGCTCGCCCAACCCCGAATTTGTTCTCAACCAAGAACCCTGGGCGAATGCCAAGGTCCTAGTCTGCACCGGTCCCAACTTTGGATGCGGTAGCTCGAGAGAACACGCCCCCTGGGCCTTGAACGATTTCGGTATTCGATGTATCATTGCCCCGTCATTCGCTGATATCTTCTTCAACAACACCTTCAAGAATGGCATGTTGCCTATCGCTATCAAGGACCAGGCCGACCTCGACAAGGTCGCCGCAGAGGCCCGCGCGGGCAAGGAGATTGAAGTCGATCTTCCGAACCAAGTTATCCGCGACGCCGCCGGCAACGAGCTTTGCGGATTTGAGGTGGAGGAGTTCCGCAAGCACTGCTTAATCAACGGCCTTGATGATATTGGCCTGACTCTCCAACTGGAAGACAAGATCCTAGAGTACGAGAAGAAGGCGTCGATCAAGACCCCTTGGGTCGATGGCACCGGATACCTAAAGAGGAAAGGACGTGGCGGCCGACTAGCCGCTAAACCGGTGCCGGTGCCCACTACTAACCGCGGACAGGAGCTTAAGGACCCTATCGACTGGTAAAAGGGATAAGAAGGGCGCTTTTTTCTATTGCGTTGTTTTACTTATATGGGTTGGCGTTTCGCTGGGAAAATGTACGGTCTTTTAATGATCGACCGACAACTTTGAAATGCAGCACTTGCTTGCGTTGATTTTAATATACTGCGTTTTACGTTCGATGAGAAACGGAACGTTACGGGATGGAATGATAGTAGTGAAAGCTACCGGTTATTTGGTAACCTTGAGATATCTCAGGTCAGGTTTAGCTATGCCCTTTGCATGAATGAATTCGTTTCTTCGTCGCTCAGAGGGTTATGATGCGGTGGATTATATAGTCCTAAATGAATCAATTGTCTTTGACAAAAACTACCTCCCACCTATCTTGCCCTTGACTTACTGCGTTGAAAAAATGGTGATCATAATCTGAGAATACATGTAACCCGTATGGTTCTATTATAATGCCATGAGCGCCACTAAAGGCTTAATAGAAGGTGATCACAGAGTTGTCTCGAGACGCTGGGCTATGTAGATGAAACTGACCACAACGTAAACATGTACCGTGATGCATCATAATAACGCGCGATTGTCTTGGGAGATTATTTTCATTCCTTTTTTTTTTTTCTTTTTCTTTTTTCCATGTATATACTTCATGTACCTGATACCTAGAAACTACCTATCTAGGTCAGGAATTTGTTCCGTTGAGATAGATGACCACCCAAGAGCCAACCGAAAACAAGCTGCTGTAAAGGACCCATCCATCGCTGTCATCACCATCATAATTATAATACATAATAATACAAAGCAGTAGCTTGAGCCACATTAATACTGTTACTATCAGCTGTAGCATACCTTCATCCCTCTCCGTCTCTATTCTCTCTTTCCTTTCCCTTATCCACATTAAAACTCGTCATTTTATATGTAAGAGAAGCCAAGACAAGGTAAGACAATCTCGTCTATCATACCTATATAGGAGGTATGTATGTCACCCCAGACTCCACAAGCAGCACACACACACACACACAAATGCCACACCTCACTTCATCACGAGCACCGTGCACGAATACCTTCTCAACACCCAGGTACCAGGCAACTTCCTATCGCGCAAGCAGCCGTCGTATATGCCGCTGATATCGGCGTGACGAGCGGCGAGCTGGCACGCGACGCGCTCCAGGGCCGGGGCGACCAAACCGCGCCCCAGGGCGCGGTAACCGTCCCCGTCCCCGTCTTCGTCTTCGTCTTCGTCTTCTTCTAGGTCTAGTTCCGCGTCTTCGTCCAGGACCAGCAGCTCGCGCAGCGAGGCCGGCAGCGCGTCGCCCAGGACCTCGGGCGTCTCGAAGTCGGCGCGGGGCAGCGCCAGGAAACGCAGGTTGGTGTTGAGCGAGGATATGGCGCGGAGGAGGCGCGCGGACGGCGACAACGACGATTCCGAGCCCGGATTGGAATTAGAATTGGAATTGGGGTTGGGGTTGAGGTTGGGATTGAACTCTAGAGCCGCTAGCCCCTCTTCGAAGGCCGTCGTGTCCAAGTAGAGAAACTCGAGGCTCTGGCCGTACCGCTCCAGAGGCTCGGCGAAACACGGCGCGCGCGAGGGCCGCGCGTTCCCGGCCCGCATCTTGACGAAGAGCGAGCGCGTGTTGCCGCACGCCGCGAGCAGCGTGGTGAGACCCCTGCTGCTAAGGCGGCACGACTCGAGGGTGATGTCGACGGGGCCTCGGTTCCGGAGATAGGATTTGGGGTGCTCGGGGAAAGGCGGAAACGGCTGGCTGCCGTCAACGGTCGTGTCTCCCAGGTTGCCCAGCTCGAGATGCTGCAGCTTCGGCAGGGCGAGGAGATCCAAGGCGTCGGCTAGGCCTAGACCGTTCACGTAGTCGCCGAGCTGGACGTGTCGGAGAGCGCTAAGCATGGCCTCCGGGCCGTCTCGCAGCGGGTTCTCGAGCTGCTCGTGCGCGCATCGGAGCACCTGCCTTGTCCGCGGCCCGCATCCCCTATCGAGAGCCGGGATCATGAGGATCTCGATGTCCGTGCACAGAATCAGCACGAACGCAAGCAAGGCATCGCCGATATCGTACAGCATCTCCGCGACGATAGCATCCTTCACGTCGTCAGGGACGCCGGGCCCAGCGCCAGCGAGCGCCTCGCGGTACCGGGCGCACAAGTCTGCCCTGGTAACGGCCGATTTCCAGCGGGTGTCTTTCCAGGGGCGGGAAGCGACCTCCTTGACAAAGTGGGAGAGGTGAGGCTTCTGGGCGAGCTTCCAGCAGAGATAGCACAGCAGATCGGTAGATCGGTGGAAGTTCCAGAAGGTTGTGGCGGCCCGGGGCTGGTAGTTCTGCACGGCGATGTGGACGTACGGACTCGCGACGCGGCACCACTTTCGACTGACCCCGCGCAGGCTGAGGATGGTGGACATGTCGGACTTGGGGTCCAGTTTATCCATGACCCCGATGAGGATTTCTTCGGGTAGGGAATCCATGTTTGATAATTCCGTATTAGGGATTCTGCCTGGCTTAGTAGAGAGGGATGTGCTGGAAATAGCGGGATATTATGATGTATTTTCTGTATTTTCAGATTTATGCAGGAGAGCGTTCGATAAGTTGTAAGAAGGTCGTCGAAAGTATATAGAAGGGATACTTATTAGTCGATCTCATCTGGGATCATACACTAGGAAATACCTAGTTGGTAAAAAGACGAACCGATGGACTATGACGAAACTAACCATCTCATCATCGTCTCATAAAAACAAAATCAACCCAGATTGCAAGGCTTGTGCTCAGCTTGCTGCAGCCTACAGATTCCTCTGCTGAGTCATCCGGCTTCCCATCCCGCGGCCGAGATGCTGTGGGGGAGGGCATCACAAAGTCTGGCCCCTGCAGCGGATATAAGGAGACTCGGCCAATAAGAGACGCTGACGCGAAGCCAAGCATTACTAGAAACCAATCAAATCCAACTGTGAATACCATAAGAACCCCCAGTCAGGTTTTTGATTGGCTACTTCCAACCAACACATGGTCGGATATACGAAATGGTTCGGTGTAAGTGTTCGGTGCCGCACCCTCGCAAGGGACATCTCCGACAGCGAATACACGTTTACATATTAGTCATAGGTGTATGCAGGAATCCGACATTTATTTGAGACCTAATATGTCATATGTACTGTATAATCTATATTTAGGTAGGTGGCTTTGATACGCTGGATTTGAAAACTCTCTGTGAATGTGACCTCAGCTTGTGAATTTGAGGCCAACTCAAGAGGTCATTGTAAGCTGTAGCAGAGCAGGTGACATTTATTATTGAACAATGCAGGTACCTAGGTATCCTATGTTAGCTTGTAGCAATCTCTTTTATTTATCCCTAGTGAAACTCGGTGCAACCTAGTAAAAAAGGAAACCTGCATAGGTAATTCTTTAGAAGTTAATACTTTTAAGAACAAGCAACTAAGTTAAGTCAACATTAAGTACAAATGCTACTTAGGTATCTACTTACCTAATGTACCTAGGTACGTGAAGTAGCCAAAAATGGACTTACATAATTGGTGCATAGGTACCTACCTAACCTGTATCAGCAATGAGCTATGTCGATTTAGGCGTTATAATCGGCCCGGACAAGATCGCAAAATCCACATGGAAATACCTATTTTAGTTAGTAAAATCGGACAGAGCACATGTCCAATCAGTAACCCTAAATGTACAACCCAAATATCCTAAACGTACAACCCATCCACTTCTGACATTAATTAAGCCACCGACAGATACACATACTAATTCGTATTAGGATAAGTCGCATCCCCAACTACATACAGAATTTACACAGTTCGCATGTTAAAATATTTTAAAGTAGAGATTTAATTAATATTTATACCGTTAGAAAGGCGTAATTGAAGCGAAACTAGCAATATGATTTTTATATTTTATATTATCAAAATTAATTAGTAATACAGGTAAGTATATTGAAAGTATGTGGTATTTAAAGTATGTGGCTTTAAGGGATGTGTGTGGCCCTGGGGGTATCACGTGATCCCCTTCTGAGCTGACCCGTATATATTTGATTATTCGAATAACTTTTGAAATACAGCATGCATTTAATTGAAAGTTATATTATTCAAAAGCTCTAATTGAGGCGAAACTAGCGATACGCTTTTTACATTGTGCATCCTTTAATTGACTGGAGATTAAATGTAAATATAGTAGAAGGCGTGTGGTTTCTGTGTGTGGTTGGTGGTGCAACTAATCCCAATACAAATTAATATGTAGGTGTGTTAGTGGCTGAACTAGTATCAGAAGTGGATGGGTTGTACGTTTAGGATATTTGGGTTGTACATTTAGGGTTACTGATGTCCAATATATGAGCCGGCCGAAATTGACCAACCAGAACTTCAACAAGCACATCTGAGTGGGTCAGCTATAAAAAAAGAAAAAGAAAGCATCGATACCCTATAAGTACCTAATCTAAGGTACTTACACAAGCAATAATAATCAAATAAGCATAGCAGGACTGTACCTATATAGGTATACAGTTCTAAGTACACAATTGGACAATCACCACTTGATATCGAAGCGAATATACCAGGTTGAATAAAGAGAATACCTCCCCTTATTATCTATCACTGTCCCAGCACCGAGTATGGTATTAGAGCCCACAATTATCTGTAAATCATAGTATCGGTATCCTATCGGTATCATCACTCTGACATTCTAGGCACTCCTAGCTTGCTCGAAGCCTCTGAACGCCATACTGAGACCGCCTATTGCCGACCCTTGAACTCATAGCAAAAGCAAATATCTCCGTCCCGCCAACGCCTAGGTCGACTCAATTATCTTCCCTCTTTGTGAAACGGAGAGATATGCACCTGTAGCTTTTCTCCGAAGCTACTGATCCCTTTCACTCTCTGCCGTCTGACCTCTTGTCTCCCTCTTTTACCCTTCCATACGGTCGAGTCAATACGCCATTCCCTAATTCTAGTAATTCCCACTTTTCCGAACCTAACCTACGGGTGACCAAACCCGTGAAATTATCGCCGATACGCCAATTACTGTTCTGGCGGTAAAACAACATTGGCCCTAGCCGACTCTATTATGACATAGTCCCATGCAGCTAGAAACACCCAAGGTGCCATATGCAGTGCTTCTATCAATAAAAAATGGACCGCTTATGCCTCGCATTCGTGCATAATCCCAGGGGTCGTTAATAAGGGGGTGTCCTGCCGGAATATAAGAAGATGGGGCGAAATGGCGCAGCACTGGTGCGGGATTGACCAAGATCGGCAAAATTGCTATTCTGATAGATGCGAGACCGGTCACACTATTTTACCTGATCTCTGAACATCATGAATTCGCGGATCTTGGCCTGGTGACCTGCGTGTGCACTGAGCCATTGCTGACGGACAGCCTGATCTTGCTCCAGCTCTGTCAGATATTCGCGTGCAGCATCGTTGCCCCCCAAAGATGTATCAAGCCATGCTGCTCCTCGTTGTTGGCGACGGATCTTGAAATACTCTTGACGGGTAGAGAAATGAGCCATGATTCTAGCATTGAAACTTTCCCACTTGTCCATATACTGATAAAAGTCCTGCGCGTATTTACTGAATTGTACTTGGTTAGGACGGACCCCCGCCGTAAGCACTGCCTGGGGTAGCCGTGGAGCGACTGGCGGAGCTGGGAACTCAAGTGTTGTAGGCTTGGGCAAATGTTCCTTCCCGAGAGGGATCTGCTCCGAAGGCATGCTCTGGAATGGCAGCGTAGTCTTCAGATCGCCAAAGTCTCCAAGCCCCTTGGGAGCTGGATCGACAAATGGCTCTACCTTTTTCAAGTCAGAGAATGTGGTAAGAAACTCGTCGGTATCTTCCGAGCCGCCATGCTGGGGAACAAAGGGGTTCGTCGTGGGAATAGAAGCCGTCTCAGGCGCAGCAGTTTGGGTGGAATTTCCCTTTGCCCAGTCTCTATCTCGCGTTGGGCTCGCGGACTTGGTTCGCACCCCATTAACGTCACCTGCTCTCCACTCTTCTCTATGGGGTTCGACAGGAATATTTCGTGCGCCATTCATCTGGGACACCTTTGGCGTATCGTTGGCCTTTTCCGATGGAGGTGAGTCGATATCCATAGCGGTTGCAGTATCCATGTTGGCTTGCGCAGATTCGGTAGATGATTGGTGGACTTCCTGCCATCCCTCGCTCTCTTCCTCATCTACTAATCCAGCTGTGCCTGCCGTCATTTTGACCGGTTTAGGTTTCTTCAGGTTTGCGCGGCGAGATGGAGAACTAGAAGTACTGCGTGGCGGTTGTGGCTCGAAATGCTGGGATCCTATCTTGTCACTCCATTCACCAGCAAAGAACCCATGTCCTGCACCATTTCCTACACCACTCTGCGCTGGTGGTATACTATCCGTCTCTGTGTATCTAGGCCTCGGTATATGACGACGGCTTATACGGCTGCGTGAATGGGGCTGCACCCTGGTGGGGGTCTGCGAATCGCTCGCTGAGGCTGTACCAGCGCTGAACTTCCAGTCTTCGGGTAGCTCATCATCAACAAACCTAGTATTGATATTGTCGGCGCTGTTGCTGGAGAGTCCGGTACCCTGGCTATGAATGCCGTTTCCGGTCGCAAAAGTAAAGCTAGAAAAGCATCTTTGGTCAGTATTGAGTCTGGTCTTCTTAGGAGACGTGACGTGTTCGAGTTCATTATAGACTTCCGGAAAGCCAGTGCTGCACTTTCGACCGTACTTGGATCGATTATTGATGAGATTATCAACAGCGCTTCTCTGCTTCTCCTCAATAGGGAGTAGGCTAGGGTTTTGCTTAAGCTTAACCCCTCCACTCGAAGGGTTGTGAACTTGGGGGGCGGGACAGCGATAGCCCGTGCTAACGGAACGATATACGTGTCCACCTGTGTCGCCGTTTTTCTGCTTGGGGTGATTGTGGTGTGGATTTGATGAACTAGAAAGACTGGGGAATAATGGTGCATACACTGAAGGACCGTTGGTAGTCTGAGTAGAGCTGGGACCTGCTACATACGCTTAATTAGCCTCAAAACTCAACAAGAAAAAAAAAGCGTCTATAAATTTAAGTTGGACAAACATACGTTTAGTAGCATCCGTTGTTGGTGGGTTCTTGGCAGTTCCTGGTCGAGGTGGCGGGTAGATACCGTTTGCTTCGGCCGTTTGCTTAGGTCCGTCGTTAAATCGCGGCTGACAGGTGCTATTATCGTTGGGCATCTGCTGATTAGTGGACGGCTTGGTACTATTGTCGAACTTGCTTGAATCTTCGGAACCTCCATCGTTACTGGAACTTCGCGGCGTGCTAGAACTTCGGGGGCGCGGCTGGGGGAAGGCTCCAGGCATTTCTGCTTTCCGGGGTGATCGTGTGCTTGCAGTTCGCCCTATTCCTAGAACATCGTCAAACAGACTTGTCTTCTCCCCACCAGGAGAATGATAAGGCATGCTTTGCCGCTCGTCCCAAACCTTCTCTCTGAATTGAGCGAGTGGATCTGGCCTTGTGGACGTGCCGGTTTCAGCCGATGTGGTATCAGCTGATGCTTCGGTGAACGCTGATGTTTCGGTGAACATGCTTGAATGTGTTCGAGTTGTGAAGTAATTCTTGCTGGGGACGGGAGGCTCATCGGCTTGCCCAGGAGAACGCGGTACAAAGCCTGTCCGCCTATTCCCAAACGAGGCTTGAGCCTTCTGCTGCTGATATGCAGTCTTAGGCGGAACATGTTCCGAGCCCGATGTTTTTGTGTCCCGCGTTGCTGACGTTGGTGCTCGACCTGGGGTCGGGGGAGGCGGTCTTCGGGAGGCGCTTGGCCTCATATTTTCCCATGCGTCAGCATAGCTCTTGCGAGATTGAGGGTCATCACGAGGATTAGCTCTAGGTGTTCGAGGCATGTTCGCAGTGAAGCTAGTATAGCGCTGAGCTCCGGATTGCGGTCGGGTAGGAGACCTCTGCGTTGTGTTTCGCGTCGGTGGCGGCGGATACTGTTTGGCAATATCCTGCCATGGATTGCCTCGAACTCCAGATGCTCTGGGATTGCGTATGGAATATGTCCTACGAGCATCGTCATATTGTCTTCTCAATGTCTCGTCGCTGAGTATTTCGTGAGCAGACTGGATAGTTTGGAATTTCGGATTCACTTCAGCTTCTCGGCCCGGATTGCGGTCTGGGTGGTACTTAAGCGCTGAAAACCAATAGTTAGCTAGGGAACGGATGTTGAGGATGTTGAGGATGTCACATGGAAAGCTAATATGTAACGTACCCAGTCTCTTGAATTGCTTTTTGATTTCTTCGGTCGAAGCACTCGCGGACAGTTCAAGATCCGCGTAATAGTCGCGAGTTTTGTCCCACTTCGGCATGATGGGCAGCTCTAGGAGGAAAGTCTAGAGCGAATGGATGTGAGATGCGACATGCGATATGGTAATAAAATCTTCTGCGCTATCATGCCAAGGCGAAGTGTTGCTAATTCGTGAAGATGGATAAGCAGTTTGATGGGAAGGTTAGGTATGTAGTTGGTTGAGTTCAGGAGATTGATTAATTTTGTTTTCGTTGATAATGCCAGGAATGGAAAATTTGGAGTAATGTACTGGACTCCTAGGCTCCTAGGCAATCAAGCACCGTAACCTGATTTGTTTTTATTTCGATACGAAGCAGGCACCAGCGTGGAAAAAAAAAAAGGAAAAAAAAAGAGTCTAAGCTTATGCGATACGTTTGAAGCTTTTGACTGATAGAAATTTCCAAATGGTTTCTAGAATTTCTGAATTTCTTGGAAACAAGCTGTGCGGACACGCGACTTTTAGGAGGCGTAAGTAAATAGAAAGCCAAGTAGAAGTTGTAAATGGTTGTAAACCTAATTAGAAGTTTACCAGTTAGTTTATCTACTCGGTATGTTCGCGTGTAACCACCTAACCGTTCTGTAGTTGTAACGGGCTGACTGGGTGACGGGGTGACGGGGTGGGGTTAGGACGCGCACAATATTAAGGTTTAAACGTGGTTTAAGGTAACAGCGATGCCTTGGAGGGTGCCTAAGTCTGCAGGAAGGTGGGATGGTGGGGTTCGTAGGGACTGGGCAGGTGGGGAACGAAAAGGACCAAGGACCAAGGACCACCTAAGGAGGTACCTTACCTGTATTGACATTTGGAAACGAAAGAAGGGAAAACAAAATATTCGAGGCTGTTGAAATTTAATGTTACCTTAGGTAAACTTGGTTACTTTGTTCAGGGGAATGTTGATTTTAAAGACTTGGTCTGGTCCTAGCGCTCGTAAGGGATCGAGGGATTCAATCGGCGACCTTGTAAGTTATAAGTAATAATATAAGAAGTGACGATGATGAAAACCTCGTGCATGTAAAAAAGTCCTTGTCGAGACGTGGAATGGGCCGTGTGATGTAGTAACCTTAGGTATGCATGTCATTCGTATAGTGCAGATGAGCATTTGTATTTGGCATTGACTCTACATAGTAATACCTGCATTATTACCTTGTAACTTACCTAATATATCTCTGTCTAAGTAATAGGTCCTTCCTCCTTATGACAGGTAAAATCCAGTTTTTACTAGACACTGTATTATATACCTACATATGTACCTAGGTACCTCTACCCGTGGTGTTTTAAACAGTAGGTACCTATACATCCAAGGCGAATGAATGCCTTAAGAAGATGATAGGAAACTCGAGAATGACGTCAACTTCTTTTAGATACCCTGCATTGGTTAGTTAATAGATAGGTTAGGTACCTTTCCCATATTCTCCGTGCAAATCGGAGAATACCTAAAGTTATAGGTAGGGACCTAGTTTGTTATACAGATCTTGCAACACATATATGAACCTTGAACCCGACAACATTCTTCTTATATCCACTTGGTGTTAGGTCTTCCAAGTTGAAAGCCTGCACAGATACCTAGGTACCTAACCTCACCAATACTTGAGTTGCCCGTTGCTGTATAAACAATAGACGAGTAATATTTATCCAGATCCAGCGCCTCTTTGTCAAGACCCTGATTTGATGTGCCTTACTACGTCTTTCGTAAAACTCCATCATCACCATCTCGCTTCAATGAAACATCAGTCGTCATGGTGCATTCATTCAATCACGTCTGTTATATTCCACAAATATCAAATTACCATCGACACCAGGAACAAAATCAAAGCATGAAAAGGCCTTAACTATTCATTTCGAGCCTAACTTATATTTCCCTATGCTGAAACCAGGCCAGGCCAACCCTATCTGCATTTTTTTAAGTTCTCATATGTCCATGAGACAGACCTAATGACCTTTCCCTAATACCTTAAAACGCCGGAACCCGCAGCCAAGCCCTCGAATGTCATGATCAAAGTAGACCAACAACACCTTTTTTTAATGCAATACTTCCTATGCATCTGGTAGTACACGAGCCTTCTTAATTCTATACCATATCTCTGCTCATTTCATAGCTCCACCCGCCATCTCGTCTTATCTTGTCCCGTGCCGCAAGGTCCTTCCGGATATCCTCTTCTGTCAGCCTATCAGAACCGCTCCAATTGGCACTGGAAGTACGAGCGCGGAACTTGTGGAATCGATCCTTGCTCTTGGCGAAGACCTCCTCCATATTTAATGGTCCTGGTGCTCCAAAGACCTGAAAAGGATCTTTGGACTCCTGTTCCACAAGCGCCTGTCGGAGGTTTGGTGAGTCGGCCCAGGACGCAATCATGTCCTTTGCGCCATCATCATAGTCATCATCTTCATCATCCGTATTAATCTCAGGCAAGTCAATCAATTCGCCGTTCTGGAACCTCGGAGAAGACCTTGTTGCAGACTTAGCCGCCGACTTAGCCGCCATGACTCCCTGAGGTCGTGCAGGTGTCTTGTAAGACGACCCAGTCGCATTTGGGTTGGCCGCAAAGGGAATGGGAGCCTTGGACACCTGAGCCATGTCCAATGGGTGTGCGGTCTTGACTTGGGTGTTGTGCTGGTTCGTCACGGTAGTCTTGAACAGGTCTCTGTTATTCAGCGGCACATTTGTATATCCCGAGCTGAACATCGACTTGGTCGGTAGGTCCTATTAGTAGTTAGCATCGTATCAATACAATTTATTAAATAGCAAATCACCTTTTTATAACCACCCGATGGGCGCACAGGCGCCCCCTTCAAGCTCGGTTGCTTCTCGACCTCAAAATCGTCGTCAAACTCATCAGTCATGCGCATTCGCTTCGGCTCCTTTGACTGATAACCAGTAGTGGTGCGGGAAGGAGCTTGGCGGGAATTCTCGTCCTTATAATCTTGTTGTAGCGGTCGTTTTCCACCCGCCTTGGTCGCATTCGACAATACCGCGTTGACTGGACGACCGACATCTTCTTGAGAACGCTGCAGATTTGAAGCCAAGCGGGATGGCGGGCGGGGGATAGCAGCTTCGGCGCGACTGTAATCAGGGGGACCGTTTGGCTGGCTTCTAGCCGCCGGCGGGGGGGCTCTAGTTTGCTTAGCCTTCTCGATCATTGCTTGTCTCTGGGCATTCTTCTTGGCCTCCGCTTGCTTTCGTTCCTCCTCCTTCTGCCGCTCAGCATCGGCCCTTCTTTGTTGCTCTTGGCGCCTCTCTTCTTCCTGCATGGCAGCTCTCTTGCGCTCCAATTCAGCCTTCGCGTCGCGTTTGCGTTGCGCTTCACGTTCCTCCTGCTCTTTTCTTCTGGCCGCCGCTTCAAGGGCTTTTGGTCGTCCCGAAGATGACGTCGAGCTCTTAAGGCTCTGTAACGACTGCTTGTGTAGTGGGAGCTGGTTAGATTTATTTTTGCCTTGGGATTGAGAAAGTGTTTCATGGAGACTTGATGATAGAGTACTATTAGACGGATGATATTGGGAATGTTGCGAACCCATATTAACGCGGATGACAGTGGGCGCCTGTTTCTGTTTTGTCACCTGCTCCTTTGCAGGCCTGACAGGCCGCTTAATCTCTCGGCCCTTGGTAGCCGAAGGAGGTGCGATAGACCGAGGGGCCGATGGCGGTGGCATAGGGTTAGGTACGTCAACCATGTCAACATCATCCCCCTGCTTCTCATCAGAGGAACTACTAGTCGCCATCTTTTCTTCAGCAGCAGGTTGTATCTTAGTCTTCCGCGGGCTAGGCCGTGCTGATTTCGATGAATTGCCTGGTGTCTGTGTGATTGTTTTCTTCTCCTGCTCCTTCTGAGACGCAACTTGCTTTTCCATCGCAATAACTCTGTCTTGCTCCTGAGTGAATACGCGAGCTTTCTCACGCTCTTTCTCGCGAGCCTTCTCGAGCTTGTCCATTTGTTCAGCCATCAGTCGTGCTTCTTTCGCCTCTTTCTCTTTACGCTTCTCCTCGGCCTTCTCCCGTTCTATTGAAGCTCTGGTTCTTCGAGACTCTGATCGCATCGGACTACCAACGCGTTCAAGAGTCTGGGCATCGAGAGCAAGACGGGAGAGATCTGGGTAGAGAGGCTGCACGTCCTTTCCTTTAGGAGAAGCAAGTGTATCAGTAGATGGAAATATTTGAAGACCTAATTTAGTACTGGAAGGCGACAAGAGCGAAGTTTTCCCCTCGGCACTAATAGCAGCGCTGCTAGCTAGCAATCCCTTGGAGCCTTTGAGGATCGACGACAACTTGTTCTTGACTTGCTTTAAGGGGCTGTCCTTTAAACTCCGTGATGGTGACTTCGTAGGCGTAGTAGGCCTATCTATTTCAGGAACAGTAGCGAGGGTTGGATTGGACGCAGAGGCAGTTTTCGTAAGACCATCCCCATTGGTGCCCGGGGCTTCTTGAAGCGGCAACACAGGGACAGACACGGACTTGTGATGACTGAAAGTGTTGGTCGCCCGTTCTTCAATTGCAGGGCGTTCAGGGGATTTATTTTGAGCTTGGTGAGTCTTCGCCACTACAAAATCACTACCGCTCACTGTGTCCTTACCAGACACGCCTTCCATTACATCGGCAGTATAGCTCTTAGCTAGCCCAGGCCGCGGGCTACGGAAGTCGGACGCATTCTCAGGCGAGCCAAGAGGCCCGATCCAATCATCGTCATCATCGTCATCAGGGAAAGCACCTGGGGTTGTGGTCTTTTTAGGTGAAGGCAGCGGCTTTGAATGAGTCGAGGACTGGGATATGGTGACTGCAGCATTTGTTGATTGAGCGACCGAGGGATCAGGGATCGACTTTGAAGTTCTGGAAGTTTGTGTTTGCGCTTGGCCCAATTTGCTGATTTGGTCCTGAAGGCGTTGAGTATAAGTCTTGTTGTGCGTGGCTGCATTATCCGGCACTGGCTGTAGTTGGGGCTCTTGAGTAAGGGGATCGTCATCAGTATCTATATCATCATTCTCATCGTCTGTGAGATCATGCTTTGCGCGTCCAAGACTCTTTCCTCCAGTATGTCGGTTATAGTAACTAGTTCGATTCTGATCTAGGTGGCTAGTTCTTGATACCCGGTTGCCAATGCTTTTATGCGTGATTGGCTCCCTTGCGGGTAGGGAAGCAAAGTTGAGACTACTCTTTCGAACAATAGGTCGAATAGGACTTGAGCTTTCAGAAGAGGATCTCGATGCGTCCTCTTCGGGTACAGTTTCCATCGCATCTCCTTCTACAACATCGTCTTGAACATCGTCTTCAACATCAGCTCCAAACATACCAGGAGCGGCTGGGCGCTTCGTGGACGAGCTTTTCAGTAAAGAAGGCGATCGTAAGGGCGAGCCTGCTGGGGTGGTGCTCTCAGGAGGACCCTCTATTTTATCAGAAGAGGTACCTGTCGGGGCATTGGCTGTGAGATACTGGGTGTCAAGATCGGCTGCGTTCGTGCCGACTGTGGGCTCTGGCGAATGAGGAACTGAGCTGGTATGTTCACGGTGATTGGGAGACGTGTCGAAAGCCATGTCGTCCTGCTTGTTTCCCTCTGAACTAAAAGGCCGTGTTGCCTCATCTTCAATTGCGTCGTAATCAACGTCCATCGCGTCCTGAGACTGGCTACCATGGTATCCAGAGTCCACAGCAGATGCTTGCTTGGTGAAAGACGCATGTTTGGGAGGAGCCACATGCTTCAAGGGACTCTCTGGCGCATTTGCCTTTGGAGGGGAGGGTTGAGGGTCTGCAGCTATTTCAATCCTGGGGGTGTTATTTCGATTCACGCTCGGCATAACAAAAGGATTCGGAGCCCCCTTAGGCGTGGAGGAAAAGATATTAGAGAGGGGCTTAGAAGTGTTAGCATTGATATCATGTAGGCTGGACGAATAGACTCACGACACGAGCTTCTCCCGTGTTTAATTTTCGGATCGTTCGAGGAGTTTTGCCTCGTAATTTACCTGGAGTTTTAAATATCTCGGCAACGCTACTGTCGTAATAGTTAGCCCCCGGGGTTCCGACTAGAAGTTAAGTGTGTACGCACATCTGATTTTCGCTAAATATCTCGGCCATATGCTCATTCAACCAGTCAAAGTCGTTTCTAGCGGAGAAGGAGAATTCCTCAACCTCTGACTGTGCAATCTGCAGAGCAGATGACCTTTCCTCCAAGATCCATGGCGCGGAGCCAACCGGCAGACGCGCCCCTCGAGGCCCGACCATCGCGAATACGTCAAGAAACGCGTCTATTCAGGCCAAACCGCGTGCGATTATTCGGCAAACCTTAACGAAAAAGAGAGAGAAAAAAAGGACAATTAAGATTAGCGTCGTTTAGCTAAGCATTGTTTGAAGATAAACACAAAAAACAATGCGGATTGGAATTAGAAAGCGCAAGTTCGGGCGCGAGTTTTGTCGATTGACGGTGGTTAATAGATAAAGTTGACAAGGGAAAAAAGAAGGAATACGCAGATACGTCGCAGTTGAAGGTAGGGATTTGTGGGTGGCGGTATCGATTGTCGACAGATCATTGGCTACAAGCAAAGTGCATGTAAACAATAGGAGCTTGGACCATTAACGCATTAGCGGGTTACACCGCGGGGAACCTTCCACTTAAATGCTTTTCTGCCCCGACAGCCCGATAACTCCAATAACCCCCAATAATTAATACGTACTATGTACAGTTGCCAAGGCTTCTGTTCTTAGGCATATGTAGGTACATACCTACCTCAGTGGCTTTACCTTAAGTACCTAGGTATTTCCATGCTGCGGTTCAACTTCATCCAGAGCAAAAGCACAAAACCTTACATAAACACAAACATAAACACACCTACCTACCTACCTAGGTAAGTAGTATATTATAGGTATTCAAACTCTCCCAAAGTCGAATAGGAAGTGCCATCTTCAAGCTATCTTAGGTTCCTAGAGGCATACCATCAATCAGCTCATACCATCCATCAACCGGCCGATGCCCAAATCGTCATCGTTTCCAAGATCAACAATGTTATCATCACCATCTTCTTCCTCCTCAGGATCAGGGATCTCGTCCCAGGCCGGCATCTCCGACGTTTTGGAACTGTACCATTGACGCTCTCTCGTATATTCGTTCGCATCTCCGCCCCTTTCCGCAGCGTCCATCTCCTCGCCGACCTTCACCCAGCTCCAGAAATTCAGCCTCGTCTTGTCTTTGAGCTCCTCGCCCCGGAGCGCCTGGTAGTCGCCGTACTCTTCCTCGTCCTCGTCGACCTCGCCGACCTCCTCCACCACAAATTTGGACCCGCTCGACGGCCCGTACCCGTACGGGAACCACTTGGCCGCCCGCGCGAAAACGGCGGCTTTTTCCCGCTGCACGTCGCCCGGCCAGCGGACGCCCTGTAGAAGCTTCGGGTGCCTCGCCTGGTTCGTCGGGACGAAGCTCCCCGGGTCTCTGGGGAGGTCCTGGAAGTGTTCGTGATTGTCCTGGCCCCAATCGATGTGTATCACGTATATCGGGAGGATCTGTGCGCTGTCGAAGACGATGTACTCGAGCCCCCGATTAGAGACGTGGGAGTCCGCCCCCGGGTACGCCTGGCTCTGGTCCCTCCAGTTGTCCTCGCGATGAACGTCGGCCGAGCGGCCCATGATCGTCGCGCATACGAGAAGCTTGATCCCAAAGTACTCGTTGGGCTTGGTGGCCTGGCACGCGTTGCCCGTGTAGCTAAGCGAGAAGTCTGCGTTTGGAGAGCTGTAGATCCCTTTGCCGTATGTCGAGCCGCAGCGAACCCCGTGCGCTTCCTTCGTGCCCGGGTTCCTCTGACCGGGCTTGAGAAATCCGTAGCGTACTATAGATGGCACAAGCTGTCTTTGGGTCCCGTGGAAGGTCATCTTTGGCTTCACGAGATAATCTACATATACCTCTTTTCGTTTGGCGTGGTGTAAGCTGGCGGGTACACAGCCATGAAGTGTTACTATAGAGTATTCCGACAGTCTCTCCCTTATCTCCATCTGCTTCTTGTAGAAGCTTCTGGCCAGGTCAGACCGTATAACCTCTTCCACATGAAGAACTCTGTAATAGGCCGGGATCTGAGCACATATTTCCTGAGGGGTTTGCTGTAAGAAATGATATGCTGTCTCGCTAGATGTCATTATTGAATTTGTCGGCTTTTCCTCAAACGGAAGGGGGTTTGGGTTTGACCGAATACGACGGGTTGGCTTCTTCGGAAGCGTCTGGCGCCATGATCTCAAATATGTCCTTGTTGCTTTGGCGAGCTCATAAACCGCCATAGCGGGCTCGAAAGCACCATATGCGCACTCTTCCTGGCTATTCCATCTTGATATATTGTTGGTAACTGCTGCGGCTTCTATAATCTGTCTCAGCTGTGTGCGGAGTTCAATCACTGATTCTCGTGACAATTCATAACTCTCGAGATCCCAGGTGACAGACGCAGCTGGATAGAGGGGCTCAGCAGTGATACGTAAAGTCAATTCGTCGTAGCTAAAGACAAGCTCTTTATCTAGAGGCCGTGTCATTTGTTCGCTGTTGTTTAGGAATCCATCTCTGATAAGTTCATCAACCTCAAAGTCGCGTAAGAGAGATAACTCGACAAGGTCATCCTCGCTCAATTCAGTAGCATCAGGCATTGTTATTGGAGAGATCCTGCCACTGGATGACTTTCTCTTCTCCTAAAACAAATTCGGATTCTTGATTTAATAGGCACACGATAGAAAATGATGAATAAAAAGAAATATATATAAATATTCACATCTTATAATTTGATATAAGACCATCTTTATTGATTCGACCGGTGGGTTAACACTTTTTTATTTATTTTGCGGCCAGGCGGCGAAGCAAACTTTAGGTGCTGACCGACCATAGATCCCATCCCGTTGACTCATAATGATGAGTGAGTGGTTCATCGTTTTGTTTATTCTTTAGTTCCAACACCACAATTTAGCATTATGCGTGTAGTAAAGATCATCATTCATTAATCAGACCGCCGCCAGCTATGAGGACCATACCGAGAGCTGAAAATGAGGCTTTACATTATGTAGCTAGCCTACTAATTATAAGGCGAAGAATATGGACTTATAGATACCCGAACCGCAGAGATCAGGTTAAACGTGGGGATAAAGAAATAAGCTGGATCGAGGATAGATATAGTAGTCCTACCTTAAGAGGAAGGATTCAAGTTCGGTTTAGCATAAGAAAACGTGGAGAAATGCAACCATATAAACAGAGGATCTGCCGAATACAGACATGGCCGCCGTTTGATGCATGGCTAACTGGTTCGACGATCATCTTAGTCGCACGATATGGCACAGCTATAATGTCTCTCAGGTAAGTCATATAAACAACACGTCGATTTACATTAGAGCCCCATTCCCCGTTTAGTTTGGAAGAAAGCGAGTCGGTTTCTAGATAACTACCTAGGTTAGGTACCTAACCTAGCTACCAACAATGAAGTATAGGTTTCCATCACTCTTCATCGCGCTCAGTGCTGCGCCACTTGCTACCTCAGCTTCCCTCATAAGTGAGCAAATCGACTACGGCTCTTTGCACTGCCCTGAAGACGCCCTATCCACCTTGGTGACGCCCACATACGGCACTAAAGAAGCAATATTCACCATCTGCTCTGAGCTTGTGATCAACGCGAGGCCGCTGACCGCCTATAACGCAATTCTGGATTTCAAGTCGTATCCGGGATGGAACTCGTTCATAATCGACGTAGCTCTCCCGGACAACGTCACGTCGACTCCGGAGGATATATACGTTGGCATGGCGATGAAGTTTACCTCTAACGGCTTGATTGGGGGGCTCAACACCACTAGCACGGAGGTCATAAGCCTGCTTGACGCGTCTGGCGCCGAAGGCTATCTCATCAACGCGTGGCATTACGACGACGGCATAGGCGGCGTCGGGTCGCGGGCAGAGCATCCAAATGTCTTCGTCGATTTAGGGAACGGGTCGACGCGATACCTCTCTTACGAGACGTATTACGCGGGTTTGACTACGGGCACGATAGCTCTGCTGAAGCTGCAGCTACAGCGTCAATGGGATGTCCAAGCTAACGACTTAAAGACGTATGTCGAAAGCCTTTAAATTCTACAATGGCATCCGTTAAGGAATGCTCAAACATAGTCCCTAACTCCCTCCCTACCTACCTCCCAATTATTACGATACTACCATTATAATAGGTAATCTACTATGATGTACCTTCATACAACCAAATCAGCTATCACACATACCTCATCTGGTTATCCTCTACATATCACGGTTTACTTGGAGGGAACTAAAATAAGATGGATTTGAAAATCCCGTATTGATAAATCAAAGCCTGTGTGCCGACTTGGGCATTTGCTGCGCCCGTGACTACCAAACAAGAAAGCCATATGTTGCCCGCAATCAACCATGTCCCCTGGGTTGTGCATTCCGTGAAAACCAACGCCACCCTGTTTGTAGGCTCGTTGCGCCTCGCATACTGCTCAATATCACAGACAATCACCTTCCCTCGTGGATCTCCCCTTTATGGTAGAGCAGCATTGCTCGTCTCCAAATCCGCATAATGAAGTGTGAGAGTACGCTATAGGGTGTGTCAATATATTAGGTACGTTTCTGATACTAAAAGCATCGCTTTGTCGTAACTTACTCGCTCTTTTCGCCAATCCGTCGTGTTCCAGATGATGTAGTAGCCCTCTTCATGCTGGGTACTGAGAATTCGGGGTTGCATTAGTTCGTCTTTAGTCAACCAGATCTTCAGTTTCTTATGCCATCGCCAGGCACGGTTGTAGCTAGGGAGTATCAGTATCGCGAAGTCATCAGGTCGTTAGAACCGTGTCTTACAGTTCATGGGCAGCAAGATGCTGCTTGACATCTCCAGGACAGCTGTAGAAGATCCACATCAGAGTTTCCTCGTTAAAATTGCTAATCTTATTTTCTAGAGGCTGTACGTTATTCACGTTATAGCACTCTGGAAGTCTGAAGTCGGGAATTGCGGGTCGGGGAATGGAATCGTTGAAAAGTGAATATATTTGCGTAGACAGTAGCCTAAGATTTCATCAATAAAATACTAAAGGGGGGGAAAGCGACGAGGATCTTACTGGGGCGATGTAAAATCTATGCCTAGTGTTGTCGGGTCTAAGCCTGTAACAGCTGCATTGTAGTCGGGATAGTTGTTCATGAGGGTACGAAGGCCCTTAATCCCCCACTTATCAATGGGTGCCATGCCTGCTAAAGGATCATGTGCGGACGGGGATTGATCGTCTTTCTGATCACCGTTCTTGTTAGAGGAAGCATCGTTGCTGCCTATAGCACCAATAGCACCAAGTGGATTCGAAGTTGCCGTCTCTTGCGCAGATGACTGAGAAACTAAGTTGTCCTGGAAACCAGGAGGTTTTTGGCGAGCCTCATCGTTGTTGCCAGTTCCAGCGCCTCGAATATCTTGTGGTCGTGAAGGGCCTATTAACCGGTTAATGTACAGTGATACGATTATAAACGAAAAAGACAAGAAATATATAGAGAATCCCCATACCTGCAGCGGCGGATCCATCCGGCGAACGAACATCTGTTGTTCGGTTGTTGGCAGACAATGCGTTAAGTAAGCCATTGCCTGATCGAGGACCCTGGAGGGAACCGGGGGCGGCGCTACCTTGGGCGCCAAATCCGAGGGTCGACATTAAATTCGATCCACGCTCTTGGCCAATATCTCCATTGCCGTTTCTGATATTGCTATTATTCAGAGGCGGAAACTCATCGATGCTATTAGGTTGAGGTTGCGATGTCTGAGCCACGCTATTCTGGCTCCCAAATCGATACTGGCCTTGGCTGGAACTCATCCTTGAAGGTGAGAAGAAATCGTCCTGCTGAGTATGTTGAGCGGATAGTGGAGTAGGCTGTTGGTTCCTCTGTATTGTTCCGCTCATGCCTCTTGTTGCTCCTGTCGACCATAAAGAACTAGCACCTGCGCTTTGTAGTTGGGAGTTGTTCGAAAGTGACGGAAATTCGCTGCTAGAAAAATTAGCTTTGAAAGACGAAATAAAACTTCACAATGATAGGCAACTTTAACGAGATATGTGCTCTCAGGTTTGGTATGATAAGGATTAAAGATGCTTGTTTACCGGGTGGCATGGTCTACAGAAGAGCTGGGTATAGGCAAGCCGTCTTGATCTGTTCGCCCAGCCACAGTAGCATATGATATGTTGGCATCTGGAACTACCAGCGGCGACGGTGACGGGGCAGTAGGAGTGTCAGGACGTGGAGTACGAGTCTTAAGTATAAGCCTTGGCTTTCTTGCCTTGTGACCCGGCGATAAAGAGGCCATACTTTGTAGCTAGCTGTCTGAAGTGGACGGGTCGGCACGCAAGAGGAAACAATGATTAAAAAAAAAAGCGTGTAGAATTGTGCTTGGGGTTCGAAGTTAGGCAGTTGTGTAAAAAGGTATACGGTAGGCGGTAACGGGCAATAACGGGGCTAAGGTGGAATAAAAAAAATAAAAAAAGGGAAATACCTACGAGAGGTCCAAAGGCGTTGCCGGTTGTGATCCGCTTAAACTCTGAGCAAAACTGAGGTTTCCTCCTAGTTGCCTTGACGACGTTTGCAGGCCTGCACCACCCATAGGAACACCACCAAACGCCCATCCGGCTCCGTTATTCGCTTTTATGCGACAAAACATCAGCTTCGGATCCTACAATTTATAACACCTTGATCCCGCGACCATACCTAATTTCCCGTTTGGTAACCTATTAGACACTGTTCTACCTGGTTGTTGAGGTTGTTGCTGACCTCCGAAACCAGTCGGCATCCCTCGAAGGGTTTGTGGCACGGCTCCTGAGGATGTTCAGTATTAGCCAAGTGTACGAAGTATCTTTATGAAGCACGATGAGTGAGACGGGGTATCAGTTAATTCGTGAGAAGAAGGATATCTATCTGTTATAGAACTATTGCGCAACAGTTAGGTACTTGAGGTCTCTCCGCCCCTCTAGACAAGGCTGACAGTACAGTTCGAGAAGGCTGAGAGCCAGCACGATGTAGCGAAAGCGACCTTCTTGTAGCCCCTACCCGTTACCCTAGGACTTCCAATGACCTGATTTAAATATTATACAGCTGGGTAGTGGGACATGTAGAATCGGTCGAGGGAGATCGGAGGGTGAATGGCGGAGCGCGACAACGACGTGGTCGACATCACGATCTAAAGCAAACAGGCGGGGCACGCGAGGTAGAGGGAGAGAGGGTCGGGACTACCTGTTCGGTTCATGACTACGATGCCACGCTAGAGACGTCCTTATATGAACTCCGTATAAGATTTTGGAGGGGGGGGTTAAATCGTCGTGATCGGTCGGGTTATCGTGTGGAGGAGTAGCTATCCTTTAATGATGTTCTATTTGCGAAATGGTAAATGTGGATTCACGAAGCTTTGCGATCGCAGAATGGGAAGTTTTACTGGGGTTGGCTTGTCCTCACCGTAAGCTAATCCTAACAAAGTTAGCTTATCCATCTTGCCTTATCTACACTATACCGTGTGGATAAGCGCGTAAAGTCACCTTACGTAGTTGTGTACCTAGGGGCAGCATTAGACCGGTACGCCTTGCCCCTAGCCCTTAGGTAGCCATTGCAGCTCAGCCTCATGAGCCGCCCGGCTGCCCGGCCGCGACATTCTCTTTTTTTCCATGTCTTTGTACCATGCACCCATTACCTAGTCCCCCGCACTGCAACTTCCCGACAGGTACATTAAATAGGTCTAGTGTATTTTCAATTTATTTTATTCTATTTCATTTTCCCCATCTTCTCAAAGTTTCATGCCAACTTCAACTTACTGCAGCTATTATCCTAAAGAAGTTTGTGATGTCGTTAGTTATTATTCTCAGAATCTCAAGTAGCACAATTCGAAAAGCAGACATTTCTGGTTTGTGAAACAGGAATTCTCATTGTAAAAGTTGTTTAGAGCTCTACAGCTATATAGGTAACCAATGAGATCGATATGTACAATATATCATTGCTAGGGCCGTGGCTTCATATATAATTCACCAATGATTCGATTGCATATGTTCACGTATAAGCCCAAGTTTGGCATGATTCTTGACTTAGGTTATCTCCTGGGAATCAGCAACTAAAGCCGAATACCTACCTAGGTACATTCATAAATATCCAACAATGATATTCTAGCCTTTTATTTCTCGGAGTGTGCTTAGTAGACTTTTCTCAAAGTTGATCCCTTGCACACCCCTTCCGATAAGGACAAGCTTGCCGGCTTGAGGAACGGAGCCGTCTTCATTAAAGACCTGTTCCCCATCGAAAATTTCAAACACTTCCCTAACACCCTGCACCATCTTCACGCCGCCATCATTAAAAACCAAGCGGGACTTCAGGCGATGGATTTCGATAGGGTTAACCGAGTTAGCCGGTTCTCCTGGCACTTGGCTTTCCCATAAAAGCGATCTTATCCAGCTGTCAACTAGCTCAAGCTGCCCAGGGGCTAAAAGTGGTACGTCGATGGAAACCGTGGAGATGGTCTATATGATTATTAGCTTAATTGTCCGCCAAGGTGAAGATACTTAAACGAACAGGATCAAGATGGCTGTGTCCCTTTCCTGCGGTATCCAACGCCTTAACCTGGTCATATGCGTGTAAATCCAGCAAGACGCCTTCTAGCTGGGGAACTACACTTTGCTTCGTTACGTGAATTTTCGCGAGGCCGTTGATTGCCTGTATTCGCTCTTTGACATTTTCAAGCTCCGCGGGTTCGACCAGATCTGACTTGTTAATGACGATGACATCTGCATGGGAAATCTGGACATGGGCTGTCGTCATAAGAGGCCCGTGACCGTCGTGGTCCTCGTGACCCTCGACTTTCCCCGATGGGTCGTCTAAGCTTCGAAGAATATTCTTCGCATCGACCAGTGTGACGATTCCGTCCAGGTAGATAGTGCTACCCAACCCGTCGTCAACCCAGAATAAGGGGGCCAGGTTACCAGGGTCAGCCAGTCCAGTGGTTTCCAGGAGAATATAGTCGAAGGCACCTTTCTTCTCCATAAGTGACTCAATCGCGTTGACTCCAGAATCCCTACGCCAAGATTAGAATGCTGCTTCGTTGACCAACGTAGTCGAACGGTACTTCACCGAGCAACAGATGCAGCCGTTGCCGACGTCAAGCCATTCTTCGACTTGCTCGCCGCCCTTATTTATAGTCAATGACTTCTCAATATCGAGTGCTAGGACACAGTCAGACAAGACAGTTAAGGTTGTAGCGTTTATGTTGCGCTACTGACAATCACCAAACTCATTCATAATGACGGCAATTCTCTTGCCATGGCGGGCAGTTAATATATAGTTGAGCAAGGTTGTCTTTCCGGCTCCAAGATATCCTTATAGGAAGGTTAGTGGTGTCATATTATATATATAGTTTGCAATAATATCGATTTACCAGTGACGATGGTGATGGGGACCTTGACAAGTTTCTCCTCGTGCGGATCCGTCTCAGTCTCGACGAGCTCCGGTGGGACATCTTCGTCTAAATTCATGATAGGCTTTCGAAATATATAGTATCGGTTTTGGTGTTTTTTTGAACTAATCTAATATGGAACTTGCTAAGAGAAGAATATGAAAAAAAATAATTTTGGAGTTATTTATTGTCGTCTTGCGCCCTCTCAATGACATTTGATTGAAAGGAACTTCTTTGGGAAATAGAAGCAAATTATATGCTTAAATGCATGCTACTGCTATCTATATCTAATGCTGTATAATCACATATTACGGAATACCTACCACATAGGTACATGTTCGGTTAGGTACCTCTTGAGTACTTCGTACCTTATTTGTCCCACTAGGTACCTCCTAAGCTACCTCCTACCTAAGGTAGCTCGCTTTCTGGGTACCTACAGGTAGGTAAGCTTGGCGCCTCTGCGCTTCTGCGCTTCTGCAAGTTGCTCAAATCAAACAACCACGGATTTACTTTAGCGACAGAACAACCCAAGCAAGGACACCAACTGGTCTACCCAATAAACAATCCGCACCTGGGGGCATTAGCCTCAAATAAAAAAAAAAAAAATATATTTCCCTTTTTTTATCATGTCTCTGGCGCAGGGCTCGCCTCGACTACCCAGTCCACCACCTCCCGCCGAGATTCAGATCGGTCCTAAATCCCCAGGACTGGGCATCACCGCAAGCCGTCAAGCACAACAAATGGAGCAGACTGTCGCTGAAGCCAATGCTAGACGGCGCATACACCCAGGCACCAAGTCTGAGGATATGGCTGCTGGTCCGCCTCTAGTTCCGCTTGCTGAGGTACGCTGGTTTTACTCTTTTAAGCCTCCTTTTATTTTTATTTTATTATTAATTTATTTTTTAAATTCTTAATATCTTACGTCTTTTTGGCGACAACAAACACTAACACGACACGTTGCAGCTCGACTCGGCTTTTCAACTCCAGGAACACCTCGCAGCACTTCACTATCACCATACTGCTTCTAATACGACACCTATCACCCGAGCGACTGCTCTACAACTGGCTACCCCGCCCCCCGGCATCGATAAGACGTTATGGCTCTACGAGCTCTGCCGCTTCTTGGTCGCGCAATGTAACAGTTTAATAGTAGGCTTTCTCTTCGATACGCCGCCATGTTCATCCGTGACATGCCCCGAGATGCGAGCCTCTGAATGGCAGTTTCTATGCGCTGTCCATGATCAACCCAAAAGCTGCTGTGCTATCGACTACTGTTGCCATACCCTCGACTGGGCTGCGAATGTCGTCACCAACCCCAAGATCTTCCCGAGTAGGTTCGTAGTGATGTCAGAAGGACACGACAAGAGCTCGGTGATGAAGAATCTTGTCAATGTGTTCCGTCGGCTTCACAGAATATTTGCACACGCCTGGTTTCAGCATAGAGGCGTGTTCTGGTCGGTCGAAGCCCAAACAGGTTTATATGCATTTTTCAAGACTGTCTGTGACATGTATGACCTTCTCCCTGCCGAGAACTACAAGCTCCCACCAGAGGCGGAGGGTCTAGAGCCGGTCGAGAAGGAAGATAAGAAGCCTATCATAACCGCTATTGCAAAACCGCCTCAGCAGCAGAATGAGGGTGCGGAGCATGAGGATGATCGACATGGTCTACACGCTCGTAGAAGTAATACGGCCAGACATTCGAGCAGACCGTCAACTGGTATTTCCGTGACGACTGTTATCGAAGAGCGAGAGGACGAGCAGGACGTTGCCAACAAGCTCAAAAACATGCACATATCAGGCCCTGAGACAGTGGAGGAAGAGGAGTCTGAAGTCGAAGTACCTGTTATTGTTGAAGGCGAATTGCTAGAAAATCCTTCCACTGTTCAGGAAATTGGAGTGCCTCAATTATCCGAGCCCCAGGAGCCCCAGGGCGATGCACACGCCCAAGGTATCCGGATAGATGTGCAGGAGGATGTGCCAGCAGAGCCAAAGATATCTACCGAAAGTGAAGCAGCGGAGGCTGAAGGTAACAAAGAAGTACCCCTTCCCGAGCACAAGCAGGTAATCGAAGAGAGCGACGCACCTGCTTCGAACACAGAAAAGCAAGAAGACACGCCAGCGGAAGGAAAAGCTCAACCCGAGCCGAGTACTACTGAAGAACCCGCAGCGGAGACGGGGTCCAAGGAAGCAGATGTGGAGACCGAGGAGGCGAAGGAAGAAGAGTCAAATTCAAAGAATTCAGACGCGGAGTAGGATTTCGTAGCTCGCCTAGAAATATTTGAAGGAGTAGACCCAGTGGACGTGGAAGAAGTCATTCGTCGTGCTAGGCAGGCGGTCGACCCTGCCCATAACTAGTGCGATGACCTTGACGAATATGATGATGACGAGCTGGGCGGAGAGCTGGACAGAGCAGGCGGACTTGCTTCTGGAAAAAGTGGATGAGATCATGAAGATGTTACGAGGGGCGAGGGAGGTCGACGATTACGAAGGATCGGAAAACGATAATGGCGACAAAAGCATGTTATAATCAGCGCGGGGCTTATGATATGTGCGCATGTTTCCTACAACTGAGAGCTGTTAGGGGGGCGAACCAGCGATAAAAGGTTGTGCATGTATGAACATTGTCATTGTTACAGGTCGGGGGAAGTAATGGAAGAGGAGAGGGGGCCGCCCGGTGCATGATTGGGATGTGAGGCTCGTGAAAGGGTTAATTTTACGTATGCGTAGTAGGTACTGCAAGCTTACGTGAAGAGGCTTCCTCTAAGCAGTGCTACTAATAATCATCATATCTTATACTTGAGGCTCTGGACAATATAGTGATTCTGTCCTCGACGCTATTACTCCTGGCTTAGTTATTTTGAGGCTCAGGCTTCGTTAAGCAAACCTCTACACCCTATAACCCTGGCTGCTATATTTTCCATTCTTGATCTCCTTCCATTGCGTCTCCTGAACCAAGCTAACCTGGGGATGGACTCTCCTCCTAAATGAGCCCAGACATAATAACTTATGCTCAGGCAGACATCTTGAACATTGGCCGTTAACTAAACCTTTCGAAAATCAATACCTAGCATCTAATCAAGTACGATAAGCGATTCATCAGGAACTGGTAGAAATTGATGCACTGCTACGTCAATACGTGGTTGAAGTAAGAAGTGGGTGCCTCCCATTAGTAGATTTAGGGGGCGCTTTAGACCGGTTCTAAATTCCCAAGAACAGACCGAACAGTAGGTGCCGAAGCATAAATTTATATCATTGTCTCAAGCAATAGCAATTGATGTTGTGCGAGATACCTAATACATCTGGAGCATCAATGCCCCAAGTCATTAATCTAAGGCTATTGTTTTTTTGGCTTTCCGGTGGGATTTTCACCGTGTCCTTTTCTAAGGACACAAATTCACGAGGTCTGGTCTAGCCACAAGCAACTTTATAAGAGATGTGTGTGAAGGTGTATGATATATAGGTAATGATATAAGGTAGGTAGGTATATATAGGTACCTATATATACCGGAAAACCCGAAAACAAGAAGGAAAACCTATATGCGCCATCTTCCCTTTCCCTCTAACCTAGGATGCCTTTGGTATCTGGTGTCTGGTATCACTGCCCTTTTTTGTAACTATTTCTCTCTTCCTGGGTATTCCCACTCTACCTCCCTTGATACCATATCTGTCTCTCAAGTAGGATTTTATCCCCCTATTCTATCTATGTAAGTTTTGTATGTAGGTTGTTAAACTCTGAAGGGGGCATGTGTATTAGGTATTCATAGAATCTCCTCTCCTCTTTTTTTCCGTGCGCGTATATTTTGCCTGACGCCCAACACTCTCCTCTCAGGCGCTATTGCGTATAAGTGGCGTTTTATAAAAGAAAAGAAAAATATGCTAGCAGGTTGCCATTCGGCCGTTGTGATTAATCCTCCTTGGCGACGAGCAGTGTAAGTAAAAATTTGCCCTCTAATAGGCAAAGCGTACATCCTTGTGGCTGACGATAGGAGAAGGACATGGGAGCAAATATAAAGATAAGGCTACACGATATGCAAGTGTGCGGGGACGCGACTCGTTGCACCGAAAGACTGCATATCGCCACCGAGGCGGGTGATGCCACGGAGGTGGCTAATGATGGGGTCTGGCTAGCACTCTCTAAAGTCCAACTGCAGAATTGGAACTATGTAACAAGAGTGGAAGTATACGACAAGGCGCATTATTCTTGAAAGAGTTGTCTAAGTCCAAGTCCAGGTCCAGGTGTTGACTGGGTTGGATTAGGTAGGTTAGTCGATGCCTTTGAAGATCTCGGTTTTGTCTCGTACGATTCTCTAACCAGTCCACAATAGTCGATTTGTTCGTCTTGGCGAGCTCCGATATCTTTCCATTGGTGCCATCCGATATACTCCACAAGGGATTCGATCTATAGTAACATAGATCTGAAATCGTGCGTTGAAAGGTCGTCTGATGAAAATAAGGGGGGTATAAGGGGTAGCTTAGAGTCAAGGGGAACTCAAGCCAGGGTAACTACGGGATTTCAAAGGTTGGCTTGTAACCATGGCGTTGGTAAGTCTTGCTATACCTGCATGCATAAGCATCTCACTCATCAGATCCCCCCGTCTCAACAAGTTTTGGCGTTGTATGTAGTACCTGGCCGCATAGTAGGTCCCCCCATCTATAAAGCGTCCCCTGGTCCTGCAGCGCAGAGTTGCATCACGGCTCGGTTTCTTTTCCGGGGCCCATTTTCGCCGCATCGAGACCTCATGGTTTCAGACCCTAGTCCGTCCACAACGTCACAGAAGCGTCCTTGCTGCATATTATGTGACTGGTAATAAACCAGCTCGCTGCTGACCTGTTAAAGCTTTTATCAACCCCGCTCCTTTTCTTGCTAGTAGTGTTGGAATGTTAATTAGATCTTCGGCGATCATTAAATAGAAGTGACAGGTCTTATACTCCAGGTCATATACGCCTATCGTATCTATGTGTGCCTCCCGATCTTCACACGGCACAACGCCCCCCCTTGCACGCCGATACCATATCGGCACTTCAGAAAGAGGAGGCACCGCTATTAGATTCGCCGCCAGGTGACGATATTCCTTCGTGTTCGGGGTCGATGCGCATCTTTGCGAATATAGCGCTAATTTCTCTGATAGATTCGGTTTGCTGGGAAACAGGATTCGCGTTGCGCTCGTCCGCAAAAGCACGGATACTTCGTAATACGGGACTTAGCCCTTCGTCGTTAGGGAGCCACCACTGTATGCAAGATGGTTCGCGAAATATTTCTGCCATTCGAGATCGTACGGTGAGGGGGAAGATATATCTAATGATATTAAAATAAAAGTTAGTTACCGAAGAATACATGTTATTAAATGAATGGTGGGTCAATGGACTCTGATCTATCGAGGCCCCTTTTCCAACTATCAATTTCGTGCTGGCTCGTTATGCTAGAGCTGGAGGCAAAAGACGAGTAGGCGGACAGAAAATTTGAGCGACTTACCCCAATGATTCCAACATTGCATATTTCCGCCTCAACCACATATGGTGTTTCGCGTCCCGGGGTAGGAAAAGTGCCGCAATAGCGAGGCAGGCTTGCATCGGGATGAGGGCGCCGTTCGGTGCGGAAGGCCACAGTTCTACTGCTTCGAAATATTCACATATAGCGTATGCCAAACCCCTTAACTCATCTGACGGCTTCTGTTGCAATGCGAACGCCTCCTGGCTCTTGTGCATGACAAGGATGGAATGCCACTCTGCTATTAACTCGGTTGTTGAGAATAGGGGAAAATCGTAGAGAAGGCCTAACTTGTGAGGGTCGACTATGTCGTCTTCGCTACGTGGAACTCTATGCGGAAGTTCGGTTACGAGAAAATTTGCATCAGTCAAGGCAGGATCTAGATTAGACCTCCATTTGTAGAGACGCTCCGTAATATGATTGTGCTCCGTGGCGAAATCATCACTCGATATCTCGCCCCGACCACCTTGAGCGTATAGCATCGACATATCCCTAGAAATTAGTCGTAGAGTAGAAGCGTGGAGCTCTGTTTTCATCCCCAAGTCCCCTGGATTTCCTTCGACATGTTTCTGGCAATACTGTACGACTGCTGAAAACCAATCTCGCGGTAAATTCGTTTCGAATCCCCCCATCATTCCCACGAACACGTCGAATCGAATGTACCAAGTTAACAGTATTCGGGATGTAGGCGTATTCATTATCGTCTGGTGCGTAAATAGTCGGGTCAAAATCTCGAAGGCAGCTCTCTGGTGCCCCATTAAGTTTACCCAATCCCCTAGGTATTCCTTGTTCTGATCAGCAATGACTCTGTAGATGTGTTTAACGTATGTTTACCTCTATAGTTGCGAGCTGCAAGATGGTTAATAGAGTTGCAACGCCCTGTTTCTCTCGCCTCTTGAGGTAGCCCAGCAACAATGTAACACTTTTATTGTAATAGCGCAAAAAATCCTGGATTTTGCCATTGGGGTTCCGAACAGTCCGATGGTATGCCGAGAATCCAGCAACAGCATTCAGAAGAGCTTCGTTGCCAGTTTGCACGGCTAAGCTAGGGAGGATCGAAGGGAAGAAACTGTCCGTATCATTGACTAGCCCATAATTATAGTGGCCGATGTGTTCGCAGAAGTATGCCAGGTGAGACTGCAGGTCTGTCGGCAGGTGAGACCAATCCGGGCGGGACACGGCTGTCTGAAAAGAGGAATCTGGAATCTGGAAAGAGATCGGAATACTTGCAGAGGTAGCCGTTGAAATTGCCGGGGAAGCACTCTTGGTGCCCTCTAAGGAAGGTGTCTCGGAGCTTTGTCTCGTTGTAGTCCTGTAAGCGTTTAAGATTGATGTCGTACTCGTTCTCCGAAATCCTGCTAAAGAGTGTGAAGATGGTGACAACGCCTCGCTCGGTTCTTCTTCGTCAACGATTGGCTCGAGCCTACTAATTTTTTCTCCTTCTTCGTCCACTTCGTCTTGCGAAGAGTTCGGACTGGGCTCCTGAGTCAATGTTCCCGTATCTTTCGATGAGCCTGGCTCGGTGGCTTGCCCCTTTGCAGAAGAGGCTTCGGGATATACACAATCCCTCTTGCCTTTGCGACAGCCTGTAACTGTCAGCTTAGCTTTGGAATGTTTAGCGTCATGGCACTTACGTTCACAGATGGGATGGGTTTCATCGCACTAGGGTCAATCTTAGCACTGCTATATTAACTCTAAAGAACCGACGCTTACTTTAACTCTTCTACTTCGACAAGTGTAACATCCCGATCGTGTCCGGCGATGTTTGACGTGATCCGCCCCAGACGCGGACTTTTTGCGACTTCGATTACTTTGAGCTTTGGGTGCTTGAAACATTATTGGATCAGGGAAGCCGGTAAAATACCCTAGATTTTGATATGGTGTTGTTAAAGGTGGGCTGATGTTTCCTATATGCGTAGAATGTTGCTGAGGCTGATATTGGGCATCTTGGGGGCTGAGGTTTGGCGACTCCTCAGTCCCCGCCGCTGGGGGCAGATATTGTTGATAGTAATCACTCATTAGGAGGGATTCGGGAGCGAAGTATTCGATGTGCGTTAACTTAGGCGACCAGGTTTGAGTCCCCTCCGTAAGAAAACCGTGCAGCACCGCCTCGGCACAGATCTGATTCGGAGAAATGCTATCGCAATGAATAAATCAACAGTGTTGAATATATTCTTTTTTTGATGGCAAATGTCAGTTCGGGTGTATTTCAGAAAAATTAATGCGGTTAGGAGAGAGAACGCTCTTTAACGGCCCAACACCTAGTCTCAAGCTGCCTTTAGTAAAAGAGACGTTACAAGTGGAGGGGTTTTAGTCCCAATGATTCGAAGGGGGAGGAAAGTATTCGACCCAATACGCTCATTGAGCAAAGAATTCCCCCTAACCAATGGGTCGGATCAAGGTGTCCTCTCGAGAGGGTCTTCTACGCCTATGGCACTTTTTCCTCCTTCTCTTAGAGAGTTGAGTTGTCCGTCTTAGTCCGTCTCGACACGGAATTTTCATAAATGGAAAAGGAATCTTTCCTGCATTGTTCGTAGAGGTGGTAGATATTGTATTTACGTTTGTGGATTTCTCGGAGCTGCACTTGTGCTTGGCTTAGCTGGTCAGGCTGCGCTGTTCACGGTAGTTACAACCAATCCACAATCTTGACGACTATGGATACCGGTGACTAGGAGGTATTGAAGATGAAATAGTTGTGGGGCTCCTGTAGTACACCTTGCAGGAGTCCCCCAGTGCTGTTGAATCCGTACACTACCTACGAGGAGCAGGGTCTCGAGGATCTGCTGACAGGATGATAGCTATAGCGGGGCTTCCTTATGCAGCGGGTAGCCAAGGAGGTGAGGACAAGGTGCCATAGAATAGAAGCCGATCTTGGATTCGGCAGGCTGGCCCTCGGAATACTAAAACCCACCCACAGTTTGGAAAACGTCCGAAGAACAGGGCCTGAGGACGAATCCAGTATCAAAATACCCGGGGCAACCAACTCCCCATCAACGCTGGTAAACCTGTATCGTGGCCGCCTTCTCTTCGTCTTGACCTGGCTTTGCTCCTTCTCACGAAACTAGTGACAAGATAGTGTGCAAGTAGGGGATGTGAAAGTATTAGATCGTAGGACTAGGTAGATAAAGGCCTTGCTATTGCTGGAAGATAATTTTCAATTTTCAATACTGAAAAGGAGTCGACGTGTAGCTGATATCAACGCAATGAAGTCATAACTTCAAGAGTACGTAACCAAGCGCTAGATTCGGAAAGTATCTTAGGACGAGAAGAGGTAGAAATGACCTCAGGTTAGGGATATTTGCATATATTCCGCCCGAGAGGGCAAATGCTGCGTTGAGGGAAGGTAACACCAATCCGAATTGATATTGTACAAATCTTAAGTCAGAGAAGTAACGCCGTGAACAAATGACTTGAGAGATTATTTTAGAATCGGCTGAAGGAGTTTCCCGTCCGCAAAAGACCACGATCCAGTGAATTTGGCTTTTGCAATAAATGCGTGGGTAAATCAACCAGCCTTAGCCCACTACGCTGGTACGTAGTAATTGAGTGCATACAGTACGCAATATAAGGATCGTTGCTATCCGGTTGGTGCTAAAACAGGGGGTCCCCTGAGTTAGAAAGACGCAGCTACTGGGTGAGTGGGAGTCGGGATGTCAGGGAGAGGAACCGATGACACGCAGCCATCTGATATTTGCCCGTGCTTCCTCCCGGGCTAATTCGGCGCTGAACTCACGTACATACATGGAGACACCGTCTGCCCACCGTAAAACTGACAGCTTGCAAAAGTACCTACTACCGTGTACATCTAGGGCGGAAGGATACCTACCTAGGTAGGTAGAGAGATATTGCTGCCGCCAGCCGTTTTACAGAGAAGACGAGATAAGGCCACGGCAGGTAAGACAAGGGTCCTTCATCCACAGTCATGGGGCCACCCAGCGAACCAGGCAGCGGGGAACTGGGGCGCACACGCCGGGGGTTGAAGACTTGCTCAAGATCCTACTATGTACAGAGCGGGCTGGCGGGTTCGATCAACGGCGGCTAGTGGAAGGTGTACTCGATCTGTTGATCTCATAATGCACATTGAGACGAATGAGGGAGTCCGAGGCCTCTGTGCTTCCAGTTATGTGCACCTTGCTCGTACCTTGACGCGCTGCATTTCATATCTGCAAATTTTGTCGAGAAACTGACTAGTAGCATGGTGCTAATGCCAGATTACTGTAAGATGTGCTTATACTGTGCAGGCAGTCTATACTCGAAAGGACTTCAGGATCTAGGTTATCCGAATAAAACTCTGGAGCTAACTAGTAGCCAAGCGCAGCGGAACAATTATAAAATATCCCACTATTGATCGACAAGCTTCTTCAAGCTCTTTTTTATTTTTATTATTTTTTTTTCTTTCATTTTTTTCCCTCCTCTCTTTTTCTTTCAAGGCCCAGCTGTTCCCGTTAGATACCTACCTAACCTAACCTAACCTAGGCAGGGAGACCAATGGCCAACATCCATCGAAGCTGTAAGTCCGGTCCTTTTAGCCCAGGTGAAAGCCCTTTTTGGCCCTAGACTGTTGGATACTACGTTGGCTGCACAAGAAGGAACGGCGCTTGGATATTGAGTCTTTTGGGGCCCGTACCAGCGTCGCTGTAAACCATAGTTTTTGGCTGATTGGATCCGCTATGACAGGGACCCCTACACCTCTAGGATCATCAGGGACTCCATCAAGGAGGGTGAGCCCGAAGCACAGACCATAGCGTTGGAACTAGCAATCCAATACAGAAATGTAGGAGGCCTGACAAGGAGAAATATGAGGAAAATGAGGCTCATAATCATATAAAACAACATATAAGACGGATTAATTAAACCAATTAATATACTGGTTTTCGAAAGGTTCGGGGTTTGCGCCGGGTGGTATTGGGAGAACTACCTGAAACTTTGAAAGTGTGTTGAGGTGTAGTGATGGGATTCTCGAATAGGAATCCAGGTACGTATTTGAAGAGCTCTGTTACCTCTTTCGTGTGGCTGGGAAGCTGCTGGAAATTTCGTATGGGATATGACTACCCAATACTTCAATAATATCTGCGGCGAGTTTAAGCCGTGCTGCAGGGGCCGAGATGCTACCTCTACTATGTAGGTGTTCTGTAAAGAAATGTCATTTGCGCACTGACCCATCCTATTACATACCTAGGTGGTTGACGATGATCGACAGGGCTGGATTCATCTTCGTAGTGTAATGTAGTGTAATATAGTGTAGTATAGACGTACGAGGTATATAGACGGTAAACCGCGGTTTGATCGATAGTTTTAAGGTGAGATGAGACTTGACGGGTCTGCTTCACTGGAACCATTTCTTCTGAGCTTTGGAAGATGATGCAACTGTAATAACCAATCATTTACTCGGAATATTACTTTCGTAATGTGAGAGAAATGATGGTCCATCCCATCTCATCCCATACCATACCCATCCGTTCTCTGCCATCTGAACTTCGGTTTGTCCCGGGTTTTCGGCATAGTTAGTAGTACTACGACGGAAGTCTCTTGCGTCACAAGGGTAGCGCTGTCATCTGATAATACCTAATCCTTATAACAGGTAGGTACTATGTAAGGTGTACGGCCTTGGTTCTAGCAATGAGAGATATTTTGACTTTAATCCCGTGTTTTCCTCGCCCTGTTGAATTTAATCGTTGAATAACAGGCATTAATATTGTTGTCTCTTGAGAAAAGAAGATGATATATTAAAAGTAAGACAAGCTTAAGTTAGGTAATCTCCCATTACTATGTACCTAGTAGATGCTGATGTATCTACCGCATACGTGCATATTGTAAACCGTAGTTGTGAATAACCTATTGACTTCTACAGGGGAACCTTGTATGATACAGATGTAGTGACGTATACACTACATAAGCTAACTTCGGGGCCTGATCCTTGTCGACTATAGCACGTACTTATATTGCAGTTCGTAAACATGGGTGATGAACACCAACGTTGAATGACGAATAGCACCAACGTACCAGGTTTTTTGCTTCTTCAGGTCCAGTACTGCCTACCTAGGTACTAATGGACTGCTATACGTCCCGTATAAGTATCAGGTAGGTAAGGTAAGTTAAAAGCTTGGTACTATATCAAGGATGCGCAAATGCGTTTATGGTGTATTAATATGTGTATTAATATGTATATTAAGATGTAGTTGCTCCCTTAGGTATTTACCTCAGCGCATACTACCTGGTATGTATAATATGCTATTTATGACCATGGAGCTGTAATAAGCTTCATCTTAACATTCCCAGCCTCTTAACGTACCTCCTACATAGTGTACGGTCCAAAATTCCCGAATATTCAAATGTGCTCCACCCCGAGAACCTAGCAGCGGGTACGATGCTAAACTAGACGCCTCGATGCGGCGCTAATACGGCTAATACAACGATTTGTATACTAGGTAGAGGTAATTCTCACTTTTATAGTACTTTTGTAGTCTCGATGAATATTATAGCTCGGCTCCTTATGACTTTTAGGACCTGCACCTCCGCGCCGTTGAAATTACAATCGTACGAGTATTTTTCAACTGGATCGGCTTGGGGTCTTGGACTCTTGGACTCTTGGAACCCCCCCATGCTTAACACTTTGACACTATCGACGGGAGATCCATAATAGGAATCCGCAGAGCCTTATTTGACTAGGTTAGGTTAGTTGTTGTGCGCTGCTTATACTGCGCGTGCATAGTATTGAGATTTGATCACATCTCACAAACAAGTCCATGGCGCCGAATTGATAAATCTAAAAAAAACTTAATTTGCATTAGTTAGGTAGTTAACGACTTTTTCGGCTTCAATAAAGGAGGTAGAAAACGAATCGAGATCGGCGGGTTTGATTCTAGCTAGTATCGATTAAATTAGGTGAAGATGTACGTCCAATGCATAGAAGAAAAAAAAATCGTATTTAGAGAAAATGTCCGAGAGCCCCCTTTCTGATGCTAGCAGTTCACGAACAAGGCTACCTAGGTAGATTTGGTATTCCCGGCCGAACCACGGAAATGCGATCCTTGTTCGGCTCTCATAGCTTTGGCCGCCGAATGACGATAAGGCCCATTATGGGGGAGAAAGAGGATCCTTATTTGATCATTCTGCCTAGGGCTGGCGGCTGGGCAGCTCTAAAAGGAGTAATTGCATTTCCCGACTCTATGGGACAGTTTGCTTAATAATAATTCGACATTACCGTAATATCAATAATTTATGCAACGAAGCCTCAGAACGATTTCCCCCGAAATTTGAGCATTTGACGCTATGGTCTAAATTGTACAACACGTCTACGCATCTACTACGTATATCCGTGTCTATGTGTTTCCTCACACAACACCTTGCTGAAGCCTAGGTGTAACGAAATACGTCTCGTATAGGAGGTAGCCCCTGAATTTGTTAGAGCCACAAATCTTCCAAAGACAAAAGCCGTATCGTACACACAGTACGCACACATCTCTTTCGTAAGGATGTCAATTGAGTCATAGAGCAACTACCTAGGTAGTAGGTAGGTAATGTTTCCATTAATGTGCTTTGATCTTACCTGACTACCTAACCTTAGGTAGGTAGTTTATCTACTAGGTACCTAATGTAAAGAACCAAAAGTAACAACACGAACCAGGTAAGTGACATAGATCATCCATGTAACGATACATATTGCGGAGTAGCTAAACAGTCTCCCCGAAGCTGCTAAACTACCTAGTAGCTACCTAGGTTTAACTCACGTAGCATTTTAGTAGTAGCTTCTATCCCCAATAGCGTTTGGATCTGCGCGAAGCTTCGACCAACCCGCCTCGAGCTTCCAGAAGTCTAGCTAAAGCCAATTCTATAATAGCTCGATGCTGGCTTGATGCTATTTGTAATGGTAGAAATTCTGAAGATTTTATTGGTTGTATAATTTGATACTCCGCCTCTAGTTCAGAAATAGTGTGTAGGGATGGAAGATATGAACCGATGAGGTGATAGGTAACGGAAGATCGATGGATGTAACTTCGGGAGATGGGCCGCTCGCTCTATGAAGCACCGAACAACACCAGAATTATTCTGACCATTCTTTACTAGACACAAGAAACTCAAGAAGATGTGGAGAATATCAACTATTTCGCGGTATCAAAATCCCGCGCTCGTCCTCTCTCGGTGGACAGCTCAACAGCATATTACTGATAAGTCCACATTAGCAGTTCTAATTCAAAGCCGGTCCTAACAACCTCCCCAGAACGGGATCACCACGTGCGATCCGGCTGTCAGGAGAAGAATTTCGTTGCGGATCGCTACCGTTTCTACAATAAGCTCATGCAAAGGCATCGGCGAACTGTTAGATCCTTGGCGACGCAAGACTACTGACGCGGTTTATTTACCTAATTTTGCATGTGCCTCAAAAGCGACCAGTCCAAAAAAAAAAATCGAAAAGAAAAGAATTGGCCATGCGTAGGTACGTACGTACGAGCTCCTTTTTACTTACGCCACATACGCGCCGATGATAATATTCGCCGGCGGTGAGTGGCTTGATGGGATTGGAATTTCTCTCGCCAACTTTTACCCACACGTGCCCCTATTTCCTCTCTACCCAGCTAGGGCGCCTGGTACCTTGCATTAGTTGGTCAGCTCCTGTCCCGATATCTCCGGGTTAGGGGCCGCAAGCTACAACTTGTGGTTGCATCCGATTGCGGTAGTTCGACTCCGACATGGCCCAGGTCTCGGGCATTCACTGCATGCGGAATGCACCCGCGGCTATAGTTGCCATTTTGTTTTTCATCTTAAGTTACCTACCTAGGTACCTAGGTTGTTAACACATACCTACCTACCTACTATCCTAACATAACCACACACATAACTTGTGGAGTATACGACCACGTACTTTTGTCGGATTCAACTAACTGCGCCTTACACCAAATTTTAGTTGTATTTCTTTGATAACCTAGGTCAGGCCCTGCGTGATATGAGTTGTTTAACCGTTAGGATAGCAGCGAAATCTTTACCGGTGGCTATTCGGGTTTATGACGATCTTTCTGCGTCGATTGCGATTTTGATTATTCCCACCAACCCTACTTAATTGATACGTGACTTAGAGGATGGCTGGGGTGTCATTCAGTGCTACCTTCACATCATTACGTGGGCAATATCGTCGTCTTTTTTTTTTTTTTTTTTCTTAAGCCACAAACTCATGAAAACCCACTTACACGACGAGCTGTATAGACTAATACCATATCAATCAATTCCATATATGAATTTATAGATGATTGACTCATATTATTTTGATCAAATCTTGACGAAGTGAGAGTGTGCATTCCCTATGTCCGATCTCGTATATATTTTGATGTCTGCCATGTAGCATTGGATGTAGCGTTGTAAGGGGAAAGGAAATTTCGAGATCTGCCTTGAATTTATAGTTTTAAATAAAGGTAAACTAATTGAAGCACGTGCTTTTAGTCACGTGACAGAAACTCTCAAGGACCCCTCGATTTCAACGCTTCAACGTCTCAAGTCTCAAGTCTAAAGTCTCAAAGTCGAGAAGAATAAAACACGTAATCTCATTTAAAACACACTCTTTTTCTTTAAACTTCCATTTCAAAGGGGGTTCGAGGACCACCACCTTTTACTCATATCGGTTAATATTTCTTTCTTTTACCTTTTTTTTTCTTTTTTTCTTTTCCGTATTATAGTTTCGGAAATTCCACAAAGCTTGCTGGCCGAGCAAGTGCCCGTAGAAATTTATTTTCACTTGTTATCAATTGTTATCTCTTACTACATACCTGTAATTCCAACACGCCTGTCATGGACACCACCATGGATATAGGTAATCATTCCTGGCTGAAAAATCTCAACCTGGACGCCTCCGGCTTATTCCTCCTGGGAGTTACCATCTGTGCTTTCTTGATACCTGTGGTTCTTATTCTACCCCCGGTTGGACTCCAGAAGAGCGATGCCCTTATCCAGACCCACACAAAGGCAGGCGTCGAAGGCTCAAAGAGCAATTTAAAGAACCAATACTCGGCCGAACATGCCCCGCGAGAGGGCGAGCCTCCGAAGGTTCACAGTCTTGTTATTTACCCCGTGAAATCATGCAAGGGCATCGAACTGAAGAGGAGTAAAGTTTTCCCGACGGGGCTCCAGTTTGATCGTATTTTCATGTTTGCCCAGCTCAAGAGCCCCTTTCCCGTAGCTGTCGACTCGACGGATGAGGAAAAATCAGAGCACAAGTGGGAGTTCATCACCCAGCGGCAGTTCCCTAGGCTGGCGAATGTCACCGTCGATCTCTGGTTGCCAGATGAGATGAAGCTGCGGAAACAGTCGATGAAGTCGACGGAGGCCTTTGTGATCCTGCGTTTTCCTTGGAAGGAGGATGGCTGGCGTGGGGTTTGGTCTACGATCACGGCTAAGCTGGCAAGAGGGCGCGCTGCCGAGCCTGAAATAGAGGTCCTGCTACCAGTAGACTTTCCTTCGACTGAGGATATAAAGGAGAGGGGTTACACGTTCGGCGATGTCAAGATATGGAAGGAAACTATCAACGCTCTTAACATGGAGAAGGATCTGCCCGGGGAGCTGCAAAGGTACTTAGGTGTCAGCAACAAGCTTGCTCTCTTCAGGGTCGATCCGGGACAGTTGCGTGAGGTCTATCGAACCGCTCCAACCAAGGAAGAAGCTGGTTACCAACCCGTGACCGGATTCCAAGATGCTGTATGCCCGCCACTTATTCCAAATCTTTCAGCTTCTCATACAAAACTAACATTGAGCATAGTTTCCTCTTCACATGATGAACCTAAGTAGTTTACAAGCATTCAGCTCAGAGGTACCAAAGGACGACGATCTAAAAGAGCTTGACGTGCTGAGGTTCCGGCCTAACATAATCCGTGAGTAACAGCCACTGACGTACCTAAACTATATGCCCCCGCCCTCTCTAACATGCGTACTTTCAGTTTCCAGTGCCGAAGCTTATGACGAAGAAACCTGGAAGCAGATCCGGCTTAAGCCGGGAAGTTCGGGCTTTTACAACGACTTCGCATTCCACGTCTCATGCCGAACCGTGAGGTCAGTGAACCTCACAATCCCCCCTACCTTACTGAGCTACCATCCTGCTCGCTACTCGTTGTGGTATCCACGTATAAGCTAACCCCTGTATATCAGATGTAAAATGCCTAACGTGGACCCAGCGACAGGCGTCCGCCACCCAACCGAGCCTGACAAATCGCTCAGGGCGAAGCGGGCTGTCGACGAAGGGGCGCCGTTCAACGGTTGTCTAGGCATGCAACTCACTCCCTTGTTTGACCCTAGCCTGGGAGAAGACCGTGAGGGCTGGATTGCAGTCGGTATGACAGTAGAGGTCGAGCAGAGGGGACACCACGTGTACATCAAACAGTAAGGCGCCCTTGCTTGCCGTGCTATCAGATAGACGAATGCACTTATATATATAGAATAAGGAAGCGTGCCTGATATATTAGGAAGTTGGAGGGGGAGTGTTACACCATTAGGGAGGGAGACTCATAATGGACACAACCACTAGAACTACAAGCCAGACAATAGACAAGGAGACAGAGTCAAAAAACCTCAGCACACGAACTAAAACGAGAGACATGACAAGGTGCAATGAGATCTTGTGTTGGAATTTATCATAAACACAGAAGACGACGACCGCCGGATCTAAATGAAAAAAACGCTCAACACATGACAGCCTCATCCACCGTCGATCGTAAAACCATACAGGCGCGGTATATCATCCATTCATCCGTTCCCATCTTGCTTCCGAATCCAACCTTGGAACGACATAACAAGTAAATGCTCTACGGTCAAGTCATGCAATCGTGATAATTTTTTTTATTTGACCGTCCACACCCAAACGGACGCAAATCCTCTCAAAACCCCCGCCACACCATCTCCGTAAACGTGCCAGCACAGGAAAAAAAAAGATATATCTCACACGAACCCCAGGTATCTTACTTAAAGTCCGCGGCTGTAAGAGCCTGTACCATACTGGTATTTTCGCTAAACCGGGTGCGGAAGATGCGGTTTGCGTTCTGGAACATGCCGTCTTTGAGGGACACGACGATAAACTGGGAGCCCTTGAAGCGCGTCTTGATCAGGCGGCCGATATTTTGCGTGTGAGACAGATCAAGCGCGGCATCGACTTCGTCCAGAATGTACATGGGCGCTGGCTTGAACTGGAGCAGTGCCATGATGAGCGAGAGCGCCACGAGGGACCTATTATTATCATGGTTAGCGGTGTGGACAACACCGTAGAGGTAGTAATTATAAGCTAGAAAAGGAAAAACAGAAGAGAGCGTATGAGATGAAGACTTACCGTTGACCACCACTCAGCTCCGTCAAGCTCTGTTTCCACACCTTGCCCAAGCAGACCTTGACCTCCAAACCCTCATTAATAGTTTTGCCTTCGGGCGGATCTAGCTTTGCGAAGCTACCACCGGGCAATAGCTCGGAGAAAATTTGACCAAAGTCACCGTTGACTTTTTCCCAGGTTTGAAAGAGGGCTTTCTTCTTGTAATCGTCGAGGCTGATGATGGTTTCCTCGATCTTGCGCTTGTCACGAATGACTGTTTTCATCATGTGCTTAAGCGACGCCTCCTTCTTCTCGACGCTATCGATCATGTTCATGACCTTGGGGTTGATCTTTTTCTTCATGCCTTGAAAGCGGTCCGTGAGCGTCTTCAGCGTTGCTTTGCACTCTGTGATGTTCTGGCCCTTGAAGTCGTACGGTGTTCCGCTACGGCCAAAGTTGTCCTTCTCTTCGGCAATCCAATCGAATTCCTTCTCCAGGTTCGCCACGGCTTGTATCGCATGCTGCTGCTCCTTGTGGAATTTATCAACTATATGGCCAAGCTTTTGCTTTTCGAGGCCTTCTTCCGCAATCTGGTTATTCTTTGACCGGATGGCCTCTTCGAGTGCATGCAGCTCATCGTCAAATCCGGTCAGTTTCGCTCTTTCGTCGTCAAGCTGCGCTTGCGCAAGATCATGAGTTTCTTGTAACTGTGATTGTTTCTTGACAAGATCCTCGATCTCTTCTTGTTGCGATTTAATGGCCAATTCAACTTCTTGTAGTTGTTCCCTTGCGGCCGAAAGATCACCGGATACTTGTTCCGAATCCAGCTGTGCGCCTTGAAGCTCCTTTTGCAATGTCTTGACGGTGCTCGAGTTCTTAGCCAACGTTGCCCGCAGCTTGTCCAGAGAAGCTTGAAGTTCTACCAGTTTTGAATCTTTGTTGTTTTCAAAATCTTGCATATCCTTTTCTATCCTTTTGACGTCTGCACTGGCTTCAGCCTGTCTCTTCTTAGCTTCGGCGCTCTCCCTCTTGAGTTGTATGATATTCTCTTTCATATTCTCCACCTCCTGAATGATTGATGATGAAGAGTTGCCGCTAATCTGCTCTTCGGCAAGTTTGATTTCATGTGTCTTAAGATCAAGGTCCTGCTTAATCTTACGAGCCTGGTCGATCTTAGACTTTTCTTGCGAAATCCTGTTTTGGAGATCGTGCAAAGCACGCTCAGCTTCTTTAAGCTGGCGATTGATCTCGTTTAGTTTCTGCAATGTAACTAATACACCGCTAGAACTTGGAGCGCTACCGCCTGAGAGTGTCCCTGAAGGATCGTACACGTCTCCCTCAAGAGTAATACTCCTCATTCTTACATTGGGATGGAAGGTTACCTTCTTAGCCGTCTCCGCATCCTGGCAGATTAACCTATTGCCAAAGACAAACTCCATTGCTGCGGATACCTCGTCCTCGTAGCCTACTAGTGATAGGGCGTGGTAAACCTTTCCAGGCGCAATCTTTTGGGCTGTATCGATTGCCTCACCCGAAGCTTTGAATGCTGCAATATTGTTTTGGGGAATAAATGTGATTCTCTTGCGTAGCTTGCCGCGTTTTATTAGCTCTGTACTCGTGGACGCGCTGTCTACAACAACATTGTAAAGGCGACCACCGGCGCATATCTCTAAAGCCATGCCAGCTTCAGTATGCTCCTTGTCGAGGGTGAATAGCTGAGCGACCAGCCCCTTAACTTTCGAGCGATCGAAATTAGGAGTTGGATCAGCGTAGTTGAAATCGATATTGGCGACTTTACGCTTCAGGGTATCTGCCTCTTGACGCAAGCCTCTGATGGTCTGCTGCAGTGATGCCTCCTGCTTGTACATCTCCTCTTCTTGTCCTGGCTCAAAACCGAGCCTTGAAAGTTGAGCTTCTAGCTTCTGCGATTGGGCTTTCAGGCCCTCGAGCTCTTTTAATAAACCCGCATTCTGTTCCTTGGCCTTTCTAGCGCGAGGTTCTTCCTCCTTGATTCGTTTCTCGAGATGGGCTATTTTTATTCTAGCCTGCTCCTGTTCGGTAGCTGCTGCTGCTACTCGATTCTTCGCATCTTGTAGCTGGCCTTGGTAACCGCTTTCCTGTCCTTCCTTGGATGCAACGCCTGTTTGCAATGTCTGAAGCAACTCCTCTTTTGATTCTGCCTCCTGGATCTGCTTTTCGTTTGCATCCTTGGCCTCGTCGTACTTGGCCTTGATTTTCTCGTAGGCTTTTGTTTTCTCCTTCAAGGTTGCTTCTAATTCAGCGACATTCTTCTGCACCGCGATCTTCTTCTCTTCTTCCTCAGCTTTGCTAGACTTCTTTAAGTCCATAACGGTGGCGAGTCGGACCAGCTCGTTAGAGTGTTTCTTGACTTGATCTTCTAACGCCTGGGCTTTCCCTCCCTTTCTCAGCTCTTTATCCCTCTCCGCTTTTACTCTCTTGACATCTTCTTCGAGATGAGATATCTCGCTCTTTAGCCTAGCGGCGGAATCTTCGAGGTCTTTCTGTCGTTGCTTCTTATTCTCCAGGTCAGCTGCGGACTGTTCTAATCTCTCCTGGTACTTCAGGTAATCATGTGCGACTACCACTCTCGTTAAGCGCTCCAAGTCATTTTGTGTTTGCTGAAAATCTAAGAAAGCTCTTTTCTCCGTCCGTAACTTCTCGAGCTTGGGCTCAATCTCGTCGCGTAGGAGCTCCGTGATCTCTTGTAATTTCATTTCCTTTTTTGCCATAGTTTTTAATGCCTTATCTCTCCGATCCTCGAACATTCTTGTACCGGCTGCTTCCTCGATCATGGCTAAAATCTCTACTGCCTTCATATTCAACACTTTGGTGATTCGACCTTGCATGATTAGGAAGTTGGGATTATTTATGTTCAGCTGTACCGATTGGAAGAGGTTTTGGACTGTCTGCTGTTGAGCTCGGTGCCCGTTTATTAGGTACTTTGACGTTCCTCCCAGAGCAATCTGTCTCGTGACGCTGATAGTGGCATATTCTTCGAACCCAATGGGCGACTTCTGCTTATCTTTGTTGTCGAATACGATCGTGACGCTGGCTTTCGTGACACCGGCTTGGCCACGCTTATATATTAGGTCCTGGACTCTACTATTAGATCGTCCGAGATGGAAATTTTGGGGATATCTTCATTTCGCACCTGTAGATTCTGGGCTCGCACAGTTGACATATTTGTGATACCGAGAACGAAGCAGATGGCGTCCAAAATATTAGACTTGCCACTACCGTTCAAGCCGGTAATGGAGTTGAAGCTCTCATCCCTTTGCGACGTTAGTTTTATAATTGCGACATAAGGGGGGGAGTATCCGTTGTTTACTAACCATCCTGAGATGACTGTTCTGACGGCGTAGGACTTGAAGCCCTTTTAAAGAGGTAGGTTAGTAAAGATAGTAAGAAGGTTAGTTATACTATTCTAGAGCATACATACATCTATAATCACCTCCGTAACCCTCATGTTGGCAAATGCGAGGGGATTCGCATGTAAATTTTGGTGGTGTTTTTTTGTCTACTTTTAGTTGGCAGTACCTAAGCTAAGGCTGGCAGGTATTTTAGGTATTTTCTGCATTCGAGTCACTGCAAGGCATGTATTAAAAGCCGTTGCCGACGCGATCAATATCAACAAAAACAAATTAAAAGAAATAAGCCTCCATGATTGGCTGTTGGTTTATTGACGTGGGGTAACTTTAGTCGTTTCTGCCCTGATTATAGGTACCTGATTATTAAGTGTTCTCTTAGACAATACATATGGAAGGCGGCAGGAGATGGCAAAAACCACAGAAGCTCCACTATACCTCCTAGCCACTACCTGATTTACTATTAGCCACATGTATGTACTTCGTACCTACCTAGGAGGTATGCATGTACTCCCTCACCCCTCCATCGCATATTAAATTATTTTCTACATTTTCTCTTTCTTTTTTCTTTTTCTTCTTCTTCAGCTCTCTTTGCCTTTTGGCTTAGATCAAGTGTAGTATCTGTTCTTTTCAGTTTAATCTCTGAAAGAGTCTTACCTAGACTCAATCGTGATTATTCTTATTTTTGCGCAAAGGGAGCGTATCCTCTGTGCTTGCGCATGATGGCTCTCCTACTGTGTCCCTAGTATCACACTACCTCCAGGCGATGCGAATATGTTTTCATTGTTGTCCCTGGCTTGCCCAGGGCTATGAAGAAGACGGGTACCTATCGGATTCCAGTTTCTATCTATTAGATACCTTGCTATCAGTATTATTTCGATTTTATCCGATGTACCTACCTCTGATAGAAGTAGGTACTTGGATAGGTGGCTTGTCTGTCTTCTAGTTGGTTCCCTTGTCAAAGGTGCTGTTTTTTTTATTCAACTTTGTTTTAGGTATTTAGCATCAGTGTCTCAGCCTTTGACTGCTGAAGATAAAAATCCGATTATGTCTTTCCCACGTGCTTTGCACCTGCTTGACGACTTACATAAGTACCTAACATGGCCGGTTGCAGTGATCGGCATCAAATTGTTGGGCAATGTTACGTCCGGATACATAGGTACCTAGATACATAGCAGATACAGGTATACTGTTAGGTAGGTACCTACCTGGTAGTCAAAGCCGATAAGCCCGCTAAATCAGGACTTATAATAGCATCCACACGCGACTAACAATCAATTGTCCACTGGACGTCATCTACAACTTAAGCCAAACTTCACCCTGAAACCCCCGAATAAGGCCTCGTGTCTTCGTCTATAAGTTCCGTGAGGTCAAAATACCTGGGTGGGAAACGTCCTTTACATTAGTAGAGGCCACAGAAATGGCGGACGAACAAGTGTCACTCACTTCCCTAATCTTGATAATTGTCCTTGGTGGCCTCATCATTCGATACTTATTCTTTTCGCCTCCAGCCCAAACATCACGACCACGAGATGCCCAAGCCATATCGCGTGCCAGGGAAGCAGCAGTAGAAAGGGTACAACAGATTTTTGGACCGGATCGAGTTGATCGGAGGACTATCTTATGGGATTTACATCGTAATGGGGGGAATATCGCGGCAACTACGGAACGGATATTAGCTGGACGGATAGAAACCGTGAGTCTCTCCCATAAAGAATTACGGACGCGACCCTCAGTTGTCGTATTCCTAACTTTTAATATGCCAATTCATGCTAACTATTCGCGTTTCCTCTTAGCCCCCCGTCACATTCCAACCACCTCCTCCCCCGACTTCTCCTAGCCCTTCGGCGACACAGACGCAGCCCTTCAAGGCACCTCCCAAGCCTGCCGAACCGGATTTAATTACTCGGTATAAACTACAGGACAAAATCAGGACCGAAAGCGAAAGTGAATCCTCCGCAAAGTCAAAGGCGTGGAGCTCTAACCGAAACGAGCGACAAGCATCCCTTCAACGAAGGCGAGACGAGATGATTTTGGCAGCAAGAAGGAAAATGGAAGCCAAGATCGCGGCGGAGAAAGCTGCTAGAAATGTGCAACAATGAGAAAAACAAACATATACTTGTATGGTTGGGTTAGTGACCAAGAGTCTGGATCACCATGAGGGAATTGTATATTTCGAATTCAACCCTCAAGTTGAAGGTGATTTGTATATCGGAGTTGATGTACATGTGAGGCGTACCTTGGTCTGAAACAATACTATAGACTTGGAGTCAAGGCGGGCAACATTGATGCAATATCTCTGAACACCATTGTCATTACACTAAATGATGGGTAGTTCCGCAAATATCTTTAGACTATTGTTTAACCAGATTCCTCCATAGATTTCTATAATGCTATTATATGCAAAGCCTACTATTATTATGCCCAACAAAGGATTTCAGAAAAACAGAAAAAGAAAAAGATGCCGCTTGATGTGTTTCCCATGTGTCCATATATCCACGCCATGCCAAGCCAGAAAGCAATGCAAAGAACTGTTGTGTCATGTCTCATTTCTGCCTCTGCTCAATCAATTGCAGACCCTGTCCAATGCCATCATGGACTCCTCCAGCAACGCTCTCTATAGTCCAGGCAGCAAGTTCAGACATTGCCTTCCCGAGTTTACCTTCACTCATGGCGGAAACTAGATATACTGTGTCAGCAGACGAGTACTTGCGAGGGCAATGGCGGTACTGTTGGACCTTGGCATCTCTCTCGCGGACTTATAAATATAGAATACGTTACGAAGTTCGACGTTTAGGTTAGGTACGTTTAGAGCGTATGGCATATAAAGGAAAAACAATGTAGTTGGGTCAACTTACTCTTCTCACTCAAGACTCCGCTCTGCTTCCCGACGGTACTAGCAAAAATGAAACTCTTAGAAATGATGTGCTGCGAGATGTTGTACTGGCGCTCGTAGTATGCTCCGGCGCGGATGGCAACTGCGAAGAAGGACAAGAGTAGCCAAACAAAGATAACAAGGCCCGTAACGAATCCCTGAACAGCTGAGTGTAGAAACGTCTTCGCTCTATCGGATGGTCGCCACCCGGGTCTACCTAACCCGCCCTCGATCTGGTCGTTCATGTCTATCTGCAAGCACGATTTTGGTAACGCTCGGCGGATGATGCTAGCTTCGTCGTCGTCCATGTCGTCCGGGAGTGCCTTGATCATATACGCCACACTATCGATATACGACTTTCTCGCGAAGGTTAGGTCCGCCGTTTCCTGGGACGCCGATTGCTGCAAAAAAGCACCTAAATACTTATAAGCAACCTATGCACTTCTCCAAGGAAAGGGACAAGAATGAATACACATACCTTGCCTAGCATACCTCCAATCTACACCGGAACTTAGATTCATAACGCGGCTGTCGGGAACGGATGGCCTTGGTTTGTCCTCTATAAGTCTGCTGTTAGCAACGCCTGCTGCTGCTGTGGCGCATGCTTGCAACCCGACAATTGCATCCTCGTCTCTCCTCGTGATGACCACGGGCTCTAGATTATCCTGAGATGTTAGGGGACGCTGTTGAGGGTGTAAGACGGGACGACTTGTAGATCGGCGGAGTGACTGGAGAGCCGGAAGTCGGGACTGAACTGAGGTAGGCAGCATGTTAAACACTAGAATTAACATGTTCTGCTCCATCATCGTGTCTCTCTCTCTACCCGCCTCTTCCCCGTTCTTGACCTTCTTAGACGTTGTTGTAATGTTAATGGTTCTAGTGTTTTCACGCCGCTCCTCCGATTATTGCAACTAAAGAAGGATACCGTTAAGTAAATTAGATACGTAGGTAGTTAGAATAATTACGGCTCAGTACCTCGGAGCGAAGTTCGGTTCACGGAGCAAAGGTTGTATTACCCCCCCTGTACCCAAGGCCAGACTTAACCTTTGCCTGGGTGTGTACCTATGTCCGCGTTGGACGGGAGTTCCCAGGAGCGCCAGGGAAGATATACCCTATTCCGGGCGAAGTCTGTAGGTCCCTAACTGCCTAGGTTAGGCCCTTATTTTTACTGTAAGAACTGTTGGCCGTCCACTTAGCTAGTCGCTGCTGCATTGCCACTGTTTCAACCCCCGAAGGCCCACCTCTGTTTTCGCAAAAGGCGTTGTCGTTTGAGATGGCTGATAGATAAGCGACTTTCACATGCAACCCTACCGCATGCCAAGAATGTACCTACTTATAAGTTATACCGACTTATATATATTTAACCATGATACCTCCCAACACCGACCTCGAGGGTTAAGGGTTCAAAGTTCCTTCAATATAAAAACTTGTCTTCTATACGTCTTAACTTAGTTAATTAATACCTAATACGATAAATATCTGAATTATCCTCCACCATTAGAAGCGGTCAGGGCCGACCCACTGCAAGAGGTACCTATCGAAAATTATTTGGAGCATGTGAACGTGAAGAGAACCTATGCCTTCACTTTTTAACTCAAGGGTTTTTTTTTGTCGGAGTGGAAAGGGATTCAGGACTTGATCTGATTGGCTTAAAAAACTTAAGGCATTTTGTCAGCCCTCGGGGTGACCTCCACTAGGTACTACAGCTTAGCGTCTGCGTGGCGCGGAACTTGTTGAGGTCCTCTGTATGTAGGTACAATACTACATAGTAGTTGTATGTGCGTACCTAGGTAGTGTAGCTCTTCAAAGTTCACACGCATGTTCTTGTATGTACAGAATCTTGCATGGATTTCGTGCATCTGACCTACTACATAGTATGATATTTGGTAGGTATAGGACGGCTAGATGTCAGATGATAGGTAAGAACCTTAGGTACTATAAAAACAGCCCGTGTAGATATCATAGGTACCTACCTAAGCGGACTATGTAGCCGCGTGACTTCTACCTGATTGACACTCATGATTATGTTCTCTGATTAATGAGAGACTGACTGCGCGAATAAATCCAGTGTAAAGAAATTGATTATTATTTATTGGAGATACCTACCAAGTTATAACAGTTGGTACAGTACTAGATGTATGGAAGCCGCAACATTAAAAATACACGTGGGTGTTGACGAGTCAGGATATCACAATTGGTAAGTCTGAGTTATTATTTCGGGAACCTAAAAGTTGGTGTGACCTGCCGGCGGGTACTTGGGTAGTCCGCTTCGGCTCTTCCACCGTTGGAGCTTGGAATGGAGGGGACTTGGAAGGACGGGAGGGGGGTTGTCGGATCATACTTTAACCGTGCCTATCTGCAGTCTTACTAGGAGGGACTGATGACCAAATTTGTAGTGGGCTAAGTGGGTTTCGCCAGGATCTGGGCCTTTTCCTTAGCTCATGTTCCTAAAGAGAAAAAAAAAAAAAAAAAAAAATTTCGAGTTGAAGAAATTCAAATCGCCTCCACCACGCGCCTTATTTCTTCTTCTATAAGGTCGTGTGCAGGTAAAACACTTCCTCCAATACCTCAATCGTTACTTTCTTTGAGGCAATTACAATTTCTCTGCCAAGATGCTCAAGTCTTCTTTGCAGAGGCATGCCCGCCTGGGCAACTTGGCCCGTCGCCAGATCTCGACCTTGGTCTCGCAGCAAATTCGCTCTCGACCGGTCGTAGCATCTTGCCAGAGACTGGCGCAATCTGAACGACAGGTCGTTCCTCTCAGACAGATCGCACTGCGACTATATTCTCAACAGTCTGCCGCAGCGCCATCAAGCGCGCGGACTGACGACTCCCCAGCTTCCATATATAATGTCACCCGATTCGAAGATCTAACAAAGCTAGGTGTTGATGAACGGATTATCCGAGCCATCACTGTGGATATGGGATATGATACCATGACTGAAGTTCAGTCCTTAACTATCAACCCAGCTCTTAAGGGAGTCGATTTGTAAGTAGAACTTGATATTTTTCTTCTTCTTTTCCCCTACTTCTTCAATTTTTAAGCTAACTATTGTAAAGGGTGGCCCAAGCAAAGACTGGAACGGGAAAGACATTGGGATTCCTCGTCCCTGTCTTCCAGCGTCTCATTGCGTCTGATTCGAGTCTTGCATCCCCGCAACACCGCATGAGGGCTTCCTCAGAGGATATCCGTGCTATAATTCTGTCTCCCACTCGCGAGCTAGCAGAACAGATTGGCGTTGAAGCCAGGAAGCTAGCCCGACACACGGGAATTGTCGTCCAAACCGCCGTTGGTGGCACAAGGAAGCGGGAAGCTATGCACAAAATGAATCGGGAGGGATGCGACGTGCTCGTTGCCACTCCCGGTAGACTTTACGATATCATGACTGATCAGAGTACCCGCGTTGCTGCGCCCAGAATACAATCGTTCGTATTGGACGAGGCGGACCGCATGCTGGATGTTGGGTTTGCGGACGCTATCCGTGAAATTGTAGACATTCTCCCCCCAATTCGCGAAGTTGACCGTCAAACGCTCTTATACTCTGCAACTATTCCCCGAGATGTTGTACACCTAGCCAAGAGCATGGTCAAGACGGACAATTTTGATTTCGTGCAAACCATCAACCCAGACGAGACCCCGACCCACGCACGTGTGCCGCAACATCTTGTGGCTACAAAGGGTTATGAGAATTGGTTCCCAGCTGTCATGGAACTTGCCGACCGGGCAATTGAACAATCCAAGCAGGACCCTGATGCCCTCCCTTTCAAGGCCATCATCTTTTTCTCAAACACTGCTACCGTCCAATTTGCCAACCGCGTCTTCAAGAGTACTTATCTAGGACATAGGTTGAATGGTGTGCCGATCTTCGATATCCATTCAAAGCTTAGCCAGGATACACGAACTAGGAACGCCGAGGCCTTCCGCCGTGCCCGGACCGGTATTCTTATCTCTTCAGATGTCACCGCGAGAGGAATGGATTTCCCCAATGTATCCCACGTCTTTCAATTAGGCCTCCCCCCTGACAGGGACCAATATATCCACCGAGTCGGCCGAACAGGTCGTGCTGGAAAGAATGGAGAGGGTTGGTTGATCCTTTCTGAGGACGAAATCAAGGAAGCTCGTTATCGTCTTCCTGGCTTGCCCATTAAGCCTAACCAGACTGTTAAAAGTGCAACCCACGTCCCAGGACAGGGTACACCAGATCCAGAAGTGGCCAAATATTTCGACGAGGTATCCAGGGCCTACGAGCGTGCCCCACGAGATCTCTTTGCAGCTACCTATAATGCTATGCTTGGCCAAAAGTTCGGTAGGACTCTGAACGTCGAGGCTATCGTCCGACTCCTTAACAATTGGTGTTTGAATGGGCTTCGTTGGGAACAGACGCCTGCTATCAGCCCCAAGTCAGCCAAGAACCGTGGCTTAGATAGAGTACCTGGAATCAGGATCGGAATCGATACGTATGAAAGAGATGATGATCGCCGAGGTTTTGGTGGCGGGTTTGGTGGCGGCCGAGGTGGTGGCGGTTTCGGTGGTGGTTTCGACCGACGAGGTGGTGGATCCAACCGAAACGATAATTTTAACTCGGGCTCTCGATTCGGCTCTAGAGATCGTCGAGACAACGATCCGTTTTCCCGGCGCATAAATACGGATTTCGACTCTCGAAGACAACCTTCTCGAGCATCGTTCTAGAGAACTCGCGGCTTCTTCCGGAATGGAAGTAGTAGTTGATTTCCTGAGATGCATCGTCTCGTGCTTAATTTTCTAATGTACTATGCTGCTTCGGAAACCAGACCCCCTTCCTAGGTATATATGTATGTGGAGGATATGGACCCGCACGCGCCCGTCGGCGCAGAGCTTGGGACTGATGATATGCAAGTACTTCAGAACTGGCAATACGTCCCACCGGTAGATAGATCTACATTTGTGGAGGGGGTCCACAATCGGAGTCAAGGTTGTCTTGCTTGGTTTTACGGAACAATTCAAGGCGTCGGGCGGTCACTGGAAAAAGGGGCCGCACGGCACGGAAATCTCGACTATTTGTACTATAGTGTAGTAAGATGGCTCGTAACGATAGATAAAATAACACGAAGCCAATGATGCACCATCTTGATCTCATGATATGGCTCAGTCACCAAGTCTATGTATTTTGACTTAGCTTAAGTTAGGTAGTTGACAGCATAACTTGCTTGTAGTAGGTTCCTGTCTTATTTTTATATATATACCTACATACCTGCGTATAATTATCCGGACAAGTTGCGTGATTATTAGTTTTGTGGCAAGCCTAGCTAAGTTAAGCAATGAATTGCCATAAATCCTCAGGTATGTATACCTGGGAACAGATTAGAGACATACCTATACAAGCACAAGTAGCTCAGGGGAGCTTACATGCGTGTGTACATATATAGGTACATATAATAATATATCTCAAATATATCCAGTATCGTTACATATATCAATAACGATTATCTTAAACGCCCCAAATGCAGATCCAAGATTATAAGGTAGGTAGGTAGCCAACGCCGTGTTATTTTTTTTCTTCTTCCTTTCCACGCTGCCAAATTCCAATGCAAGCGGTCTTACGCTTGCCCTTGTAACAACCTATTCGCATCCCATAATAATAACCTCTCATCCCACCCCACAGTCGCAACCCAGCCGCCAACGCCGAATAAGCACCAGTCGACGCCCGTTACGAATTCAGTGTGTCTGTTCATAATACCGAGTTGGATCCCAGCCTTGACTGGTGATGCCTGTTGCGCCGGCATCGACGACCCGTCCGTCCATAACCGCACCGTCATGTCGTAACTCGCGCTGATCAAGATATCGCTGGCATGCGGGCTCCACGCCAGCCTCCTAACAGCGTAGTCGTGGCCGAGCATTATAGATTCGGGCCCTGCTGAAGGATTCCTAATGTCGAACGTCCGTATTACCTTATCCACACCGCCCGTCGCGATCACCGTGTGGTTGTATTTGTTCCAATCGTGGGTGAGGATTTCCCCTGGCGCAGCCGGGGGAGTTGGGCCTTGGAGGGGCGGGACGGGAGGAGGTACGTGGACCGGGATTTTGGTTGTTAAGTGATATTGGGCGCTGACTGGTGTTCGGAGGTCGAATATGCGCAAGTGCGAATCTGTCGATACCGCGGAGATGATATTTGGATTGGATGGGCAGTACGATGTACTATATGTACAATTTCCGATGGGTAGAGTATTGATGGATTCTTTCCTAGCCGGCGACCACTACTCAACTCTGTTTAGAAATCCTCGGCGCAGTACGCACTTATATGAGGTCAAAAAAAGAGGGTACGTACGATCTTTACCGTCCCATCCCACGAACTAGAAGCAAATGTATCTTTTGTGACAGGGCTCCACGACACCGAGAAGGTCTCCCTCTTATGCTCGTGGAAGTTCATTACGGGGAATTCGTTAACATTCATATCGTAGAGCTTAATGGATCCATCACCACACGCGACCAATAACTGGTTCTCGTTGATCTCCGACCAGGCAAGGTCATACTGGGCGTCGTTCGTATCGAAGCTGGGATAGGAATCAATCTTTAGTTCGTCATACCAAGCTAGAGGTTATAGTTCCAATCGGCTCACGTCTTCTCGATCTGGACGCCCTGCGGCCCCAGCCCCAAGCAGAACAGGCGGCCATTGCCTACAATGCCGTAATTCGCAGCGGATGCGACGGCGATGCGCGAATCGTAGTACGGCGAATATTTGACGGCGTAAGGATTCCAGCCAGGCGTGCGGAACTCTAACATGGCGGCCATTTTGCTTTAGGTAGCAAAGCTAGAAGCGGAAGCACGAGCTCAAACTTGCTGGCGCATAATAGTCTAATTACAGGTACCTAAGGTTGGATAGGTTGGAGGTAGGGAACTTGAAGATTAGATTGACAGCTGAAGAATGACGATGAACTGAAAGCCAAGACGTGGGGCCTCGGTATCGTGGTACCTTTGTAGCCTATGTGGGGTTGTGAAACAGGGCCGCGGGGGTCTCAGGTCTGTCCTCGGTCCAGCAGCCCTATTACCTACCTAGGTACCTTGCTACTTTGAAGTTTGAGTACCTTGAGGTCCCCTGGAGTTGCTGATTCATACAAGGTACAAACATACCTATATCTAAGACCACCTTCGCTAATAAATAACTCCAGACTATTTCCACCTTCATCTTCTAGGCAACAAAGCTAAGACGGAGAATTTAATATGTACCTGTTATTCCGTCATTCGAGGTTTGGAGAATTCTCACCCACTCCAAGGAGACTTTAAAAGGTGAAAAATACCTACACTAGAAATGACGCGGTTCATTTCATCTTGGGAATTCCACATTCTACCTTATAAGCCATATCATGGACTCGTTCTTGAAAGGAACCAAGCGAAAGTCATCCGCATTAGAAGAAGACCCATCCTTGGTCGACGATAATGAGTCAACAGATGTGAAACTGGCAATTCTCTCATCATTGCACACCAATATTAGCCAGGAAGCCTTACTAGAAGCCCTCCTAGCGCATGACGGCTCTGTTCAGGCTGCTTCTGCTTCTCTAGCCGAGGATCGATTAGCGTCGCCAAAGAAGAAACGAAATAACGTTATTGGGTATCAGTCTTCGCTCAGACTATTTGCTAATAAAGCCCCAGCTGGAGAACGGTCCGTGTCGCCAAAGAAGGCAAGACCTCTTTCCAAGAAAGGGACAACCCTTCACTTGTATGATCCCGAGGATGTAGCTGAACATACACCTTGCAGTATCATCCATAATTTTTTGCCCCCAGATGAGGCCAATGAGCTTCTCAAGGAGTTGCTAATCGAATCGGCTTCATTCGATAAGATCACATTCAAGTTATTTGATAACGTGGTCCAAAGCCCACATACATCGAGCTTCTACGTGGGAACAGAAGCCGAGATCAACACTCAAAAGCATGACTATTTTTACAACGGCGCACGATTAACAGACGTTCGGCCTATTACTCCTCAACTTTTGCGTGTTCGGCCAAAAGTCCAGGAGGCGGTGAACAGAGAAATCCAGAAACGTATCAGGACTCATTACCCCGGCGGACAAAAGTTGAAATACCAGTCTCCGGATCCATGGTTACCAAATTGTGCCTTTGTCAATTGTTACAACGGACCTCAGGAGAGCGTTGGCTATCACAGCGATCAATTGACCTACCTAGGCCCCCGAGCTGTGATAGGCTCCCTTTCCCTAGGGGTAGCAAGAGAATTTCGTGTTAGACGGATCACGCCAAAGGACTCCGATGCTAGTCCTACGGATGATGCGGACACTGAAGGGCAAATCTCTATACATCTTCCGCATAATTCTCTCTTAGTGATGCATGCTGAGATGCAGGAGGAATGGAAACACAGCATCACCCCAGCTCAAGCGATCGACCCTCATCCCATTGCAGGTAATCGGAGGATTAACGTCACATATCGCCACTACAAGCCAAGTTTCCACGCGAAGTATACCCCGAGATGCAAATGTGTTATTCCTGCTATACTGAGAGTTGTTCAAAGAAAGAAGGAAAACCAGGGGAAATATTTCTGGATGTGTCATGGAGGAAATGTGCCTGGTAAAAAAAATTGTTCATTCTTCCAATGGGGCGATTTCGATGACGATGGGAATCCTAGTTGGGACAAGTCGCGGTATAAAGTTGCCCAGGGGAACGGCCGCTCAGAGGACAGTTTACGATGATCAATATTCGGAGCCCTTATCACCCTATCTTGACCTTAATACAAAACAACCGAAACATTACCACGAACAGAAGACTATATTGCACTAGCTTGGGTTTGAGTGGAGGTAAAACTTCGATACAAAGGAGTATACCGGATAAGAATCTCCCCGCTCTCACTGCTTAATCCCGATATATACCTCTCTTGTATTTCGGATTTCATGGCTCAACATAAAGTGGCGGGCGGCTATAGCCATCCACCTGCTTCACGTTCAAATCGCCGACGTCTAAGCCGTTCAAAGCCCTCAGGTTGATGGGTGTAAACGCAAACGCTCTCTTAATGAACTCCCTCTGGTCTTCGGGTAGTTTATTGAGCTCCTCCTCAGAGACCGGTGGAATATGATTATGAATCGATATTCCACATGTCTTGCAGAAAGACTTTGCGAATAGCTTGGTGCCAAATTTATAGTACGCGATGTTTTCTTCACCCTCAATCTCGACCTGGTCTTTTTGAGGATAAAGCCATACATAACCCATCTACGGCGAGTTAGCCATAAGCCGCTAACCAAAATAGTTTGGCAATATTAATGCTTACCCTGTTGCAATAGCTGCAGTTGCATTCGGAGACAGGCTCCTCGAAACTCTTATCGAGAGGCTTTGATTTTAATGCCAGTCTCACTGCACCACAGTGACAGCTACCGGTATAGATCTTTGCACCTTCTATCACGGCTTTCGGTTCTGGTCCTGTGAACTTGGGCGCCTTATAAGGCCCCCTGAATTCCTTGTTATTCGCACTGGGAATTGATGGAAGATGACTTGTCAGCGTCGACGCTTGGGGAACCGATGCGGGTATGGAAGGCAACTCACTAGAATTTCATGATGTTCCATACGTCGACGCCTTGGCCATGCTGAAACGATCGGACCTGAGATAGATGATAAGCTATTTGCCGGCGTTACCCTCTTCGGCACCTCTGAATAAATGGAGACTACTTACATTTGCTCCCATTCTTGGCTCTTCGCCGGGCTTGGGAAGTGTCTCGTCTCCGACAAACAAGAGTTGAACTCCACAATTGGGGCAGAACTAATTTTCCCCTCACGTCAGTCTAACGAAAGCGACACGACCCAAAATGGACTATTTTTACGAGCCTTATGGTTGATTGTCTTCTCCCCGAATGTATAGTTTGCCAGAGTATTGACGTCGCCTTTGACGAAGCGGATGTTGCCCGGCTCAGGGACGACCCATAAAGCTCCCTTCTTATAGCATGAGCTACAGTTGCACTCGAGGACTTTGAAGGCATGAGGCATCTTTGCCTCGTAGACATAGGCACCGCAGTGGCAGCTGCCTCGGTAGGTTTTCAGGTCCGCAGACATTCCGTCGATGAGGTATCTGTAGGGTTTTAGTTCTTCAGCCATCGCACCTTAACGAAATATCGGGTAGCGGTATAAGAGGCTATTTACTAGTCTTGATATGGGGTCTCAATCGGTGCCCAAGGGTCGGTTGGAAGTTATATAAAGAGTTTTAATAACCAGTACTGACTCTTTTTTTCCAGTTCGATCTGGAGTAAAACCAGACTACATACACCTATCACGGTGCGACTGAAAACTTCACCCGGAGATTTGAGACCTTCTTAAAGGAGTTCCCCGATTCCAGAAACGAGCCCGATAGCCGGTAGCTAAATCCCGCAAGAAGGATAGCATTGTGTTTTATGGAACCCCGGAACCAAGATTGAGACCTGCATATCACTTCTGGTAACTCCCAAGATGGAATGCACTCCAGCCGACGAATTCCCCCCAATGCTAGGCAGGTATAATAAGATACATACCTAGCTAGTATAAGCCGACAGCCGCAGTTAGAGAATTATAAAAGCAGTGGAGACAGCTTTAAACTTATGCGTCTCTTATGCTTGTAACCTTGCTTCGAAGCTGATTCTTTGTAATTCCTATATACGAAGACTGATTTATCATTCCTCGGCCGCGGTTTTAATCTCGTCAGGATCTTAGGTTGACGGACTGAAGTTGACTCTGGATGATGACTCATTCAATGTGGGAACAACTTAATAGTATATTGGTCTTAGGTACCTATCCTTGAATTCCCATGGGCATGGGATGTAAGTGTATATGTATTCCTCTGACGAGGGATTCCAAACGCAACGATTAACCCCCCCTCGCACCCCCCCTCTCCGAAGAGCCAAGGCGAATCTTCTTGTTCGTGCTGGACTTGCATTACCATCTGTCGGCCAACTAGTGGCCGTTCCTTTGTGAATGATAATGCGATTTAAGGTAATTGCTGACCATACAGGAGCGGACATCAGCGGGAGACTTGACGCACGAGCGCATCCTTGGTTGCGTTTCGGCGGCGGGGGCGGGGGGAACCGGAGCCGTCCCTAGCCAATGATTTTACAAAAAAGGTATGCTTCCGAGTAAGTACAGGTAGTATATAAGGTATAAGATGATGCACCAAGGACCTGGAAAAAAGAGAAGGAGAAAAAAACCCTCCAAAAAAACCGGCGGTTAAAAAGGAACAATCTAGAGCTATAACAATAAACAATGTGTACCTAGGTACCTAATGTTATACTTCCATACCTTTGTCCTATAAATGTCACTTTGGTCAACTATATGGAAAGTACCTAACTTACTATAAGTATAATGTATAATACGGATACTGATAAGATAAGGTAGGTACCTATCTAAGTGGGGATTTGCAAGCTGTACCTTAAAACTTTAAGGCCCCAGCCACCACCTTAAACAATCCAGTGCCGGCCAGTGGTAGACCAATGGTATGTAGACCAGACCTGTGATAGACCAGTGGTGATTAGAGCAAATTGAACTTGACGTGGGGCGCGACGGATACAACGCGATTGTTGGCGCCTGAGTCCTCTTTTCACTCACATGCTTCAGCCCTTTTGTGCGTTGTGCGTTGTCCAGTAGACCATCACTTTTCATCCATCATTTTCATCCACTTATTTTGTTGTTCTCTTTTTTGGAGGGATTTGGATTAAAATGTCCACGATGGCATCGTGAATCCTGCGCGCGCCATTTCTATGCTACTTGCTACTTGCTACTAGTTACTAGAACAACACCCAAGCTTGCACTGCACCATCGCACCATTATCACCACGTTTATTGGAAGCCTAATTAATTCTTTAGTGGTGCTATTCATTATTTCTTTTGGTTTTGAGGTTTTGAATTAACATCGGCCCTCGAAACCAAAGCTCGCCATGCCGCCGTTAGAGCCTTCGCTCAGGCTCGCGCGCGATGTGCTCTCGAATCTGGCATCCAGATCACCACAGCCCTCGATAGCGACGCCTACGCCAAAGCCGAATCGGAATCGGAATTGGAACCGGAATCTAAACCTCTCACAAAAGATGCACGACTTCGCCTCCCGCTCCCGCACGCTCCTCCCCCGACTCGCGACGGACGTGAGCACGGTCCCCGAGGGATACGGCCGGACGCCCAGCGGTCCGGACCCGGGCGCGGTGGCCGGCATCGTCCTCGGCTCCGTCGCCGGCTTCCTGCTGCTGCTGTGGATCATATACTGGTGCGTGAACCTGGGGGCCACCGCGACGCCCGTCGTCGTCGTCGAGGAGGCCTCCGCGAGCGGCGTGGGCCGCGGCTCCTCCTCCGTGGTGTCGTACCGCTCGCGGCCGAGGGTGCGCCGCCATCACCGGCGCAGCCACCACTCGCGCGCGTCGCAGCCGTACGCCTCGCCGCCGACGCAGCCGCCGCCACAGCAGCATCATCGTCGAAAGGAGACCGTCGAGATCACGCGGCGCGACCGGGTCGTCCGCCGCTCCGTGTCCTCGTCTCCCGCCCGCGCGCCTGAGGTCGACCAGATCGTCGTGCTGGAAGAGCACGACAGGTCCCGATCAAGATCCCGATCCCTATCCCGCTCCCGCTCTCGGTCCCGAGCCCGGTCCTCGTCGAGAAGCATCAGCCGCCCGCGGCCTCCGCTATCGCGGAGCGACGCCGACGACGACGAGATCGTGGTGATGGAGGAGCATTCGACGCCGCCCAGGCGGGCGAGCAGGAGCTACAGACGGAGGAGCAGCGAGAGGAGGAGCGAGAGGAGGAGCGGTGCGCAGTATAGGGACGTGGAATACCGTAGGAGGAGTAGTTCCCGAAGGTGATGATGATGATGGTGGTGGTGATTTAATTAATTACAGCGGGGAATTTGGATGAGAAAAATGAGCAAACCGAGCGATTTTATTTTTGAAGAGAGAGAGAATCTTACGGCCACATTTTTAAGCGCAACACGGACGAATGAATCTTATGGGAAATACCTACCTAACCTAAGGTTAACTAGAGAGAGCATTTACTGTATGTATGTATTAATTAGTGGAACGGCATGCATGGTGTATGAGATTGTACGAGATGATGATGTTTGGACGATGGTAATATATCACAACATCGGTGCATGCTCTCGTTTCTCCAGCTCTGTTTTCTCTAGCTCTCTTCTGCCTCGAAATAGTGTAAAATTGCCTAAGGTGTTTACTCTATTTCCATAATTCTCAAAGTATAGATTTAAGTTAAAAGTGCTTATAAGAGGTACGTATCTAATTATGAATCCATTATGTCCAGCTACATAACATAGTTTTTCATTAGAGAGTCATGTTACTAATCGTTAAGGCTTTCTTATGTATTGTATGATGTCTATTAGTTTCACATGCTAGGAAGAACCAACGCTGCAAATAGCAATGACATCATCACCCCCAAAACAAAGCTGTATAAGTTTGGAACTTACACTTATATAATACATCAGGTCCTGCAGCTAAAGTGCTTAATAAATGTGCTTAAAAGTACATAAAGTATCTTTACATCCTTGACCCTCAACTTTAAACTCTCCATGTCTTCTTATTACAACCTTTTTTGATCAAAATGGACTATCCCGAGCAGCAGATCCAACACATCATCCGCAGCTTGACGCAATATTCGCACGACGACCAGCGCACTGCTCTCCAAGATTATTTCCTACCCGATGCCTACTTCGTCCATCCTTTCTGCCGCGTGCCGTCCTTCGGCAATTGCAAGATTCCCTACACCGACTTGACTGTAAACTCGCGCCAGTTGGTGTTTTACATCTACCAGTGGTACCGAATCTTGAGCCCGGATATCAAACTTAGCATCGATTCGACCAGTGAGTTTCCTGCATTTCGATCCGCCTTCCAAGTTCATTTATAAAATAAAATAAAAACCCCCCGTGTAAGTTAGGTACCTATACATAAGAGGTTACTAACTTGTAACTTCCCTCCCTACGCACCTAGGCTTCGACAAGGACAAGAATCTTTTATACGTTATGATCCGCCAGACCTTCACCCTGTGGTTCGTGCCACTCTCGCTATGGCAGGCCAACGTGAAGCTGGTCACGGTGCTAGAGTTGCAGCAGCTTAGTACGGATAAGAGCCACAAACCGCTGCTCGGCGAGACGTCGACTCCCGTCAACGGCGAGCGGCCTCCTAAGCTGTACTTCATCAAGGGTCAGCAGGACCATTATCAGATAGAGGATTTCCTCCAGTTCGTCGCGCCGTGGGGTGCTTCGCTTCTATGGATGGCATGGCAGATTTACGCAACGATCATCTGCACTGTAGGCGTGATATTCCTCCGGACCCCCGTCGCCTTGTGTCAGAAATACTTCCTCGGTCGGGATACTAGGGCCATCAAGACGCTGTAGGATGCTTCGTCTCGAGTTTTCGAAGTGCTGCCCGAGGCTTCGGGGGGTGAGTGTTCGCTTCGCAAGGCGATAGGCTCGAAGGGCCGAGACCAAAATAGCTACTACCTACGATGATATAGCTGCGCGTTTAAACGAGGATGACGATAATGGCGAGCGCCAGGGCAGCAGTTCCATTCTTAGACGCCTAATCGTCTCACTCGCACGCCACTAGTATGAGGTGCCTCCACTAAATAGACCAAAACCACAAGACCCTTCGCCCCGTGGTATGCAGGTCTAGGGTTATGAGTGGTCGAGAAAGGGTCGGAAATCGTGCAGGTAGCAAACCGAGACCTACCGCCGAAGACGCAACAACCTAACCACCGCTCTTGTCGCGGAAGCCAGTCAACGGCGGCCCGGTTACCCCAGAGGCCCGTGTCCGGGAAGATGGCAAGAGACCTCTAGCAAAACAAGACCGAACACAACAATGATGTCCAGAAGTTATACTCCTGGCACGTCAAAAGGACCCGGAGGAAGAAAGTTGAAGACGTATAAGGCCCGCGGTAGCGCAGTGAATCGAGATAGCAGAACGAGAGTAAGGGAAATATCTGCAGGGAATACTGGCGACCGGGTCGTTATTCTTTCACTAAAATGTATAAAGATGAATTCCTCTCACCAGGATGCCAGGGCTGGAAAGAATATGGCATTTAGCGAGTTTTATTGGTGTAAATTCATTACCTACCTCCTACCTAAGTACCTAGGTAAGTAGCTGTCTTATAGGGGTTTCAGGTCTCTTTTATTTATTTTCGTGGACTACATCGATTGCCCTACACGATAGTACCAAGATGTATGGAAATACCAAAATGGAATCTATCTATCATTTTCACGTCTAGCCTATAATACTTAGCTCTATGGCGTAGAACAGCGATGGAAGTATACAAATAGTAGTAATAAATACCCAAACTATGTTCCTATCATGCACAAAAGCTGCCAGTAAGACAAACCCCTTTATTCTGTATGTCCACGACTAGAGACTAGAAAGGATCGAGACGACGGTGAGAGAATACGGAAGACCTACTTTCACATATTTTCTCTTCCCTATCGAGCGTTACGTATAACTGTCATAGTATTATACGAACCCGATATCATCGGAAAATGCACGGCATACGTCCTGCAGATCCAGCAAGTTATAGTTCGTAGTTATGTCAGAGATGAACCATTTTATATCCAGGCATAAACTACCTGTTATCCGGCACCTATGCATTCATCACTTCGAACAAAAAAACAAGGTATCTTTCCATCGAGGCCAAGCGAGCAAGGAGCGTGTATTCAATGTGCTCAAGGCATTAATCCGTCATACCTATCATACTCAATCCAACCGAACACAAAGAAATGCCTTTCATCCTCGGCTCTAAGACCATCTACCTTCTCCTCCTCTTCTAAGAGCCGTTTCAACTCTCCTTCTGTTTTTTGGTCTTCTCCGTACGTACATGGTGGGCGTGACTCGTCAAATATGGAAAAGGGGGGTATTAGAAACGTATCATACAGGAAAAGCGAAGAAAAAAAACCTCGACATGCCAAATGAAAGAGTAAAGATGAAACAAAGAGCCTCGCACATCCGGTTTTATCTGGTAGTTGAATAATAATTAGATATCTCCATTCCTCATACCTCATTTAAGCTTAAACCTGGAGTAGCCTTGTTGATAAATATCGTCCTATATGACACCATATACTCCTACGCCGTCGTATAGCAGAAGCTATAATGGAACCGGATTGGTTTTTATGAGTTTCTTTTTTTCTTTTCTTTTTTTTTCGGTGAGTATTTATCCTCCCCCTTGCTGTCCGCCGAAGAAAAACCCGTCAAATAGGTCGACTTGCTGCCCATCGCTAAAGTCGTGATGCATCCCCTCCCAGCCGAGTCCAAAACCCATGTCCATTTGCAGATCCGTATTGACCACGCCGTCTGCATTGGGCTGGTCCTGGATACCCTGCAAGAAGTCCATACCCTGCAAGTCCGAATAGTTTATCGTGCCGCTGGGCGTGAAGGCTGCGGTTGGTGATCTGAAATTGAAATTCGAGTTCCCTGTGCTCTGCGTATATTGTTGTCCTGGGTTAGATTGCGGCGTCAAGCTGTTGACAGATACCGGAGAACTTGTATGCGCGCCGGGGGAAGGTAGAAGAACGGGATCGATGGCTGAATTGTCAGGAAGCGAGGCTCCATCAGACAAGCTAGCCGTACTAAGGGTAGATTGTGGCATGGAACGCATCATCGAATACCCATCCTGTTCTGCCTTGATGTTAGGCATAGGGAGGCGGAACCCGCTAGCTTGAGACGCCGCTTGAATGGAACTCATCTGCGAGGTATCGTGTGAGCTATAGCTTTCCTGCCCAGGCGTGTTATAGGATGAAGTGGTCCGGGATCCTGTATGATCTAACGAGCCGCGATGATGGGCTTTTTGTCGGTTAGCCGTCGCGTCTCTGGCGTTGATGTAGTCGCTTCTTTCATTACCATTTCTTGCAGGGCGCTTGCTCCGATGCAGCACTTGTCCGAACCCACCGGTGGAATTTGCCATTTTGATAGTCGCTTTTGCAGTTCGGTCGAATGCATCCCTACAAGCTTCCGCTGGTGGACATTTTTCGATAAGGTCGGTAAAAACAGAGGTAGCTGCTAGAATTGTGAAATCAACCTCATCCATCGTCTATATTCGTGTTAGCCGGACCCATTTGATTCCTTAGGTAGTACACTTACTAGTCGACTTCGGACAACATGTGAATGCCAAATTGCATATAGATAAGAAATTCCTGCCATGAAAAGGTGGTGGGTGGCTAGATATGTATAGTTGACGAGCCCCATAAGATGAAGCTGTCTGTATAAACGAAGAATCTTCTGACCTGCCTCGGCAACTTTGACATATACTCTCTCTTCATCTTCTCGCGATTCTGCGGCGTAAACGGAGGGGCTGTTGACCTCTTTTGAGGTATTATATTCGCCTTCGAACATGGACGGCACACTCAGGCTCTGTCGATATAGCATGATAATAGTTTGCCAATAGTTTAGTTCCAGGAATTCGGGATGAAATGCGACACCCGAGTCCTGCTTTGTCGGCGCAGAATTCTTCCAATCATATAGTCGTTGGTCGATATTCCTCCGCCAGTTCCTAAACGAGTCGAATCTGTGTAAGAAAGGCGATGGAAGCTGGGTGTGCATATACTCGTTTCTCGTATTTTGACCATTGAACCTCGCCATCTGTGTTTGCTGGTATTGTAATACTTGCAGAATCTCGGACTGGAGCAGTCGGAGGCGAAAGTAATGCTTTGCAACAATTTTATACGTGGGCTCTCCCTCAGCCGGGCGTCCCCTAAACCCTTCCGAAGTGATATATCGATCATCTAGCAGGGAAGGGAACTCTGTCGTAATCACTTGGTCCGATACGCCAAACGGTCGTCCAACGCATGTGCTAACAAGTCTGTCGAGTGAATATGTGCACCACCACAGCCGTCGTCTGAGGTCGCGGGTGTACTCGCGTCTTCCCCTCTCACGTACATAGGCTTCTCGTGTTTTCTCGTTCCCTTCGTCGCCTTTCATTTTTGAACCGAGGTCAAATTCGACATCTTTTCCATCTTCATAATGAAGACCTAAATCGACTGCTAATCTCACCGCGACACCAACGATGTACCTATGGTGATTTGATGTCAATTTTTAACCTCGGGAAGGAAAAGGATGTAGAACTAGATGAGACATACCATAATCCAGGTGGGACTGGGCGAAGAAGAGCAAAATTAGCCAGCAACAAGACAGCTTGGAGCTCTTCCAATCCTCCGCCACTGTTGCTCAGACAGGCTTCTAGATGGACGACAGCGCTCGCATGATATTCTTCAGGTTGGGCCTGCCTCTTTTCTTCTCCGGACACCTTGGAGGAAGTCGTCTGAGCGTCCATAATTATGCCGCCTCCGATGGCATACACCATATTTAAGATATATAGCTCTTTCGGTCCTCGTACCCTACCTTCTTCAGCATATGCACGTTCGAAAAGTTGCATAAAATTCTCCCGGTGTAAAACAGGTATCTGGGGGTTCGCATGTTGAAAATACAAATCGACCATTTTGATAGCGAGGTCCCTGGGGGGGAATTCAGCTGGCCTGATGGTTGGCCGAGTGTGAAGGCCGAAAAAGGAGTCACGCATGGACGTGCCCGAAGCCGCGGCTCCGTTTCCTGCAATTGGTCGATATGGCCGCACTCCGGTCTTGTCGGAACTAGATTTTTGGTCTCCCACGGATGACTGTACAGCGGCAAATACAACGCGCGCAAACGATATTCCTGTAGCAGATCCCAGGTGTCTCTGACCACTGCTCCCGCCATGCTTCACCATCTTAACCGGCTTCTCCATCTCATCATTATCCTTACGAGGTTTCGCGCTGCTCGAGGCTTCCGTGGTTCCGGGTACGGCTGAAGGTGTGCCGTCGGTGGGCGATCTCCCAAGGCCGCCATCTGTTCCAGGTCGCGAACAATATTCAAGATTGTCAGCGGGTGGGAATTGAATATTATTACGACGAAGCAGGGCTTCTAACTGGTCGACACGAGTCTCTAAATAGTAGACATAGCTAAAAAAGAAAAGAAGTATATTAGCACTGCAACCAGGCGGGTTGACAAAACTTGATACGCTTATCGGAGAACTTACCTGCGCGGAATCTCTCTTTTGGTTATAGGGTCATAGCCGACACAGGCGACCCTAGCTTTCTCGCAGCTAGCGCAGCTAGGCAGCTTCTGGTCACATCTGTTCTTGCGCAACCGGCAACGGTTACATGCGCTGACGTTGCGGAAGCTGGTGGATTGGCCAATTTTTGAGCCTTGAAGACTGCCTTCGTGCAAAGAATGTTCGGCGTTGGGTGAGATGGCAGCATTTCCGTCGAAAGGCGAGTCCTTATCCGGAGAAGAAGCACGTTGGCGTTTCGAAGGATGGGGATCGGGTGACGGCGGTGAGCGCGGTGGCATGGTTTCCGAATCCAGGTCCATCCGTAACCAAGTGACGCTATCCGCACAGGGAAACTCGGAGGTGCTCTACGTTGGATTGCGCCAACTAGGGGTCTCGGAGGGTGGGTGTAATTGAATTCTCAGCTGGAATTGGGCTGGGGGGGAGGGGGGTGGGCTATTCGTAAGAATTCGATATCCCCCGCTCCATCTCCAAGCCTCAAATCTCAATGCGTGAAATAGGTAAAACCGTAAGCAAATGAAAATCAAAAGCTTCCAACTATACGGAATAATAATAGACGGAGAAATATGACGACAATAATGGAGTAGAAGCCGGGATTAGCCGTGCGGGAATATGGGATTGTACAATAGTTCTATCCAAGCTATATTAATGCGCGGTTGGTGGTAAATGCAGTAACGCTTAATAAAATCGCAAGGCTCCAAAAAGGCTGAATGAAAGATGAGAAAGTTCAAAAGTCGATACTTTTTTTTCCCTTGGGCGGGATTCGGGGGTTGCGAGGGAAGGCGGAGCTTCCACTCCTGCTGCTTCCTGCTGTAAAATGCTGTAAAATGCAGTTCTGCAACCGTGGGCTACGCGGGCTTGTTTGGTAAGCCGTAACCGCCGATCTTACTACTCTTGCTAAGGCTTGTTGCTGCAACTGTACGGCAACAACCACGACGTCACAAGCTAGGTTTGCAGCTGCCAGGCGATGATTGCGCAAAGGGCTTTTTGAGCAAATTGGGGCTTGGATTTTGGGGGGGGTTGTTATCTTGAGCTTAGGAGGTACCTCTATCTGGTATCTTCCAAGAAATTTTGGGGAGTGGGAATCCTTAGCTTTTTTTTTTTTTTTCCTCTCTCGCATCTCGCAGGGAAGTTCCTTGCTAACAAAGACCTACTACCCTGTACCGGTTAGTTAAAATTCAACTGATACACAGGTACCATACCTAGCTGCATACCAGGTAGGTACCTAATAGAAAACGAGCCTATGATGTATGTACGCTATCAAGACTGTTGGAAACAAGACCCGATTTTTTTAAACTCTAGATGATACGTACCTTGGAGAGCTTAGCTTCGACTGCTCAGAGGTTGTTCCGCTTGCTTGCCTTAGGGGATTTTCAGATAAAACACCCCCACCATTGCCACTACCACCAGGAACTGTACCTAACGTAGTGCGTAGTTGTACGCAACTCCGACCAATCAATCGCTAGATGATTCTTTACATAGTAGGTGACTAGCCTATTAAATAGGTAGTACATATCTCATAGGTATGCACCTAAACTATGCACCTAACAATGCACGTTGGTTAGCTGCTATTTGAGAAAAGCCGATGCACCTAACCTACCTTAGGTAGCTGTATCAATAGCAACCAAATGCTCGAGACGGTCGGACTAAGACGATGGAAACTTGGATCCCGTGTATATCTGCCGCATCCAAAGCCTTTCGTTGGAATAGTCAACGTAGGTAGTTTGCAAAGCATGTCTATACTTTACCACTTATACCACTTATACATACCACTTATACCGGTTAGCTATACCGGTTTTTTCTTAAGAAGATGCAACTACCGTTTTCGTATCATGTTCCACAACATGAACTCTCAAGACCTCGAACTGGTGGAGGTAACACTATGGAACGACTATCAGCCCATTGACCGATATATCCGCTTGAGCCTATGTCACTAGCAACTATATTTGTCGTCAGCTTGGTTCGTTGTAACGGACTTGCAGCGTCGAGAACTGACCTATACAGGCATAGAGGGGCATAGAGAGACAAGGAAACAACTAACAGGTTCTGGCTTTGAAGATACGAGAAGAAGGTATGGCCGGTATAGCACGTAGTCTATAGAGGTAGGTTAACATACACTGCGCCTACCTGAGATAGGTTTGGACACTTTGTAATAGAAATAGACTATATGGGAATCGGTTGATATTATTTGTTCAAATTTATATTAATTATATATTTAACTAACACCCTATACCTCTATCATCTACTCCCATAACAACGTCAGCATAAATAAATACATATATATCTATACGCATAACCCTAAGAAGCCCTACAACACCTAGTGATATCAAGATAATAATATCCGCGAACGAGCCATGCTTGCCGTTGGCAGCACAGCACTTCCCGGGGCGGACAGCTCCAGCTTCCTTCTTCCGCCACTACCACCACAACAACAACCCCCTCGGAACCGGAACCAATCGTGCGGGCACACCACGCGCAAGAAGCGGCGGGAGCGACGAGCCCTGTCTAGCGACCAGAAGCGGTACCTCGTCGAGTCCTAGGCGGACATCGTGGATAACGTGCCGGCCAAGGACGCCACGACCGAGAACGTCCAGACCTGGCTGGTCATGATGCTCCATCGCCGGTCGCACCCGGACCCGGGCCGCATCCTCGACAAGCTCAGGTGGACGGGCCGCGACCTCCACCGCGCTACCTACCTCGCCACGAGATATCGCCTGCGGGCCGAGTCGGACGGTTGGCTTATCGCTTACGACATCGCGGATGCTGTGAAGGTGGGTTATCCCCCCATTTCCCACCCCAATAAACGGGCTAGATTGACTTTAGAATCTTCATCCGCCGTATGATGTGAGAAGCCGAAGCTGATTTTAGAGGTGCTTAGCAAGCACGCCGAAAAGCAAGTTTACAGCGGAAAGGTCTGCAACCCAGAAGGCTACGTTAGAGCAGAGCGAACCTGTAATTGCTTAACATATATATAAAGGGGGGGGAGGGTGGTAAATCCGGGTGGGTTATTGACTCAGACTTCATTCGAGTTCCAAACTAAACTAACTCCCTGGAATGGAGTTGGAACTCTCCTTCCTTAGTCAATGTTCAAAATTCATATGCTTTTCTCTCGTGAAGTTGTAACTTCGTTCCTGTAGGTGACTCCTATAAGCTCGCTGCGACTAGGTATCAAATTCAGGTATATATATGTCGTACTATACGGAGATTGCTAATAAGAAGGCTTCACTAATAACTGGTGGAATTGTCATGGTACGTATCTTAGGTATACTGACTGTATCATCCTCAACCTTATCCAGGTACTGATATTGTGGAACTGTAATAGGAATAGTGACTGGACTGGTTACAATGTTGAGTTCTACCTAGTTTTAGAGGGGGGGAGGCTTGTTTATCAGTTTCATAGAACTAGTTGATAGACCGTAGCTATCTCTAGCATAGGTTTATTAGGAGACTTATGTAAAGGTCGAGCGTTGAATTGTGGTCCACCTATAATGCCCCGTTCAGATAAACGACGGAGTGGACATAGTGACGAGTACGATCTTGTAGGTGGGAAAAAATGTGACGTAAGTAGATAATGATAATATTCTTGATTAAAATAAATGACCGGTTTCGTCTATCAGACGTATCCTTCCCAAGCCCCTTTCCACCACATGCGCCCAGACAAGTTTGTTGCGTAAATCCCAAAGAATAAAACTCGACTGTAAGATGCCCCGAATGATTCGCTCGAGAATACATGTCGAAAAAAACCTCGTACTTAAAAAACAACGCCGTGAACCCTGGCCAAAAGAATGATGCAGATAAGGTATAATAAAAATGACTCCACAGTACCGAAAATTCCATAAGCCCCCCTTTCCCATGCCTAGATTGACGCTCTTTCCCTAGTACACAATTCTCCCTTCGTATATGGTAAACCCCCTTTGCCCGCTGTGATTCCCGAAATCCTGATTTTTGGTCATTGTACAGAGGTATCGTAGTGGTTCCCGATGTAAGGAACATGCTCTAGTTGCCCAACCCAGTCTATGTAGTAAGTATAATAACTTTTTCCCCAACCAGAGACGTAAACGACGAGGGTGATACGATTCGATATGAGCCGTAACAATCCAACGCCGAGGAAAGGAACAAGTCATTAAACGTCGTAACCCGAATAATCCAAGCTCCCTGTTATGCTTGAAAACCCGCCAAGAATGAAAACATGGCCCCAAAATGGGCCGCAAATGAACTCCAATTCACTCTATGATGCCGATTCGGGCGAAGCCTCTCGATTGGCAGCATTATTTGTTTCCTGGTTATTAGTTGGATCGGCATTACCGCCTGTATGGCTCTGCGGCTCCTGAATCTGAAGTCCAACAATCGCGCCTCCAATGGCCACCAAGGCACTACACCACCATGCCAGACCTGAATAACCAGACTTCAGGCCAACAGCGTAGAGAATACCGGAAATGGTTGGGCCGAATGCACGACACAAACTTGCAGTCGAGGCTGCTACGCCGTTGATAGTGCCGAGGGCCAGGGGGCTTGGCGATGAATTTGCTGTTAAAATAGCGTTGCTAGGGTATGCCATGCTGGCGAATGTGCACTTCCAGACCAATACCATTCCAACGCCGATCATACGATACTTCTCGGGTAAAAGGACCAGATATGGCGTAATTAGATAAAGCGAAAAATAGGCGATAACCAAGAATCTGAATAGCCGACGTGCGCCGAAATGCTTTAGGACGGGAGGGATAATAAACATGTTAACAAGCAGCTGATACGCGCCTTGGGCACTCAAGATGATCCCGACTGTCTTGCTGTCAAGACCGAAACCGTCGACAAATTTGAAAGGTAGCGAAGGTGGCGCTGGATGATCTGGTGGCGAGGTGCTTAGAAACACTGGGAACAGTTGATCAAAAGTCATAGTATGGCTTCATAGCACGTTAGTTAGCAAGTGTCCCCCCGGCTCTATATAAGGGGGCACTTACAAGGCGAGAATACCGAAAGAGATAATGTTTAGGATCACCGGACGTGTGAATATCCTAGAGACACCTAGGTTCGAATTTCCATGTCCGCTTTCGAGGTCGAGTGAATCCCATGATATCGAAGGGACGGATGCTGATCTGATGCGTGGCGAGTTTTCAGGGGAGTTCTCGTTGGTCTGATATCCAGGTAATTGTTCGTCGTGATCGAGAAGCGGTTGTGTTTCCATCTCTGCCAGATTAGACTTCTCATCCCGCGGCTCGGTGCATTTTCCAAAAATCGGTAATTTCGATAAAATCCAATCTCCAAGTTCCAGACCTCGATCCCGCTTCAATTTCTTCTCGGCGTGAGTCTCCTCAAGGAATAGGAGGCCGTTGATAACACCAATCACCACGATGAAGGCGCTGAAAAGATTAGGAAGTAGATATGGGTACTTGTCCCAGATACTGCCGGCTTTGAAAAGGCCTGGGTAGCTGATACACGGCCGAGCGAGTGCGCCACCAATCATGGGACCGACGATCGACCTGTGAAAGAGTTAGATAACCCCAGAAAGCAGAAACACTCTCCTTTGGGTATTGTAACTGACCCTAAACACCATACAACGGGCATTATAGTGTAGGCTCGGGCTATTAAAATGATTAGTTGTTTGTTCAAGGACACCTTGCTGCGGTGGCCAACTTACGCTGATGCTCCTTAGAAGTTACCAGCTCGGCTACAGTTGTCTGAAGCACACCCATATTCCTATTTCTGCGTCAGTACACATCGAAATCGGATAGGTTGATATATCGCCATACCCGTTTAAGAGCCCTCCAACCGCTCTAGCGATGAGCGCAACCGTTAAGTTACGAGCAAAGCCGAAGATCAAAACACTCAGAGCTGTACCGATGAGACCCGTGAGCAATACAGGCTTTCTTCCGATCTTATCACTCAGCCGTCCCCACAAGAGTCCCGTCGAGAACTCAGCAAATGTGAATGCTGACGTGACCATGCCGGCGTAAAATGAAATTCTGCTCTTATCCTCGGTAATGTTGAAATCCTCGATCATGAAGTAGATATATGGGAAAATACCCATAAATGCGATTGGCTCGCATATTCGACAGATTGCTAGTTGACATTATCAGCTCAAGGCCCACAATACGGATTCTTGCCAAATCATACCTAGGACTAGCATCTGCCGCTTCGGAAATGGTGGTATTGCACCACTACGAGTATTAGAAGGACGGGTGTCCTTTACACACGAATTATTCCTCATGGTGTTTGTGTTTTGCGGCGGTGCGGTGCGCTACATGAAAGACGAGAGAGACAGAAAAGTCGTAACGATACTGGATGACTACGCCCCTCGAGCCTTGAGATAGGAGTGTATGGATTAGGCAATCTTCGGCCGGGGAGGGGAAAATAAAATTTAGAGCCTTTATATAGATCAATCAAGGAAGTCTAAAGTCAGTGAGACAAGTGGGAGTGACTTGTCGACCCGGCACGGTTGCGTTGTTAAAGTTTGGAGAAAGCTTAAGGTTTGGTGAAGGTTGCGTGTATATATTCAAGCCACGCAACGACGGGAGAGGTGAATGATCAGCTTGGCACCTTGATGAGAAGAAGAAAGCCTGTAGAAGTAGGCTAGAAACAAGCCAACGAACGGATGTAGCCATGGCGGGCGACGGATATTAAGTTATTTAATATTGGAACCAGCGGTGACAGATGTTAGGCGAAAAGCAAAGTGCGAGTGCAAGTGCAAGTGCAAGTGCAATAGATGATCCTTCCAGCAGTGCCAGGTGTAACGCGGCGATGGTCTCACAAGGTATGGAGTCCCAACTTCGTGGAAACATCTTCTGTCATGGAAGCCAGAAGTGGACTTGCGGTGGATCCCTCATCCTCATCCCATGCCATGCTCGAGGCGGTGGTTACGGGGTGTAGCGATGACATGGACCTGCAAAAGAGAAAAGTCGGGACTTGGCCCTCTCTGCTTGAGGAGCCTTACAGGTTTGCATAAGGAGATGCAGCCTGACTCGAATGACCACGCGGGTCACGGATAACCTGTGCTTGACCGGGATGATGGAAGCACATTAGCACATCGAGGGTTGATGGGAAGTACCTGGTACATCACGGATCCCTACATAGGTACCAGGTAAAAGCCTGCTACCCTGCTCCCCTCCGTACCTAGGTAGTACCCTCTGGCATTGGATGGCTTCTGACAGGGCAAGGGGGTAAGGTTGCAGTAAAGCCCAGGGCTGCCGATGCCCGCCAGCTCTAGCGTAAGAAGTAGAAGAATGCTAGAAAATGTGAAAGGGCAGTAAACCTTTCCCTCTTGGGTTTAAGCTGTTCAATAATAAGCCAGCCGATGGTGAGTGAGCGTTAAGCTCATTGGCGATTTCACCACACACCAAAGCTGAATGGTGGAGTCGGCCGGGGATCTGAGCGGACGAACCTGACACGACAACTTAAGGAAGACGAGAGCAGCAGTTAAGCAGTCAAGCGGTGAAGAATTATCCACAGCACGTCCGATTGCCCTTTGAGAGAGCTATGCGATGCTTAAGAAGAGAGGGAATTAAAGAAGGATTACCGATTATGCGTGGCTGAAAGTGGGATTGGGCAAACGGAAATAGCACAACTGGGGTATTCTGAGATGAACCAAATGGCCGGTACGGGGACTTGATGAGAATCGTCAACCATGACGCAGGCTCTGCAGAGGGCTGAAGCCCAGCTCTGCCAAGCTTCGTTCTTTTTTCAAAAAAGTTGATTATTATTTTTTTCTTTTTTTTTTTCTTTTTTCCCCCCTTTCTTAAAATTTAAATAAGTATGTTACCTAATGCATGTACCATATCATAGGTACCTCACATTATATATATGTACATATACGTTACCACTACCTAACCTTGAACCTAACCAAAACCTAACTTACATGTAAACTAACGTACCTACATATTAATATATATGTTGAGGTACATGCATTATACATACGAAGAGGTACCTAGGAGGTAATATACATAGTAACCTAGGTACCGCGTATCCCCATATCCGAGAATAACCCGTTGCACCCGTTGCACCCGTTGCAGGGTTTAACATATATAGTTGAGAGATTAGATTTATCAACTAGTTATTTCTACTATGTTAGTTATTATTATTACTATCATGATTTTATTATTATTATTTTTTCCTTTTCGTGTGGATATGTAGCGTGCGGACGCAACAAAGCTGCACCCACGAAGTCGGAATATGACCCGTCCTCATCTTATGCGCATGCCGTGTTACTCCCGGTTGTCTGCGGAATTGCCGCGCTTGGTATGTTTCGTCGGTGCTGCTGCCCGTTTCGAAACTTTCCTTCGCTGAACAATGAACGAGCAATTAGGCGCTGGTTTTTTCACACCGGGCCATCATCATCATCTTATACTTGCATCATACAACCTGTAGTCCATGTATCGTACCTGGCCCCGGCCCTGGCTTGGTCTGGCACCGTCATCTCGACAGCGGAGAATCTCCTGAGTTTGCTGAGTGAGTCGACCCAGTTCGTTTTCAACCTCTCTCCACTACTCGTAGCTCGTAAAGACAAAGCCGTCTCATCCGCGCCGAAAGTCCTCGTGATACGGCCAGTCTTTTCTTTTTTCTCTTTCAGCTGATCGATGAAACGGATAATCAAGATTGCTTTATAGTAACAATGTCGTTATTTGACAACAGAAACAGCTATTAGGCGTTGAATGCAACATAAATTTCTCCGCAGTACGTGACGCAAGTACGTTCCAGTTAATCAGCATTTTTTTTTGTTTAAAATTCAATATTGACGATCGTTTACCACGACATCCCCCTAACTCGGTACCGGAACGTTGACGATCAAATTGACGTACAGAAATCGGCTGCTTCTTCACCTTCGGTGATAGCTTGGGCCTTAGCCTTTAGCTTTGGCCCTAACCCTTTTCCCTCTCCCACATCGTTGGGACTCGCATTCAGTCATAACACAGCATTTCGTGACGACCTAAAATTGACGCCGAATAATTAACATGTATGATTTCATGGAAGCTCCATGCAACGTAGCGGTGGGATTGCTGTTTGGTCAGCTGAGCGCATCGTACACGTAGCTTGACGATCAGAAAAGCGTTTGTGAATACAACTTCGTACGTACCTTACAATCTCACGGTCAAGACCCCACAGCTTTTTCTTCTCCCCGAGCTGGCCAAGTTTTCTGCTTTTTCGCTTTGGCGCTAGAGCAGGCTATGGAACAAATCCGTAACGTTCTAGAAAAGTTGATGGCAGGCTGGTCCCTGTCGGACCATGTGGCAAATGAAATTTGATAATAAATGCTGAGAGGTAGGTACATAGTAGGAGGAGCTTGTTCCGAATGGATTGTGAGTGGTTGGTACCTAATGTACTAAGCGAAAAAGTTTTTATTTTCTTTTATTTTTTTCAACTACACCTTTTTTTTTTCACCCCTTTGGTCTAGACGTTTTATCTTAGGTAGGTAGACTTCCGCGGCGTGTCGGGTAAGATCCGGTGAGCCGCTACAAAACCTGCGCGGCTGCGGAGAAGCCGAGAAAGTCAGCGACTCGCCAATTCGGAATATTACCATAAGCTATTCACATCGAATAAAGCTCCAGGTTGGCTCTCGATGAGAAAAGCGAGGGTGCCGCCGTTTCCCCTTGTACCGAAATATGCACGGGGTGTACATCTTTCTCTAGGCTCTGCACAGGGATATGCATCTCTCAGAGCGCACGGCTGTCATGATCGTCCAATGTCATAATTACCATATGGGGATTTTAAGTGCAAGGGTAAACCCTGATCTACAAGCCTGACCCAACCATTTGGCGCCTCGATGTTGACTACCGGAAGCTTGCCGTTTAGGAAAACTTTCTCGCTCGCCTTAAACGCCAAGCCTTATATAGTGTGCTAGTCATTCCCTTGTTATTTTTTTCGTCCTTCCCTTCGGCCCAGCTAGCCAAGTACTTACTTCGCAGATCTGATTGTCGTTCCAGGAATTACTTTCTTCTGGAAAAGGGGGAAAATGGGACTCGCATGCAGACGTGATCATATGATTTATCCTCCGAAACGAGATCGATACTCATGAATTGTCAGGATCGTCGAGCTAGCGTGATTCTAATCGAGTTAGAGAAAGGGGAATTTAAGAAATTCCTATTCCGAATATGTCGACAAAGTAGTGCTATGCACGAGTCAGCAGACATGCGCTATCAGCCTGGTAACGGAAAGCTAGATTCAGATATTCTGCATATAGTACATGTGGAACATGCAATGTCGTGCAGGTAGAAGGTCCACGTTTGGTGAGGTACGTCAAATATCGTGCGCGACCTGCGGTACCAGTCACCTGGATGCCTACAAGATAATGGGAATTTTTCCCTTTCCCATGATAGCCGAGTTGTGGCAGGGCTGCTGCGTTGTCTCCAGTGATCGGAGGTTTTATTGGATTCTTGAGGACACGATTACGTCAATAGCTCACCGCCCCTTTTGGCCGACGTTGGACTTGAAGACGGAATTCTGCGGCGATGCCCGACCAGAAGTTTGCACGTATCAGCCAGCTAGCTAGATCAAAAGACCTAAGGTATCGTGAGACACGCTGGTCCTCTTGTGTCTACTTTTTTTTTTCTTTAACGATAACTAGTTGCATCTACCTAGCCCAGTATATTTATTAGCACCAATAAATAGGCGAAGCCGAGCTGGACACTATGTGTATCTATAAGAAGCAGAGCAAGGGAGGCCATACCTGGGTTACCTAGTCACTAGGTAATGTCCTAACGATATGGTACATTGGACATGTATCCAATAGAGATAGTATACCTATTCTTACCAAGTACACAACCTGTATACATTTGCAGCTCGGTCAGGGCAAGCCTTGCTAACTTAAACTTGCACGACGCAAAAGCTGGTGCTTCGGACTGAAAGCTCAAATTTCCTTCGGAGCTGGCAAGAATCCCGAATGGATAGTTTCTTTGTTACCCACTCCCCCCCCCTTCTTTAGCGCCTTGCAACAGCCTCGCGGGACTAACGGAAAGGGTGATACCTGCTGCTATCAAGGTGGTAATCTCAGCTGTGGAGCTAGCTACCGGTCCGTCCTGTGCCATGCCATAATAATGTTCCGCGAGTATAAATCATTACAGTAGCGTACACGATTAAAATATAGGCAGCTCGTGCAAGTCTGCAAGGTAGTCTAGTGCAAGGATCTCTCTCGGGGTTATAATTGGGAAACGAGGATTGAATCGAATAGGGAATGGCGGTCGGCGGTGAGACATTTCGGCACGGGTGACGACAGCCGGGACTTGACCCGGCTCCACAGCTCGCCTGTATATAACGCTTGTTGTATTATCGCAAAAAACACAGACGACGGCCAACAGGTAGCGGCTAGAGAAATGAGAGAAAATTATCCGCGAATGGCATTAGAGCCTCTTCCTACCGGCATCAACACGGGTGAAATGCGTGTGAGACAACCACGAACTCTAGATCTCTGGACCGATGAATGCACCGGGGAAAGACATGAATGCTAACCGGTCGACGTGAAATCGGA